CGAGTGCGGTTGTGGCAGCATCCCGCCTCTCGTCAGCTGCTCCATGACCGCTAGCCATTCACAAGTGCCGAACGTTACGGCTTGCCGCCCCCAGTACACCTCTCTCCCTCTCCACATACCGGTACCGGTCTCCCTGACCGCTACCCCCTGCTGCTCCTCCTGCTGCTGCTGCTACTGCTACTGCTCCCCTGCTCCCCTGACAGGGACGACCCCACCATCTTCGGCTGGGAGTTGGCCAATGAGCCGCACACCTCGGACGGCTTCGAGACGCGTCAGAGCTGGCCACAGCAGTTCGGCGACCAGGGCGTCAGCATCGGGCGGGGGCAGCTGGTGGGACGGCTGGTGAGCGCGGGGAGAGTGGGGGGCGGGGCGGGGTGGTGAGGGAGGAGGAATTGGCGTTTGGGCTTGGAAGCAGGGGAGAGAGGGAGGGGAATGCACCGACCGCAAGAGGCAGGGCCATCTGCTGCTGTTGCGACAAGCGCGCCCGCCTCCAACCCAACCACCCAATCCTAGGCGCTCCCAACACTGCTAACTCCTACGGTGACCCCCCTGGTCCTCCGCTCCTCACCTCTCCTCCCCTCGGCTTCCCACCCTCCTCCCTCCCGCGCGCGCGCCTGCAGGTGAACCAGTGGCTGTGCCGTGCCGCCACGCTGGTCAAGTCGGTTGACCCCAACCACCTGGTGACGAGCGGCGAGGAGGGCTACCGCACCAACGGTCCCTTCCTGCTGGCGCAGCACAACTGGCTCAACAACGGCCTCAAGGGGGTGGACTTTGAGATGAACGTCAAGTGCCCCGACGGTAGGGCGGCGAGGGGAGGAGGAGGATGGGGAGCGGGGTGGGGAGCGGGGTGGGGAGCGGGGTGTAAAGAGGAAACTACAACTGGCTGTGTGCGGGGATGCGGGGTGGGGAGCGGGGTGAGGTACGGTAGTACTAGAGCCGGGATGGACACGGGAAGGATTATGGCAAAAAGTTAATGCGGGTGTTGGGGCGGGGAGGAAAGTGGAGGGGCGGAGTGCAGGGTGTGGGACGTCAGCAGGTGGGAGACGGAACTAGGGAACAGAGTTGCGAGCGAGGTGGTGGTTCCACGGGGCAGGAAGCGGTTGCCTGTCGCCTGGCCAAGCGCTGTCATGTGCCAATGGCATGATGTACTTGCCACCGCTCCCTCCCGACCCTTCTTAATCGCGGAACCCCAACCTCCCCTGCTGTCCCTGCATGGCGGACCCTATCTCCGGGCAACCGCCCCACTCTGTGGTCACTGGCGCCCGCCCCACTCTGTGATCTACGTGCGTGCGGATGGCCTCACCACCTCTCGCCTCGTGCCTACCTGCTGCCCCTGCTGCTGCCCCTGCTGCTGCTGACGTGTGTGTACGACACCTCATCACCCGACTGCTGCCCGACCGCAACCCGCAACCCGCACCTCCATGACGGCAGTGGACTACATGACCATCCACGTGTGAGTGCACTGCTGCGCTGGAAGAGGGGTTGAGGGGAGACTAGGAGTAGTAGAGCTACCATAACCTGTAGGGCTCATCTTCCGCTGCTTCTCGCCTTCTCGCTGTTTCTGTCAGTGCTCCCTTCCTGGATCGCCGCCTACACCAAACGAGTGTTGCCGCGCTGCTCCTCATTGTCAACGGTGTTGTTAGTGCTGCCTCGACGTTTCTGCTGCTGCTGCCGCTGCTGCTCGCTCCCATGCTGCTGTTGCTGCACACTACTGTAGTAGTGCCGCCGTTCTGCTGCCTGCTGCCTACCCTCCGGTGGCTGTTTGACCTCGTTTAACCTCACACGAGCGACCCGTGCCTGACACCTTGCATCCTCCTCCTGCCCAACCACCCTCCCTCCCCCACAGCTACCCGGACAACTGGGAGGTGCCCTTCTGGAACTACAAGGTGGGTGCTGCTGCTGCCGCCGCCCCCGCCCCCGCCGCTGTCGCCGCTTTCCGAGCTGTCCCCTTGCATCCGGATGCATGGGGGGAATAAGAAATGCAAAAGTGAAGCAACCAAAAGAGCCCCAATCCCCATATGCCGACTGAGATTGCATGGGAGGGAGGTGCCGGTGCGGGCCCAAGCAGAGGACTTCGGAGGCGGGGCCCGCGAACGGCTGTGTCCCTGTTGTATGTGGCTGCTTTGCGTTCGAGAGTGCCAAGCCCTCCTGATGATTTCTCCTCCGCCCCCCCTTTTGTGCTTTCCAACGCCACCGCATACACCCTAACCTTTATTGGATGATGGGTGCCCCTTGCTTCTCATGTGTCGTTCGGCCTGATGACGCGCCTTCGTGCCTTCCCTCTCCTGCTGGACTTTCCATGATGGTGCCGTACGTCCGCTTTACGTTCGTACTCGCTCTGTACGGCATGTACGACAGTACGTCATCGACAATTTCATTGCGGTATGTTGTACGTTGTCTTTCATGGTGGTGAATGGGTAGTGACGCATGTAGGAGGTCTGGCACTGCTGGATGCCGCACGCCACCCGTGTGTCCTCCGGTAGCTAGTCATCATCCTCTCGGATGCCCGTCCGTTACATTCCAGCTTGATTACCGGTAAACAACGGCAAATAAGCCAACTACCCGCCCTTTTCAGGACGGGTGCCCCACCTAGTCAACACGCCTTCTGAACACCACTCTTCCCATCATCACCACCACCCACACACCGCCCCACTTCCTTCTTAGCCCATCTACACCACACCCGCCCACTTGCCCACAGGACCGTACCAAACTGGCTCACGCATTCAACAAGCCCATCGTGATGGAGGAGTACGGCTGCTGCAAGCAGTCCGACTACGTGGGCAAGCGGGGGGAGCTGTTCTCGGCCTTCCATGACGCAGCGGACAGGCTGGGCGTAGCGGGCAGCATCGTGTGGCAGGTGGGGCGGGCTGGGAAAGCACGTGCGGGGTAACGGCATGGGGTTTCGACTGCCGAGGGTGGTCATGTGGTCATATAAAACACACGAGCGGAGATATGAATAGTTAGCCATTCGTGACGTGCAGCGTCTGCGCCTTCCCTTAACCCCATGCTGCTATGACTCCTGTCTTCGTTCTCCCAACCCTGCACATCCTGACCCCTCCTTGCAACCCTGTACCGCATTCGCCCCACTCCTCTCGCCCCGCTCCTCATCAGGTCGTGGCCTGGCCAGGACTCAAGCGTGACAGCAACTACGATTTCACCTACGACGAGGATGGCGGCTGGCAGATTAAGGAGAATGCCAGACGTATGAATGCAAAATGGTAGCGCAGCTTAACTGCCTGCGTGTAGCTTTAGGAGCGCGTGACCCATGGGTCGTACGAGCAGGAGTGTTCTGTGAGGAAGCGTCTTCGCGCATAGCTACAGTAAGAGCATCATTATAGTCATTTTTGTGTACAGGGGTTCCGTACGTATCCGGGACCAGCAGACCCCTAAGTGGGTCTGGGTCGGGTCACCGGCAGGCTGATGCCCCTTGGAGGATGCCTATCTGTGTGAATTAAAGCAAACGTACAATACCGTGATAGCCGTACAGGCGTGAACTTCCTTACATGAATTTTGTAGGCATATGACGCGAACGATGGATGTGCGGCGATCATGCATTCATTTTTTGACATTGTTACAAGCGTACGTGGCGGCAGGACGGGCTTTCCGTACACAGTACTAATGCGCGTGCGACTTTCGTACGACGGGTGTCGCGGACTGTCGCGGATTGGTACCCATTGTTTATGGGTAAATAATGTTACCTGGCTACATGACTTGAGCTTGAGTACTGGAGTGTCATGAGGGGTGGTTCATAGAGTCTCCTTATCGCGGAGGACCATGGCTGCAGTAAGCCTCATCTGTATGTTAAGCCCATTCGTTGCTTTGGCTTGACTACGGTATCAAGCAAGTTCCAGATTCCAGTTCTCGGCTGCTTAAGAGGTGCATGCGAGTGCCAGACGGAAGTAACACGGGAGTTACACACACGGAGGTTCCTACTCGCGACCAGTTTTCTTAACACACGGAGGTAGTGCAATGCCACTGCTGTTGGTTTCTACCGGTACCCTTTTGAGGTGTGGCAGCAGCATTATTTGCTGGCGGGCGCTATCTGCCAGATTGCACGGCGTGTGCCGTACAGCCGCGAGCAGTGTGAATGAACAGGTATCGTGAAGCTGTCAGGCGCGAATGTGATGTAGCAATGTGCTATACGATACGCAGACGTTCATGTTTTCATACTTTCACATGGCCCTATAGATGTAGCACTTATTCCGGAGGGCCGAAACCGAGTGTGTTATGGCTCTCACTGACCCTCATGGGCAAACCCCATGCGGCTCATGTGGACCGTCCAGCTGCAACCCATACATTGTACCATTTTGTACCTGCACTTTAACGTGGTAACCAAATCGTTGCTAGCAGGCTCTTTAAAGCTTTCGCCATTCCTTGAAGTAAAAGGAACTGCTACGTAAGTTGCCCCAATCCGCGTGAAGCTGTTGCGTTGGTGAGCAGCAGGACAGAATCCTGATAAGACTACACTAACCTCCCTAACTACCCCCTGTTACAACCCTCTTATAAACATGCTCCACGCTCACTCCGTGTCTCGTCCATTTCGTTGCACTCCTCAGCCCCTCGCCGCTCCCTCAGCATCCCTTGCTCCCCTCCTCCTCCCCATAACACATACCCACATTCCGCCCCCCCCTCAAATCTCCTCCACCTCCTCTTCCCCATGCCCCAGCATCCCCCCCTCCTCCCCCATCACTCCCCCCTCCAGCCCCTCCTCCTCCCCCTGCTCTTCCTGCCCGCCCGACAGCGCCGCCGCCACCCTTTCCGGCAGTCCCCCCTCCGCAGCCGCCACCACCGCCGCCACCACTGCACGCCGCGCTGGCTCGTATCGGAACCGCCAGTGCTGTCGCGGCCTGCTGGCGGCCGTGTCCCGCATCCACGCCAGTGCTGCATCACCGAAACGAAGCAGCCGGAAGGCGTCGAAGGCGAATCCCGCTCGCTGGGCGAGTGCGGGGAGCTGCATGACGGGCAGGCGCTGGACCTGCGTGGGGGCGTGAGGTGGGGGGGGAGGCGAGGGAGGGCGTGGGAGGAAGAGGAGGTGACGAATCAGATAGACGAGAGGGCCTGATGAGGAAGGGAAGGAATGCGGTCAGTGAGGAGGGCACGTCGAAAGGAGACTTGGCGGTTGTTGGTATTATTGGAGGACAAGGTACGCAAGGTAAGCAAAGGAAGGATGAAAGACAAGGTAAGCCCAGAAGGGCTCTGTCTCCCACCGGCCCGCCACCTGACCACCACCCACCCTACCTGCCGTACCGTCCCCCCCCGGTCCCGGCCCCCCAGCAGCAGTGTGGGTACCCCCGCCAGGAAGCTCTGCAGCCACCAGCGCGGGTACTTGTCGCGGTAGAGGCGCTCCAGGGCGCGGTCGCCCTGGGGCAGGCTGGGGGGAGGAGGGGAGGGGGGGGAATTATAAATAAGCGCAACAACGCAGGGGGGGAGGAGGGGAGGGAGGGAGGAGGAGGGAGGAGGGAGGAAGGTGTTTGTGATAGGAGATACAAGGGAGCGGCAGCTGTCTGAAGCAGGCAACCGAGGCAAAACGGAGGACTGGAGGGGAGGCGAGGGGGGGCGAGGAGGGTTCAAGTTAGGGTGTCGAGTAACCCGCCCCCACCCCCCCGACCCCACTCACACGAACGTCTTGATCTCCGTGTACCCGATGTACTCCACCTCCTCCTCCTGCTGCTGCTGCTGCTCCTCCGCCTCCTCCAGCGGGGTCTCCCAGGCGTCCGTCTCCGCAGCCATCAGCACCTGGTGGCCGCCCAGCCGCACCTGCGGCACCCCACATGTGCATGCAGCAGCCGCGGGCGCAGCAGCGGCGGGCAGGGGGCACAGGGCCACAGCCGCACACCACACGTGCATGCAACCACATGGGGGGGCAGCAGCGGGCGCATGAGCATGAGCATGAGCATGAGCATGAGTGGACGAAGGACACAGGGCCACGAGCCTTCACACAGCGGCAGCGGACGACTGGTACGACTTGTACGAGCATGACCTCCGGTGAAGTACCAGTGCATTCCAGCCCATGCCCACCTGCAACCCAGCACCCTCCCCCACCCCTGCCTGCCCCACCCCTGGTCCCCCCCCCCTCCCACCTGCACCATGACCGCGAACTCGCGCGTGCTGTCCACCGGCTCACCCGAGGGGGCACCCGTGGCCACGGACTCGAACTTGTAGCTGTGCGGAAAAGAGGGGCGGAGGAGAGGGAGGTCGGTAGCTGGGAAGGAGGTGGATAGGGAGGAGCGGGACCTGTTCGCTTGCTACAACGACGGCACTGCGCTTCGTCGGATTCCATCAGCGTAGCACCCCTTTAGTGCATTTACACATTGCAAGAACAAGATACAAACCCAATGTCAGTTCAGCTCGGCTCTCACCCATAGTACGTGAAGCGATCCATGTCCGGCCCGCCCGCCCCCTGTTGGGGCGTCTTCACGATCTCCAAGAACAACGTGTTACCATGGAAAACCGCATCAATGACCCACGGGTCGTTCGGCTGCAGCGGCGTCAGCAGCAGCTTGTTCAGGTTGTTTCGGAACGTCACCACCGTGGCTCGCTCCAGGGGAATGCGGCCGATCACGGCGCCGTACACAATCACGTCCACCGGTACGGCATCATCTGGATCTTCTTTCCGTACAAAGGCATCTGGGTAGCCCTCATTGAGATCTGCTCCTTCGAGGGATTGCAGATCTGATACGACCGTTCGGAGGCCTGTGGGGGTTACCGGTAATGCGAGGGTTATCGCTATTTCGAGGGTTGCCGGTATTGCACGGGGTATTACTACCGATATTCAGCTGAGTGCGCGAGGGGACGGGTCAAGAGAACAACGCATGGGGGATGGACATGGTAGCGTGCGGCACACGATGCAGGTAAAGGGCGCTGGGCTAGGTGTGGGAGCCCCATGGGGTCACCGCAAGCCGCCCCAGCACACGACACATGGTGATGGACAAGGAGCAGCTGCGCACTCAGGGAAGATGGGCGTAGCAGCAAGTCGAGGGCCACAGGACTAGCAGCCGGTGTAGTGCTTGGGCAGGTCAGGGGAAGCAGCGGGCATGGCCGACGCGGGCAGTGCACGGTGGGCAGAGGCTCTAGCTCACAAGGCGCCCCGCCGGTGTTGGGGCAGGGCGGGAGGTTTGCTTTGGAGGCGGCTGCTGGTGCTCCGGCAGTGTGCGGGGCCTAGCTGTCATGGGTGGGAGCCTGGGAGGTTGCTGGTGGATGGGGGATGTGCGGGGGGCGGGGGGCGGGGGGCGGGGGACTCGCAGCGCGCATGCCCTTCCTGTGTCAGGGCGGGGGTGCAGGTGCGCAGGGGCAAAGCGGGCTCGGGCAGGGCGGGGGTAACCACGCGCGCGAGCGAAGGGCTTCAGAGCGTGAAGGTGCCCAAAGGGTGCTCACGCCCTCACTCCTCATAGCTACCTCTCCACCGTGGAACGCATGCCTGCTCCCCTTTTGCCGCTATCATGCGGTAGGATGAACGGCTGGCGCATGTAAACCCACTCAACCCACCCCACTGGCCTTATGCATGCGCCGGCTAACCTCCCCCTCAGACCCTATCACGCAGTTCGCGCGCCCCTCGGAGACGGGAGTATGTTGGCTCTCCACCAGACCCGCACCTGAAGGGTCACCGTACAAGTAGCCGCCGCCCTCAGTTGCGCTGGCCCGCGTCCAGCAGAACACTTGCTCCGGCGTGCTTAGGGAAACGTGCTGACTGTGTCCTACTGAAGCATCCTTACGCGCCCAAGCATCCACCGAGAATTCTTGCTGCGCCATGTCCTCTTTTAACAATTGGAGGCAGCTGTGGATTGCAGTAAGTTCTATGACGTTGTCATTTGAATGATGCAAGGTACTTCCTACAACGCCGTTTTTGCTGGGTGTCTAGAGTTGCTAGCTGTGACGACAGTTGGAAAGGGCAGGGGCAGGCAAGAGTTAGCACAGGTTAGCAGTAAGGTAAGTTCCTTTAAGTACTATAATAAGATAGATACCGGCTGTCTGAGGTGGTGTGTGGATCAAGGGTTTGAGCAACATCCGACAATTGCTTCTTGTCATGACCACTGATTATCACAATGAGATATCCTAACATCCTAGATATTACATTTTATTCATACCGTCTACCCTGCGCATCTGTTAGATCTACCGTTCAGTCCTTGCACGAGCACTAAAGAGCACTAAAGAGGACCGCAAGGGCGCGGCCGCAGACAGTACATTTCTTGGCAACCTCTACATGATTTAAGACAGCGCCATAGGTTAACTGCCGAAAACGTTGCGACAAGGCTTTCCGGCCCCAATCGCTAAGCGACCTTGGCATCCTGACGCCTTAGGTCGACGAGCTCAGCGTTAGCAACAGTAGTTTTCTATCTCAGTTAACAACTTATCGTCCTTATCGGGCTGCCGCATCTGGCGGAGGCGGACGCGCAGTGGACACGCGAGTCCACCTGCGCGCAACTACCTCAGGCCCGGCGCACCTTCCGTCACACCCGCCCGCCCGCGCTTCCAACGCTGCCGGCACAAGGCATCCGTCTGTACGACCACTTACTCAGCCAATCAGTCTTCGGCCCAGCTGTTGGGAGACAGCTCCCAACAAATGACCGCCCTGGTCACTACCACCACTACTCCCAATACCAGCCGCTGCCCCGCAGTACCTCCATGGCAGCGACCACATGGGCCCTCAGCGCCCTGCCTGCAGCCCTGCCGCAGTAGACACCCGCATCCACACATCAGCCTTAGACCCGCCCTGTACAGCAGCAGGTGTAGCAGCAGCAATGCTAGCAGCTGTCGTACAGCGCTTACCCGCTGCTACAGCTGCCACAGCAGTCAGGGTTGCGGCACCAGCGGCAACACTGGCCAAGCCAACGCCCCTCGCTACAGCCCCCACTCGGCGCCGCTCTTTCAAACACACCGCCGCCATTACCACCGCTACGGCTGGCGGAGTGGGACGAGCAGTAGCGTCCCCGGCGTCTCCGTCCGCAGTAGCTTCGGCAGCCTGAGCAGTAGCAGCAGCAGCAACAGCGGCAGTAGCAGCCGCCGTACAGGAGGTCTCGGCGGCGGCTGCAGTGCCCCGAGGGCTCTCCTCCGCGGTCCCCTCCCTCCCTCCGCATCCCCCTCCCCCTCCTCCCCCTCCTCCTCCCCCTCCTCCCCCTCCTGGTCCCCCAACCCCATGGAGCTGGTGCGGCGGGAGGCGGGGCTGCAGAGCACGCGGATCGACCCACGGGTCAGGGAGCGGGTGGAGGAAGCGGTGGAGCGGCTGGGATGCAGAGTCACGGTAGGCTGCGGCTGTGGGGGGTGGGGGTTTGGGGGGCACCCGGGGTATTCCGCTCTGGTCTGTGGCGAGGGGCGGATGAAGCATTTGAGTTGTGAGGTACACGGCAGGGGGGAGGGAGGGGGGGAGGAACTGAGTGAGGGCTTGACGATGATCAAAGGGTGCGGCGCAAAGGCAGTGCTTTCATTGGATACTGTAAGAAGAAATCCGACTGCACCTCTGCACTCCACGTCGCTCTCCTACCCTCTCCCTACCACTTTCATTCAACACACTGGGTCTTTTCCTTTTCTCCCCTCTCCGCTCCCCTTCCGCTCCCCCTTCCGCTCACCTCTCCACCCCCTCTCCACCCCCTCTCCACACCACTCACACCACTCATTGGAATTTCTCCCCCCCCATCCGCAGTTGGGTGACGTGGCGGCCCGAGCGGGTGTGCGGCTGGAGGAGGCGGACGGGGCGCTCAAGGCGCTGGCGTACGACACACAGGCGTCACTGCAGGCGAGGAGGGGGGGAGGGAGGGAGGGGGACGGGAGGAGGGAGGAGCGAGGGCGGGGTTCGGAGGGGGTGGGGCTGGGCGGGGGTCAAGATTCTACCATGTTGCTGTTAAGGGTAGTAACAACACGGGTAGCTGTCTGCTGGGAAAGCATGATCGTTTCTCCTCCACCCAGCTCCTCACATCCTCTCCTCGGCGCCTCGCCACCCTCCCACCGCCCCAGGTCTCCTCCGAGGGCGAGGTGGTGTACGGCTTCGCAGCTGACTTCCGTACGCAACTCCGAAACCGCTCGGTACAGCTCCGAGCCGCTCCGCTGCTTCGCCGTGCAGCGGCCGTGGTCGGCTACCTGACCCGTGTTGCCTTCGGAACCGCGCTGGTCGCTTCGGTGGTGGTGGTGTGGCTGGCGGTGCTGCTGCTGCTGAGCAATGCGGGACGGAGCGATGACCGCGAGGATCGCGGCAGGGGCGGCATGCGCTGGCATGGAGGCGGAGGCGTGAGGATGTTTGTGGATTTGACGGATCTGCTGTTTTACATGGATCCGAACTATTACAGGTGAGGATGGATTCTGGGTGTGGGGTACGACAGGTAAGGGTACGGCAAGGGGCCTCGTTTATGAGCGTTGTTGACACATTGCGGCTGGTGTGGGTAGGTGTTGTAATTGCGTATAGCGACTTGTTGTGCTCATGCTACCGTGTACTGTATGTGAATGTGGGTTGCGTGATGTGGCCAGGGTGGCGTTAAGGTGCATGCTAAATCCTAAATCCTAAATCCTGCGCCCCAACACAGCAGCGGCCTACATCCAGCATTGTGCAGTGGTTCTTCTTCGCTGGTTTTTTTGTGGTGGTCTTCCTGTCCTTCCTCTGTAACAGTCCACATCGGAAAAACATGTCATCACTAGGCTGCCCTAGGTTCCAACGACACAGTGTCATCACCACCACCATCAGTGCCACATCCCACCCAAACCCCTGCCTGCCCGTCACACGGCCGAATGCCCTCCTCCTCCTCAGAGTTCACACCCCAACCCCCCGCTTCCCATTCTTTTGCTTCTCCCACACAGCGCCCGAGCCCAGCGTGCTGCCACCGGCTCCGACGGCAACAGCAGCAGCAGCAGCAGCATGAGCTTTCCGGAGGCTATCTTCTCATTCGTGTTTGGGGAGGGCGACCCAAACGCCGGCTGGGAGGAGCGGCGCTACCGGGCTCTGGGGGAGGCCATCCGCGCTAAGTAGGTGGAGTGGAGGGGCGCATCGGAGGAGGAGGAGGAGGAGGAGGAGAGGGGGGCGGGGGGAAGTTCGTGCAGGATCAACGGCATAGCGCCGCATGACCTGCAATGTATTTAACCATGCTTCCTAGATGCCATTGAAGGCCGTTCGTCATCCGTGTTTGTTTTTGTGACCCCGTTTTTGTGACCCCCATTAAAAGTTGTGAAAGTCCTTAGAATGCGCTACCTTCATAGCCTCTTGGTCCTCTATCAATCTGGTTCCCAACCGTACGACCTACCCCCGACCGTACGACCTACCCCCGCACCTCCCCCCTCCCCGCCGGCTCGCAGGGGCGGTGTGGTCACAGCCGAGGAGATGGCGCCCTTCCTCGACCCGCCCGCGCCCGCACCCCTGCCCGCCGACCCCCACACGCCCTACGCGCCCTACCCCGACGAGAGCTTCGTGCTGCCCGCGCTCATCAAGTTTGGAGGAGAGCCGGTTGCGGACGAGCAGGGGCGGCTGTTGTACCGCTTCCCCGCACTACAACGTACGGCAGTACGACAAACGGTGGGTACTGTAGGTGGCGGTACCGGGTAGTGGGAGGGTGTGGCATGACATAACGCATGAGGGTGTCGGGGCCCATGCGCTGCAGTGTACGGCAGTACGACAAACGGTAGGTACGACGTGGCGGTAAAGAAACCTTCCCAACGCAAGGTTAGTAGAATGTTAACAGAAGCAGTTTTGAAGCAGTACGGTACTACCGGGTAACGGGATCGGGGTTACGGTACGAACGTACGACGTAGTGATGGGAATGTTGCCAGGTGGTGCTGTGGGTCATTAGCCACCTTCCCTCCCTCCCTGTCCCTGCTCAGCGCTGGCAGGGTCGCTTCTTCCGGCAGCGGCAGCAGCGGGAGGCGGAGGAGGCGGAGGAGCTGCAGGAGGAGCCCTGGGAGCTCACCACGGCATCGTCCGGGCAGGTGGGGGGGCAAAAATTATATAATACCCCGCCCCCCCCCCCGGGCAGGTGGGGGGGGCGGGGTGGAGTGGGTGGGTTGGGGGCGTGTGGTCACAAGCAAGGCGCGCATGTCGGGAAGAAGAAAAGGCTGCGGCTCCTCTCCACTACCCCCGGTTGCCACCCCCCCAACCCTACCCCCCCAGGTTGCCGCCGCGGTGGCTCTGGGTCTGTTGAACCTGCTGGGTGTGGCGCTGCTGGGCGGGCTGCTGGCCGACCCACGGGCCACCTACCTGCTGGCGGCGCAGGGGCTGGGCTGGCTGCCGGGGCTGCTGGCGCCGCTGCAGCTGTATGCGGCGGCGTTCTTCGCCATTCCGGGTGTCAGGTGGGCGGCGGGAGAGTGGGGGGAGGGGTGGGGAGGGAGGGGTGGGGAGTGGCGTGTCTCTCTGTACTCTGCGCGTGCTTGCTCTCCCTCACGTGCGTGCGTGCCACACACCTGTCCAGGTGCTTGACGTTTCCTCGACCTGCCCTCCCTCCCTCCCGCCTCCCCTTTTATCTTCCTCTTTCCTCGCCCTTCACCCCCCCTGCCTCCCTCCTCCCCCAGGTGGCTCCTGAACAGCCGCCGCAATGCCGCCATAGAGGGCCGCAACGAGGTGCGCAGCCGGGCCGCCGAGCTGCTGCGGGGAGGCGACGTGCTGCAGGCAGCCGCGGCGGCAGCAGCAGCGGGGCCCGCGGCGGCGGCAGCGGCGCGTGCGGGAGCGGCGGCGCTGGTGAGTAAGATGGAGGCGGCACGGGAGGTAGCAGAGCAGGAGGCGGGAGGAGGGAGTGGGGATGAGGTGGCAGGGGGAGGTGGAGGGAGGAGGCGGCTGGGGCCGAGGTTGGTGTCGGATGCGGATATTGTGTTTGATAGTGGTCGGGAGGCGGCGGGGCAGCTGGAGGGGGTGGAGGTTCAGGATTGGGATGCGAGGATGGCGGCTAGGGGGCGGGGGAGGGGGCGGGAAGGGGGGAGGCAGCAGGAGCGGTGGCAGGATGGGGGGCAGGGGAGAGCGGGTGGCGGAGGTAGGGGAGGAGGTGCGGAGTGGTGGTAAGGGGTGGGTGGCTGGCTGTGAGAGAGGAGAGGCGAGAGGAAGGGCTCAGACTGGCTTTGGGGGCAGCAGGAGGCAGGGTATTAGGGCTGAGGGTTGTGGTGAGGGGAGGCTATACTAAACCAGCAGGGCAGACGAGTGGCATGGGCGATTGTTTTGGGTTGTGGGGCGGGATGCTCAAGTGCAACAGTTTGGAGACAGACCCCCACAGCTTTGCATGGTGGATCGCTGGTGCGAGGAGCGAGGAGCGAGGTTGCCAGATTGTAATAAAGGCAACGCTGTGGCGTTTTGGATAATAGACGATTGGAAGGGTGAGGGTGTGGCCCGTGTGGGTTTGCTGAGTTCGGCTAGCCCAGCATTCTGGCTTGCGAGTAGTGACTCGGCTTTTCTCACGTTGCGTCGTAGTCCCTGCCCCATGGCAGACACCGTAGTTGTGTGGAGTTAATTGGTAAGAGTTTAGAGGCGCTCCTTTATGGCTATTGGCCTGCATTCCTGTACTCGAGGAACCAAGTAAGCTACGACGGCGAAAGATGAGGGGTCCATAAGTTTCCAACTACAACCTCGTGCCTATGCCCCTGAAAAAGATAAACAATATATATAAGGGTGACATCGTCGTTTTCCTCCGCCGGTCGTCATACTTGCGCACATCGCATTCCCTACCCTTTTTACTTCGTTGTCATACAAGGCAACCAGCAAGATCCGCATGCGTGCTTGGAGCTGTATTAGAGTAAGGCGTGAAGGTCGTGTGCAGCGCTCGAGCAACACCAGCTCACCAGGTCAGTCACATCCCGTACAGCTTCTTGAGTTCTCCCATCTCAGGGTCGGTCCAATTCATTTAGCTATGGGAGAAATGCACTGCATAGGATGAAAACTATGACGACGATGCCGTCCTTTGCTCCTCATCGAGTTGGGGTTGGGTTGCTTGAGCGATTGGAGCCCATCCTCGGGAAGGAAAATGGACTTGTTTCAGCGGAGAGCCCGTTGGATCCGATGACGAGTTCTACTTCTAGCACGGGCTCTGAACTAGAGCTAGTTGAACTTCGCTGCGGACCGCCCACCGTGTCGAGCGTTGAGTGCCCTGCAGCGACTTTTTCCTGGGCACCTCTTAGCAATGTTCCAGAGGGACTCAATCCGACATACATGCTCGAAATACAACAAGTAGGTTGCTCGCTGCCCGCTCGCGTAGGTCGCCCGTTGCAGGCCCTTTCACACTTGTGCCTGCTGTTTGCAGCTTGAAAACGCGGAAAGCAGCCCGGGTAGCACGTGGCTTTCTGTCTACAGGGGTAACAAGCTGACCTGCAAGGTCAGTATACGAAAACACATTATCTCGATCGCGAATGAACTATTGCAGTCCTTGCTTGCATCGAAGTCTGAGCATGTCCCTGTTGTCCTATAGGTTTCAGAGCTTAAATCAGGAAGGTCTTACGCTGCACGGCTCCTTGCAAGCGTGGAGAGTGGCTCCCTTGCGGATGAGACCTCTCACGTCGCGGGCGTGGAGGTTCGCGTGCTGCACGCCGACCATATTGTATTTGCCACTCCGTCGGCGGTGCCATCCGGTATGCAACCGCCATCTCTCGTACAACGGGCGCGCAACGCGCTGAAGGTAAGTTCGCCATGCGCATCGGATGTAAGGGTGCACACCGTGATAACCCAAGTGCCTTGCTCGCGCAGCTTAAATGGACGGTCCCGGAGGACCCTGGAGGGGTTTTCGACCTCACCTATGTCCTGCAAGTTAGCCCTGCGCCCCAGGGGCTAGAGGGCAGCCGGACCTACATGGTACGTGTGCAGAGGGACTCCCCTTGCAAGCCGCGACGACTTGGGTCCGCATCTACATGGGGCCATAGCTAGTCTTTGGCGGGTTCCTTTAAGGACATACCAGCGATTTGTTAATATCCGGGTTCCATGTTGCCTAGGCACAGGCTAGCTAGTCATAATGCTCAGCACGGAGGGCTTGACCCCAATGTTACCTGGTCAATGTGGAAGCCTTGGGTTGAATTTGAAGAACACGTTGCCCTGCTCCACTATCCAGGGCTTCGTGGAGGTGTACCGTGGGCCGGAGCGCAGCTTCAAAGTGGTGAAGCTGCAGCCGGGAGTGCGCTACACCAGCCGCGTGCAGGCCATCAATCCTGTCGGGGAGGGGCCATTCAGCCTGTGCAGCGCCTACACGACGCAGGCGACGGTGCCTACACAACCGCAGCCGCCCACTGTACAGTCAGCAACGGCGGTAGGTCGGGCGAGGGTATGGTTTGAGTGCCGTGCAGTATATGGGCGTACGCCTGCTAGGCAAGATTTAAGGCGCGGCGCTTGCAATTTTGTGGGCTATCGTGCCACAGCAAAATGGGTTGCCAAGCTACTAGTCCAGGGCGCCTGACGTTTCCTCCCATCCTTGCCACGCATGCAGAGCACGTTGACGCTCAGGTGGACCCCGCCAGCGGACAACGGCTCACCCGTCACGGGATACAGCCTGGAGCGGGACGACGGCGCGGGGGGCGACTTTGCGCTGGTGTATGGGGGGCCTAACACGACGTTCACCCTGAAGGGGCTCAGGCCCGGGACGGGATACCGGTTCCGGCTTCGAGCCGATAACGACGTGAGTGGATGTGCCTGGGGTAATGCTTAGACATGGCTGCGAAGCCGTAGACTGGATTGTCCCCACGGAAATTTAGGTAGTGATGCATTCGGCATGGCGTGCATGAATCGCTTGAGTCAAGACCCAACGTGGAATTAGGCCCGGCTCATACTTCTGTTTGGCCTCTTCTTGTCTTACAATCACAGGAGGGTAGAAGCATATGGAGCGCGACGACGACGCTCTTGACTGGCGCGGCGCCCCCGAGCAGCCCCGAAGCGATGCAGGTGACGTCAGCTGGGCGAACATCGGCTAGACTGGTGTGGCGCGCTCCGGAGGAGGACGGCGGCAGCAACGTGTTGGCGTTCGAGGTAGGTGGGGGGACGAGAAAGGGGGCGGGTAGGATCCATTGGGGTTGCTTATGCGCAAGGAGATTGGTCCATGTATGACGGGGCCATGTCCCATGTGTGCCTGGTGGCGTACCGATGCACCATAGCACCTCTTGACTGGAGAAGAACACTGACATTACGTTGGTTGGCATAATGCCCGTGCACCCATGCACATGCGCGCGCCCACAGGTGGAGCTTCAGGCCATCTCCCGCGCCGCCACGGCCTGCATGGGCACCGACTGGCTCAAAGTCTTTGACAACGAGGTGCCGGGCTGCACCATCGAGTCGCTCTGCCCCGGATGCGCCTACCAGGTCCGCGTCCGCGCGAAGAACGCGGCTGGATGTGGGTCATGGACGCTGCCCCTGCAGTTCACAACCGCGGCGCATGTGCCGGAGGCGCCGCAGACGCTGCATGCAGCCCGCTGCTCGCCCTCCTCCATCTACGTCTTGTGGGCTCCACCCCGCCACGACGGTGGCTCCAAGGTCTTGCAGTACCGTCTAGAGATGGCGCCCGCCGGGTGCCACTGCGGCATGTGCCCTCAGGCGCTGGCGGCGGCACCGGCGGCCATGCTTCCGTACGGACCCCCGGGCGTGGGTTTCGCCGTACCGCCGCCACCTCCACCCCCACCGCCGCCGCTAGCAGCCCAGCATGGATCGGCGATGCTGCGGCCCACGCTGTGCCCCGCAGTTACTCCTGTCACCGTGTATACCAGTGAGACGGTGGGGTGGGAGCAGCAGGGCTTGCAGCCTGGATGCCGGTACATCTTCCGGGTCCAAGCGCTGAACGCGCAAGGAGCGAGCCCATGGACGGAATGGATGGCTAGCGCAACAACGGCCGACGTTCCGCTGACGCCTGCGCCCCCGGCGGTCAGCTGCGTAACAGCAGCTGACCTAGTCCTCAGCTGGCAAGTGCCGCCGGGACAGGGGGCACCCGTCACGCAGTACTCTGTGGAGGTTGCGACGCTGCCGCAGGCTCCCGCAGCGCTCTTGCAGCTGCCAGGCCGCACCGGCATCGTCACCGACCCATGGGTCGCGACCCTCGGCTTCAAGCTGTCCTACCGTGGCCCGGAGACCGGCTGTCAGGTTCGCGGCTTGGAGCCATTCACCGCTTACGCCTTCCGGTTGTGCGCTCATAACGACGTGGGACCGAGTCAGTGGAGCGTGTGTGTGGCGGCGGTTACAGGACACGCGCCGCCCACGTGTCCCAAATCCCTGGCGGCGCAGCCCTCCTCCAGCTCCTTGGTAGCGCTCAGCTGGGCACCTCCCGAGCGGGACTTTGGTGAGCCGGTTGTGTCGTACACCGTGGACATGGCTGCAGCAGGTCGCAGCGGCCACGGCGGGGGCAAGAACGCAGGGAACGGCAGCAGCGCATCCTCATGGAGCCATGTGTACACCGGACCAGGCAGCGCCTGCCAAGCGGGAGGTCTGGCGCCTGGCCGCACCTACCAGTTCCGTGTCCGAGCTTGCAACGCTTGCGGCTGGAGCCCTTACTCGCCAGTCGTGACGGCAACCACACTGCCGGCGCCGCCGTCAGCGCCTGGGAAGCCGGCAGCCTCTGGTCGCACGTCCTCGGGCTTCCGTGTGCGGTGGGAGGAGCCGGAGCACACGTACGGCGCCCACGTGACGTCGTACGTGCTGGAAGTATCTGAGGCGGGTACGGATGAGTGGGCGGCGATCTACACGGGCTCGGACATCGCAACCAAGGTTTCCAGCCTCCTGCCGGCGACGAAGTACCTCGTGCGTGTGGCAGCGGTCAACTCGGCCGGGCAGGGAGCTTACAGCGAGTGCGAGGCGGTGACCACGTTGCTGCTGCCGCCGCTGCCGCCCAGCGACTTATCCGTCAAGGAGGCCGGCTCCGAGCTCGCGATGCTCTCCTCAGATGCTGCCATGCAAGGCGCGTCTCCAGCAGCGGATGCGGCCTCGGGTGCCTCCACCACAGCGGTACCAGCAGGCAGCCAAACCTCTGTGCTCGTCTCATGGCAGGAGCCTGCATCCGACGCCACGCATGCTGCGGTCCTGGGCTATGAGATTGTGGCTACACCGAAGCCCGGCTCGGAAGCGGCGGCAGGACCCGGCGGCGGCGTCATCAAGCTGAACGTGGCGGGCCGGCGCTGCGACGCTCGGCTGGAGGGAGTGGTGCCCGGCTGCTTGTACGGCATCCGCGTACGCTCCGTGGGAGTGGAGGGCACGGGTCACAGTGGGTGGAGCGAGGAGGTGGGCGTGGCGACCCGACCGCGACCGGATATGGACGCGCTATCAGTCTGCAGCAGCGGCGGGGCTGGGGTTGCTTCTGGCGGGAGCGCTACGGGTGGCATGTCACAGCGGAGGAGCGGGACAGGGGCCAAGAGGGCTGCGAAGCAGCGTCAGCAAGCAGCTGCAGGGGCGGCAGCACCGCCGCCGCAGGCGCTCGCAACCACGGTCTCATCCAACCCTGCCGAGGATGGCGCGTCCGGCCCTAACGGCAGCAACAGCAGCGCCAGCCGCTCACGGGCAAGGGCGGGCGGCGCATCCTCGCGCGTGGCTGCGGCAGCCACCGTCGTCGTTGCCAAGAAGTTGCGCAAGGCGACAGCGCTGGAGCGGCTGGCGGATGAGACGCCGCGCTGGTTTGGCTGCGCGGTGGAGGCGGTTGCCAAGACCCTGTTTGGGCCGAACTGGCGGCGGGAGTACATCCGGCAGCTGCGGACGTTTGGCAAGTACATGTTCCTGCTATGTGTCGTGGTCCTGGTAGTCCTGGTGGTTCTGTCTAAGCAGTAGTAGCACCGCGGTAGGCATGCTTGGGGTTAGGGACGCGGAGTCCGCGCCGAGTAGGCCAACTTGTACGACGAGGTGTTTGGGGGATGGAGGAACGGCCGGTGGTGTGTTGATAGCGGCTAGGGCGGCCGCGGGGCATCATGCCTCGTTACTGGGAGCGTCCTTGAAGTCGAGGGTGGAAACCTCGGTGGATTAGTGGATTACATAGGGAGTAAAGGGAGTGGGTCATTGGAAGGTCCGGTTTTCAAAGGCTGTGGTGGCACGCAGCTACCTTGTGCGGTGGGTTGTGTGCTAATATGGCATGGCTGGGAGGGTTGCAAGGTGGCCTGAAAACGCTGCAAGGCTGATGCGACGGAGCTGTATTACGAGTGCAGATATCTGTGTGCGCTTTGTTGCTTCGTCGGCCAGGCCATTTTTTAGAACCCTTGTCGACAATGGTAAATTAACGTCAGGGGCCTACATACAGGTTTGAGGCATTCTTCTTAGGCCAGTCGCCGGCATTTCCTCTGGGCCGGAGTTCGTTCGTCTTGGCAGTTCCTAACGGCATCCGGGTCCATTTCAGTTGCAGGCTGCGGCAACCCAACTGCAAGGTTGCCGTATTGTTGTTCTTTTGTCCTTAGCCCGGGACGCGCCTAGCCACCGCCATGAAGGAATCCACTAGCTGCCCATCACGGCTCGCATTCATACCAAGATGCTGTTCTAAAACTTTTCACTATATGCAATTCCTGCTTGCAGTCGTTGTTGCTGAAACGGTGTATCAACGTGAGTTTGTCTTGCCGTGTGATGATGCCTTGTGCAGCACAGCGTCTTGTTTCTCTGCGTTTGCTGTGTTAGGATGGCTTAGGTGCGTCTGTTAGACTTCAGCGTTTCTCAAGGCTGTACGACAACGTCATGGAAAGTCCCGTGTCGACAAAGTCTAAATCCATCTGTACGCGTGAAGTGCCATGACTAAATTTAGGATCCTAGGGCTGCTGCTTTCTTGCATGAGTTGAGGATTGCAAGATCTGTCTCGCTGTGGCATGTGTTGCTGGTAGTTTGTTACCAAAGCTGGAAAGTGCTGCAAAGTCCGGCACCTCCTTTTGACGCTTGTTGCTATACAGGTGTATCTATGTGTGCCTTGCTGCATGTTTGTGTGCCGCTTCGGCGGGCCTGGAAAGTACGCGGGTATAAATATCACACGGGAATGGTGTGCAAGTGTGAAAAGGCGTCAAGAAAAAAGGTGTCATATCTTCCTAGGTTTCGCGGGAGTTGATTAGGCAAGAGGCAGCAATGTCATTTAGGGCAGGACCATGGACGTGTTATCCCCGGTCTGCGCATTGCATGCACGATGGAACGGGTTGGATGTCCCTAGGCGAAGCCTTTGGTACGCTGGCATTTACGGACGATACAGGCTGAAGCTCGCGCGTCTGGGTCGTCTACACGGTCTGTATGACGTGTGGCTACAATGGAGCCCATGCACTGTGCCGCGGCGTCTCCTGCAAGAGGACACAGATGAAAAACCATATTGATGTTACCGGTAGTTACTTTGCAAATACAGGGCTACGCCTCCCTGCATGTGGGGTCCGTGCGCTTAGGGCCCAAGAGGTGTAGAGGTGCCAAAGGAAAAACTGCGTTTCCGGTGCGCAGTGGGGTTGTAGAGGAAGATGTGCCGCAGAGGAGCCGCTACAGTGGTCTGCTGTGCGGTAGCCCTGAAGGGGCTGGTCTGCTGATACAAGCTACAAGTCGCGTACACGTGGCTCGCGGCTGTGTTCTGAGGAATGGTCGCCCGCCGCCGCGGGGTGGCGACTAGCAGGAGTGCTGTGCACTGCGTGCTCATGATGCGTACGGCATGCAGAGGGGGTGACATCTCGGGGCAATCCGGCGCTGGTGGGGGGTCTGCGGCAAGTCGCGGGGCTCTGCGTGTCGTCTGTGCAGCCATGCAGGGTGGTTACAAGGCAGGTGTGTGAGTGCACGACGTTCTGCATATCGGTACCATGATTGCATGGCCTTGGCAGGCTCTCGCCAGCACATCCGCGTAGCGACCAGTGTAGGGGTTTGTTGGGTATCCCGGGCCGTGGAAGAGGCGGGGAGGTATAACTGGCGCCATTGCGCGAGGCAGGTTTGCGAGCAAGAATTCTTGCGGCAACGAGCAAACTGTAAACCAGGACTGTACGGGCTCAGTCACTGCACTTCCCAAAACGTTACCCAGCGGGGGCTTCCCATCACGTCCTGATAACATCTGACGGCGTGGCTTCTTGCGTCGTCAGCGTCGACACTGCCGGGTTGGGCTGCCGAAGAGGCTGACGTCAGGAGTCGTACGTGCTGTGATGGCGGTCGCTTTGGCGGTGAGGAGCAGCAGCAGCGAGGACGACAGCGACAGCAGCAGCGAGCGACAGTTGCGGCCGATTGCCGATGTTGGGGCCTAAGTTGGCGCTGGCAGTGCTTTTGGCGCATTACGTGTCATAACCCATAGTGCTGTTCTGCTGTACGTACGTGCGTTAGGCGCAACCTTTGAACTGTGCCGATTTACCCGTACATACCGGTAAATCGGCAACACCCAAAACTGGGAAATATTTGTCACGTACCGGCCTGTAAGAGGCTGACGAAGCCTAGGGCTACAGGACCATAATGCTGGAAATCCTGGCAGATGCGAAGGCTGCCAGTGGCCCAGGGCCGGACTAACTCCGCTTCCTATAGTGCCCATGTATATTACATGGGCACTCCGCACACGTATATTGCAAATCCGGAGCTGCATAGTAAGGTAACACAAGGTACGTCAGGACATCTACTGCTGTGTCGCGAGTAAAACCTCCTCCTGCATACCTTCCACATCTCACGCGTTGCCAGCTGCCGTTATACCCCAAATGTATACCGCATCGCCCCTTCCTTCCCCCTCGCACCCTTCTACTGTTGCTGCGTATCGCTGTGCAAGAGCTCGCTCAACTCAGACTGACCGCACTGACACTGATGACGCAGCAGTATGCATGCAATGGTGCCGTCACGAGGCCCAAGACGTCACGTCATCCACAGCTTCCAAGCGCAGCAGGAAGTCCCGGCCACAGCCCGCAGCCAGCAGCGCTTGGCTGGCCACCCTGCTGCCCGTTCACATGGCTGCATGTATCGCTGCCCTGCCCGGCATGCCTTGCCTTGCCCTCCCTTGCCTGCATGAATGCCATGCCTTGCCCTGCCTGTATGCAGGGCGACCGGTATCGCTGCCCTGCCCTGCCCTGCCCTGCCCTGCCCTGCCCGGCTGCCCTCAGTCGTAGGTGCAGTCGATGACGAAGGGCTGGTAGGCGCGCACGAACTCCTCCACACTCAGACCCACCTGCGGGAGGGGTGCAGCGGCGGCGGGGGGTGAGCGGGGTTGGGCACCGTACGGCAGCTGGGCGGGTTGCAGCTTGCGGGCAGGAAGCACGCATGCCGGGCACGTGCAGAAAGAATCCAACGGTGACCACACGCACATGTACACCAGCAGCCCACACACAAGCTTGCATGTACACACATGCACAATTGCACATGCACCAGTTTTCTTAACACAATGCTGCACGCTACACACATGTAACCGCTACACGCTTACGCAATCCGTGGCAGCATTGCAGCCCATTACAGCCCCGCGCCCCAGCAGCAGTAGCAGCAGCGGCCCCACGCCGCACCTTGAGGTCCACCTCCCCCGCTCCCAGCCAGAACCGCCCGGCCGGCAGCTGCGTGATGCGGTGGCTCAGCACGATGGGCAACCGCTCGCGCATGCAGATGGGGGTCACCGCGTTGTGGCTGAAACCCGTCAGCTCGTCATTCACCTGGGGGGAGGGAGGGAGGGAGGAAGGGAGCGAGGGAGGGAGGGAGGGAGGGAGGAAAGGGGGGCGAGGGGTGTTGAGTGGGGGCTGGGGAGTGCAGGCCCGCAACCCTCCGCAGGTTGGCCAACCTGAGTCCTCTCCCTCTCCTGAAGGTTGCGAGATTTCCTCAGCCTCGGCAAAGCGCAGAGTCCCTAGCAGTCCATTCAAACTAGGCCTTCTCCTCCCCCCGCCCCACACCTCCTCCGGCGCCAGCCTCATGTTGTAGTACTGCCTGCCGTACTTGCGACCGCCCAGCTCCAGCAGAGCCATCTTGAGCTTGTCAGCATGCAGCCGGGCGGTGTACTGCAGTAGTGGGAGAAGGGAAGAATACAACAATGTGTTCACGGGGGCATAGGGTGGAGCTGTGGATTTGGATCTGGGTTTTGACCTGGATTCGGAATTGGATCTGGGTTTGAATCTGAGATTGGGCATGGGTTGGGGCAAACAAGTGCCGGGGAAGCGAGGCGAGGCCACCTCCTGTGTCATTACATGCCGTGCTCCACCCTGCATACACCGCCCTCACCACGCTGTCGTTCCCCCTCCCATAGGGTACCTCCCAGCCCAACTACCCGACCCACACTCCCCAATCCCCTTCCTCCCCCCTCCCTCCCTCAACGCATGGTTCTCCTTCTTCTCCCCGGCCTCCCCCCCTCCCCAGGCCCATTCCATCCCTCCCCAACCGCCCAACCTGCACGATGACGCAGTAGTACTTGGAGTGGCGCGGGTCCTCCCAGCCGCGCACCTCGGGGTGAGCCCGCGTGTTCTCCATGACGATGCTCTTGCACAGCTGGTCCTGTTGTTGGGTTGCAGTAATGACACGGAGGAGGCGACAACGCCAGTCGTCTTCGGCTCTCCGCAGGTACCGGTGCACCAGCCAAGTTGTGTAAGGTGACAAGCTTTAACACGTGCCACAGCTGGTGCTGTTGGGATGCGTGTTGGCGTTACCTGTCACGCGACAGGACTCCGATGCCGACATCATCAGTGTGGTTTGCAAGTACATGCTACATATATGCGGCCCATGTGTGCCTCTTGTGGCGTACCCTAGAAGCTATTGCGGTGACAATTCACGTGCCACATACAATGGAAAGCTCATGGAAAGCACAAAGAAAGGACGCTTTCGAGAAGAGACAGCTGCCAACGCCTAACTACCAGTGTATGTGTAGGAAGCGGTCATTTAGCAGTATGGCATTTAACGCAAGATGCTGCTTGTGTAATGTCCCGATGCGCCTTCCGTACCCACCGTACGGGTACTTACCACGTGCTCCGCCTGCAGACAAGCCCGGCGGTACTCCAGCGGCTGGTCGTAGTAGTCAGCTGGCACGCGGACGAAGCGCGCCGCGGAGAAGCCGCGAGCCGCGAGCTCCGCCTCTAGACGTTGCTGGGTGGGACTGGCGTCGGGGGTGACGGTGATGGAGGTGGAGGTGGTGGGGGTGGGGGCTGAGGTGGGGGTGCTGGAGGAGGGGGAGGGGGTGGAGGGGGAGGAGGCGGGAGCCTGCTGGTAGGGGTGACGAGGGTAAGGAAGGGGTGAGGGGTTTGGTGCACTGAGCAGGCTGGGAAGATTGTAGGAGGGTGAACTGATGTGGTGTGCGATGGCTGGCTGTAGCTAGTAGCGAGGGGGGAAAACGGGAAGGGCATGTGTTGCTGGAGCGCGGGAGCACTGAAGGCACGTACCTGTGCCGCTGACAGGTCCAGCCCCACCGCCTGGGCGAGCTTCTCAATCCGCTGTAGAATCGCGACCTGGCGCTCTTCTAGGGAGCGCGCCTCCAGCTGCTTTTGCAGGCTGGGATGCTGCTCGAGGTTGGAAAGACGTGCAAGGATCGCATCATAGCGAGCAGCAAGGGCGCTTGCATCGACCATTATGAGGGTTAAACAAGCCGTGATCACGTGTCAGAAGGCATTCGGTCGGAAGCAATTGGTAAGCATTAGTCGCCCTAGGGTCGCCGATCCATTCTGCGCCGTACACACTGTTGCCTTAGTGAAGTCGACGATAGCTGAGAATCAGGCATTGCTTGCTAGCGTAATCACTAGCATGCGAAGTCGCAGGATTGCGCAGACAGGGTTTATCATATGATTAGCGTTCTGTTTGTTGTCTCTTTTGTTTACTTTTCTTCTTTTGGTTGTTTTCGCGTTTTGTGCTCGCGATCCATGAGCCTTCTGGCTCGGACGGATCTTACGAGCTCGGTACGAAGCTTGTAACACATACATACATACATACATACGATAGCTGAAGCGAGCGAGATAAATACTTACTTGCATAGACCATTACAAAATGACAGACTGGGTGCCACTTGACGAGAAGGAGCTTTTGCAAGAGGACGATAATAAAGCTTATCATGACAATGCTTCTCCGCAAGAACAGCAGGTACAGATGTGTATAGACCACTTTCTAACATTCCAAACAGCTCTCGTGTGGGTTCCACAGTAGGGCAGAATGTTGCAATGTCTTTTCGCGGGCGCGCAGCACCAAGCCTCTACGTCCCTCCAGTCACGTTTTGCACTCCCTGGGTCTATGCCCTAAACCGTAATCCAAACCTCCCGCTGCATAACCGGACCTCCGGCAATGTCGCCTCAACATCCTGCCTCTCTCCTCTGTTTCCCTTCTCGCCTGTCGACCCCTAACACGTCCTTTCCTTCCCGTCCCCTTTCGCATCCATCCCGTCCACACCCCCACCCTTCCCATCCAGGCTCCCCGCGGCGAGCCCTTCTCCGACCCCCCAGGCGAAGCCCCCACAGGCCGCAACAACAGCGGCCGTGAGGTCACCCGCGAAATGATTCTGCGCGCGCTGGAGCGTCAGCGGCAGGGCGCCTGGCGGCGGGGCTCCGGCGGGCCCACGTCCGAGGACCCGCATGCGGAGGACCGCTTCCTCGCCGCGCAGTCTCACCTGCACCTGAACGGGCTCCACATCGGGCGCATCGCCAACCTGAAGCCGCTGACCACGCTGGAGGTGAGGGGAATTACATAAAATAAATGAGCCGCGAGGTGAGGGGGAGGGAAAAAACAAATGGACAGTGAAGCAACGGAGTTTCAATCCCGGAAGGGAGGGAGGGAGGGAGGCAGGGTCGAGGTAGGATTGTGATCTGGGTTTGTTTGGGATGTGCATGCAGCGTTACGGGAAGCGTAGGCAGGAGCCGAGGTGGGAGAAGGGAGACGGGTCTTCCACTTAAGCAGGCTAGCTACACACAGCTGGGGGCTACTGCTTGGGTTGGAATGCCAACCCGTGTGCTTGCACAGCTGCCCGGCTCTAGGGTTGGTAGCGGACAGGAGCCTCCGGCGGTGAGCTTGCAGCAGCAGGGTAACCGCACTAGCAGCAGCAGCAGGCGGAGAGCCGGCAGCAAGAGTAGCAGTTGCTGCGTAGGGATGTGGGGAGCACTAGCAGCAGCATGCTAGGCAGGGATATCCAAGAGCGATGCATGGCCATGAGAGCCGCAGCGGCAGCAGCGGCGGCGCTGCCATGTCTTGATAGCAAGCGCGGCATGAGGAGCATTGAAGAAACCAGGGCCCTGGCTCACCAGCAGGTTTAGCGTCGCCCTGACCCCGGAAATACGGCAGCTGGCTTTTTATTGTAGGAGAGGCCCCCGCATGAGGGAAGTCGTCGAATTGTTCCAGCTGCTACCTAAGTTGATGTCAGAGCGCGACACAGGGGCAGAGAGACGCGCTAGCTTGGTGATCAGCCAGCGGGCACCTCATCGCACCTCATCGCACCTCAGGACACCCTTGCCGGCATGCGTTTCGCCTGCCCTCTCATTCCCCCATCCTGCCCTCTCCCAATCCCTGATCCCTGATCCTGACTCTCGTTGTTTGCACTTATTATAAAATCCCCCCCAGGTGCTCTACCTGTACGACAACCACATCCGCGTCATCGAGGGGCTGTCGCACCTGCGGCGCCTGACGCACCTCTACCTCTCCAACAACGACATCTCCCAGCTCAGCGGGCTAGCGGGTCTGGGCTGCCTACAGAAGCTGTACATAGAGCAGAACTGCCTGCAGGTGGGGGCGGGGTAAGAGGAAGCACAACGAACGGACCGTGTGTTAAGGCGTCATCATGGTTTGCACGGACCGTGTGTTAAGGCGTCATCATGGTTTGCAAGGGGATGGAGCAGAGGATGGCTGGGGCCACGGCTTCTCAGCTCTCAAACGGGCCAAACCCTCCTGGCTCTGTTCACTTTCCCACCATCCCCTACCGTCCTCCTACCGTCTTTGGTTTGGGTGATTCCGGCGGGGCGGGATGGGTCGGTGCAAGCATGGTGCGACCCATGGTAGGGAGCCTAGCAGCCTACCGGTATCTGTCATACTGTTAGTTAGCTCCTCCTTCCTCCTTACCCCCATCGCGCCATGACGCCCCGCCAGGTAATCAGCGGCCTGGAGTCCTGCCCCTCCCTTGAGGAGCTCCACGTCTCCTCACAGCGCCTGCCTCCCGGCACCTCCCTCACCTTCCACCCCGCCTCCATCACCGCACTCGCACCCACCCTCCGAATCCTCACCGCCGCGCACTGCGCCATCTCCTCGGCTGCCGTACGAGGTCTAGCCGGGCTGTACCGCCTGCGCAAACTGGATCTGTCGTACAACGCCGTGGATGCGTTTGAGCCGTTGGATGCGGTGGTCGGACCCGCGGGTCAGTTGGGTTCGCTGGACTTGCGCGGCAACCCGGTGTGTCGGCTACCCAAGTACCGAGACACGGTCATCCTGATGAATGATTCGGTGACGTCACTGGATGATGAGCCGGTGGGTGGTGGGGCGGTGGGGTGGTGGGCTCCTTCAGCTAGCTGCATGGGGTTGAGTGGGCTGCTGTTGGGATGGGTTGGAAATGTGGCTTCTGGGACAAGGATAAGAAGGGCTTGAGAGTGGCTGGAGGGAGTCGAAGAGGTACTGAGGTAAGAAATAGGCCACGAGCCCCGATTGCATTTTGCATACCGGTACCCCAGTGCATGCATGCAGCCTCTCGCTTGATGGCGCCCACGCCTGCTGTTGTAACTCCCCCGCCGCCCCAACGCCCCGCAGGTCACCGCTCAGAACCGGGAGTTCCTGCTGCGGCTGCACATCCGCCGCATGAAGGCCCAAATGGCAGCAGAGGCCAAGGAAGACGCAGTAGCAACAACATCCGCAACCGCAGCCACAACAGCCAGCGGCGCTTCCGGCAGTTGCGGCAGAACCAGCGGTTGCGGTACGGCAGCAGCAGCAGCAGCGCCCTCAACAAGCGGCATGGGCATGTCGGGGCACGGGTACGGCGGCGGGGATGCGTACGGCAACAACGGCAACAACAGCAGCAGCGGCCATGGAGTCTCAGGCGCCCCCAGTCGTGTCCCGCCGCGAACAGGGGGCTTCCATCCACCTGCACCGGGGGGGACAGGGTCGGGGGCGGGGACGGGGGCGGGAGCGCGGGGGCCGGTGAGCCGTAGCGGTAGCAGCAATGGCATGGGGACTCGAGGCGGCGGGGCGGGCGGGGGCGGGGCGCGAGGGTCGTCAGGGGTGCATGGGGTGACACTGGGGATGGACGGCATGTCGCTAAACCGATAGCTGGAGTTGGGTAGCTTTAGGTGGGTGGGTGGTGTGGCAAGAGCGTGTAGGGTTGGTGGCGGGAGAGGGCTATGCTTCCTGAAGAGTAGGGGTTAGGGGCGGGCGAGCGCGCGGGAGGGTTCGGTGGGTGGGTCTCAGACGTGGCGGCGTTCCATGACTGTAGGAGGGATGGCTGGGCGTGCAAGTGCCTACCGTATATCGTTACGGGGACTGGCAGACCCAGTCCTGGTCAATGTGGGAAACTGTGTGGTGGGCGGTGAGGCCAAGGAACGCGCGTGTGGGATGGCTAGGCGTGCGCGTGCTGCTATGGTGCGCAGGGAATGTGTGGTGGCGCAAAGGTGCGGGCCACCCCATCCCTTTTGCACGCTCGTGCGTGCGTTTGTGTGAGAAGTTAACTTCGATAGCGAAGCGATGAAGCATGGAGGCACTGCTCGTGAAGCTAGTGATGCACATGCATACACAGCGCACGGCAACCCCAGTGTGCAGCCCTGCCAGAGGGTGTTACGGTAGTCGTAAGCAGGTGGGCTTGCTGGGTGTTGTGTGTCTTCCAAGGCAGCAACGTCACCGGTACACGGGCGGTGGGTCGTACCACCGCCCACCGGTCGCGCGCGGACGGTGATCAGGAGGCACGGGTAAACAGAGGTCAGGGGACGCTGTTGCGGGGAGCTGGCGCACCACGGGATGCTGGAGCACAGCACACAACGCTGTGGTACCGGTAAGTGCCGCATGCCGCAGACTCCATGTGACTTGGAGGTCTCCGGTAAGATTTACCGTATGGGGGCCTGTGGGCATCAACGGAGCAAGGCGCGAAGTAGCCGTATGGTAGCTGCTTCTTGGGGAAGGCGATGGGGGTGCCGCCGCTGCTGCGGGTGCGTTGGTGGGGTTGCCCCACAAGCCTGAACGCACGAATACCTGGTAGCGTGGAACTGCGGTACTGCGGACCACTGCGTTGGTGTCGGGGGTAAAAAGGAAACTGACAAGCTATGTGAGGAAGCTGGTGTCGCGGGGGGGCGCGGCATGGGTATGGTTCACGGGCTATGTGTGCGGGGTAGTGCACATCTGCGGCTGCGCATCCCGCTGCACACTCGCCGCCAGCAAAGGGAAGCGCCTGCGGCAGATCTGTGAGTGTGGTTCAACTGGCGTCAACCTTTGCTTGGTACAGTTTCAAACGGACCCATGCCCATTCCAAGCTGCACGATTGCGGTGGCTCGCTGTATGGTATCGGGTCCGAAACCACGAGCCAGGAAAGCGGCAAGACGGTAGGCTGCGGGCCAGAACTCCCACCCGAGCAGACAGTCCGCTTTAGAAGATAGCGGTTGTGGGAGTGTGGGCTGCAGTTGTGCTGGTGCCTGGTGATGAGGGCGGCGGATGACTCAGGTTGTGGCGGCTGCTGAAGGAAACCATACTAACGTGCTCCACCAAGATGATCGCGAGCGGAAGATTGCTTGTAGATGGAGTATCAGCAGAGCGCTCCTTGGTGCGCCATGCGCTATAACTGCGCAAACTGCAGAGGCTTGGCGCAGATGACTGCCTCTTCAGCACCTGCAACCTCGGTATTTTGCTTGTCGAAGAACTGTTATAGGCAATGCAAGCGCATGGCAATGAACAGCCGAGGCCTATCGCTTTAGGTTGCCCTTATTAGACGGCCCCTTGCCGCGCGTAAGCATGGGGGATAGGCACGATTGTGATTTGATACGCGGTTGGAGCAGTTAGCTACCGTAACGTCAGCCGAGATACGATACTTGGCCACGTGGGTCGTTAAATCCATTACGAACGTGCAATCCAGCCAATCCTTCTAACTGTACGGGCCGCGCTGTTAAGCCCCACGGTTCTATGGAGAGCGCTTGTAAAAAGGCTGGCCGTAATCACTTGAGGCCACGCCATTTAACGCAACTAGCTTCGACATAACGTGGCACTCATCATAGAAGAGCCCCGTAACGTGTAACTTTGCTGTATCGCTGCTGAGCAAACTGCCTTGACTGCGTTACTTCAACGTATTATATCGTAGCGGTAGAAAAAGTAGCAGACCCCGTTAGCGGCACAGGCCTCCAGGCAACTGACGCATCAAGGAGAGCTTCGAGGGTGCAACGTTCGTAAGCATCATCTATCGCGTTGCTTCATACCAGAAGGCAGGAGAACTTTACAAGGTGCGTTAAGCGCGGTTACTGTGCGAAGTTGGCAGGCGTGTTGCGCTCTTTGCGCGGGTTTGCGTGTGCGAAGGCCGTGTCCTCCAGTGAGTATGCCCATAACCTTCTGGCTGCACTAAGGTTTTGCCTTGCTATTGCGACGGGTTAGGGGGTCAGCGGCATACATCCTCACGTTGGTCTCGCGGTCTGGACCGTACCCTTGCGATTTATGCGCCGCTTGGCCCGATACGTGTGTCTATGTTGTAGCATAGGTTCTGATCTTCCTGCCTAAAGTGTTACGTGGCACATTTCAACACTCAGGCCTGATGGCAGGTGGACTCAGGTTCGTCGGCTTTCCTTCTTGAACAGGCGTCGGAAACCAGACTTCACTTCATCGAATGCTTTCCGGCTCCCTCTCAGCGGGCTGGAGACTAAGCGGCACAGAGTATCGTATGCATAACACGTCGCTTGGAGTCCAGGTATACATCTATATCTATCCAAGTTCATTGCTTCCTTAGTCGCTTGCTGTGGTATGTGGTTTGCATGTTATTTAGCCTGAGGTCGGGGTGCTTCGGTTGTCGTTGGGTATGGTGAAAGCCCTGCTAAGCGCGCCAAATGCACCATGTAGGTGGTCGGGGGCGTTTTACAGGCGCAGACTCTCTCGAGCGAGACGTTACATTCAATGTATGATCCGTCAACCGACCGCTCGAGAGGTAAGCCAAGGAATGCCATTTACTGCTAGCCTTGGCGGACCTGAATCGTTAGCGTTAGCTTTTGGTGTTGCAGGTGTGGCATCCGAAACTGGCAGCCTGCATCAGCAGTCCAGCATGTTGAAGAATGCTTCAGATCCCAGCTTGCGGTCAACTGCCAGCAGCTTTGCCGACCTCGAATCAGCCGGGTATGCCAGGTGCGTAATGTTGCTAGCGGTCGCGGCTTGGGGAGTAGCCTTCTCTCCTGTGTGGCATTTTTACAAAGGTTGTTTTTCGTCAGGTCTGGGTATCAGCGCCAAGAGGAGCAAGATATTTTTAGCGCTGTCGGTGGCATGGAGCTCGGGATGGACGCTGAACTGGAGGCTATGGGCGCTGACGCGGCTTCGACCAGCGGCTACGAGCCCCACTCTGAGCCCTCCCGCACGCTCTTTGCCCGGCACATCAACCCAGCGGCCTCGGATGAAGAGCTGTTGGCTATGTTCAAGGTATGACGACTAAGTACGACGCAAACTTACCCCCCACACACCCCAACCAGTTATTTTAACACCCCAACCACCCCCTAGCACAACGGCCGCCCTTAGCAGATAAGGACGGTGCGCCACATGCCCCCCATCCCTCCTTCTGTGCCTGTTCCCCCCTTCCTCCATGCGAACCCCCAAATCCCCCCTAAACCCTAATCCGTGGCTGTTGCATCACCGCCCAGGTGTTTGGCGACGTCCGCCACGTCTACACCGTCAGCAAGCACCGCGGCTTCGTCATGGTCACCTACTACGACTTGCGAGCGGCTGCGCGGGCGCAGGCCGCCCTCAACGGCATCCCCCTTACCGGCGTCCCGCTAGATGTCCACTTCTGTGCACCGAAAGGCGACCAGACCGCCAACCAGGTAGGGCCAATGGGGCATACGCATGTTTGGTACTCTAGTTTGACCACCGGCGTGCTGGCGGTTGGGTAGCTTACCGATGCATCGCTCCCCAAACACCCTTGTGCTTGCTCGTCATTGTCGCAGTACACGCGCTCCGTAGGTGGCGCGCGGGTTCTTTCAGCTTCCTCAGTGCCTCACGGCGTCCTCAGTGCGGCCTTACCTCCTGTCCTTTAACACTTGTAAACGTAACCACCGCGTGCTGCAGGGCACTGTCACGGTCTTCAATCTGGATCCCGACACCTCCAACGACCACCTCGTCTGGCTGTTCTCCAAGTTTGGCGACGTCAAGGACATCCGCGAGTCGCCCGACCGCAGCAACCAGAAGTTCATCACCTTTTACGACACCCGTCACGCGCTGGCCGCCCTGCGCGCCATGAACAAGGCCGAGCACCTGGGCAAGCTGCCCTCCAACATGCCGCCTCCCACCGCGTCCGCGCTGTCTTCGCAGGAGGCGCTGGCAGGCATGGAGGTAAGGCGGAGCGCATGGGGGGCTGGGGGTTGCTAGCCTAGCCTAACTCTTAGCATGTGGCTCCTCATCTGTATTCGCAATCCGTTTGGTCCTTAGGTACGTGTTCTGCCTCGTGTTCAAGGTCAGCGGCTTCCATGCGGCTGAATGCTCACACCGGTGCGTGTTCCTGTCTCATTTGCCGCCTCTACCCTCGCCAGGGAGCCATCCAGCGCGGCCACTTGGCTGCTGGCCACCACGGTGGCAGCGGCGGAGCCGTCGGCGGCGCGTGGGATTCCCAGCAGTCGGTGGAGGCGTTGTTGCAGCAGGCGCATCTGAGCGCCAAGGGGGGCAACAGCACGTCGCGCGCCTCCTCGCAGGCCGGCACCACCTCACCCAGCCCCCTGCCGGGCACCTCACCTGCCGGGGCGCACTTCATGGTGCGAGCGCGCGCGGGGCACCAGGAGGCGCAGGTGAGCGGAGGGGACCGCGGTGGAGGACATGGGGATATGAACTTACCGCTAAAGGGAATCGCCGTTTTTGTTTAGGAAGTGTTATCCAGATATTGTAAGGAAAGGCTGGAATGCCGCTATGGGCTGGTTGGCTGCTGAGCACGTGGGACGCACGCAACTGAGCGCTTACCGTTCTCCGCTCGTAGGTACCGCCCGGCCTCTCCGTCAAGTTCCAGCATCATCCCCAAGGCTCCATGAGCGCTTCCCAGCACCAGCACCCCCACCCTGTCGACCCCATGGCAGCCTCAGCCGGCCTTCGCACCGGGGGCATGCACGTCTCCGACTCCGCCTCCAGCATGTCAGGCGTGGCGGGCCAGGCAGCCAACCAGCTGCTAGCAGCCGCCGCGGCGGCTGCTGCCGGGCGCAGTCCGCTGGGCGGCGGCGGCATGATGGGCCCGCATGGCGCGGCGGCTGCGGCTCATCTGCACAAGGCGGTTCCCTCCCTGGCGACGCTGTCGGAGGCAGCGCAGACGCTGGAGGGTCCCGCGGGGCTGTATGCGGCTGCTGCCGCTGCCGCTGCGGCGGGTTCGATGATGGGGGGAGCGCAGGGAGGTGGTGCGGGTGGTGTGGAGCACCGGATGGGTGGCAGCACTGCGGACGTCAACGCCGCGGCCAACATGCTGATGGGCCTGCAGCTCAGTGCGGCGGCTTCCGGCGGTCAGGCCGCCACACCCGAGCAGCAGCTCTGGGCGCTGCAGCAGATATCTGCCAGCACCGGTCAGTCAGCAGCGGCAGCGCCTGGACAGGCGGGCATGTGGGCCGCTGCAGCAGCAGCGGGATCCCTGTACGGCCAGGCTGCCACGCAAGCCGCCATGCCTAACGCGGCAGCTGCCGCTGCGGCCGCCAGCGCTAACCTGCAGGCGCTGCGGCTGCAGCAGGAGCTGCAGGCCCGCCAGGCGCAGCAGCAGCTGGCCGTGGCTGCCAACCTGGCATCTCTGCAGGGACAAACGCTGTCTGCAGCGGAGCTCAACGCCGCTGCGGCGCAGCTGCTGCACATTGCGGGTCTCGGCCACGCGCTGGGCCCCGCTCCCACCGCCTCCAACGCGGCGGCGGCAGCAGCGGCTTACCTGCCGCCGGCTGCTGCTGCCGGGCTGGGTGTGCCTGCAGGCAACGCAGGTGGCTTGGGAAACCTCGGCGGCGCTGCTGCTGCGCAGCAGCTGCTGCAGCATGCCATGGCCATGGGCAATGTCAACGCGCTGGGCGCCCTGGGCTCCATGCAGGCGGCTGCGTTGGGCGTGCAGGCGGGGGCGCATGGTGCGGGTCGGCTGGGCGGCTCATATGGGTCGCTGGCGGGGGCGCTGTCCGGTGCTCAGGGCGGGCACCACCATGGAGCCGGCGGCAGTCGCGATGCAGCTGGCGGCGCGGGTAGCCGCGGCGGCGGCCGATTGAGTCGCCGTACGACTGACCCGGCGGCGGAGCTGGAGCGGAAGATGCAGCAGGAGAAGCTGTATGCACTGGATGCCGTGAAGATTCGTGCCGGCGAGGACAAGCGTACGACGCTGATGATCAAGAACATTCCCAACAAGTACACCCAGAAGATGCTGCTGGCCACCATTGACGAGCAATTCAAGGGCGCGTACGACTTCTTCTACCTGCCCATCGATTTCAAGAACAAGTGCAACGTGGGTTATGCGTTCATCAACATGATCAATCCCCTTGACATCATTCCCCTCGTCGAGCGCTTCAACAACCGGCGCTGGGAGCGGTTCAACAGCGAGAAAGTCTGCAGCATCAGCTACGCGCGCATCCAAGGCCGTGCTGCTCTTGTCGCGCATTTCCAGAACTCCAGTCTCATGCACGAGGACAAGCGCTGCCGACCCATTCTCTTCACCGCGAACGGCGCCGAAACCACCGACCCGGAAGCCTTTCAGAACGACTCGCTGCAACAGTCCATGCAACCCTCGGCTGCGGGCTCGACCGCTTCGGCGGCTATGGCGACGACGGGTAACCCAATCGCTGGTCTGCAGTCGTCCGCTACGGCAGTCCCGGCAGCTGCTGGTGCGCACATGAGCGGTCCTGCTCGGCTGCGGGCGGCTGCTGCTGCCGCGGCGGCAGCTAGCGGCTCCGTAGGCCAACTGCCGCAGTAGGATCTGCTCTGTGCTGTTGCTTGGCTGGGGGAGGGCTTGGCTACTTTTGCCACGCATCCGAGGCATGTGGGGCCGCGAGTCCTGGCAGAGGCGGTGCTGGGGCGCAGTGTCATTGGGGGGGGCTGAAATGGTGGGTTTGTATTGCATAATGGCTGACGTTTGGCGGCGGGGGTGTTGTTGGGCGGATGTGTTTGCATGTAGCTGCTGCCGTTTGGATGTCAGCGTATTGCGAGTAGAGTAGTTGACAAGACCGCCTCCTTGCATGTATACCTCCTGTGGAGCTTGTGAGGAGCTTTCTTCCATGCATCGTTGTTGGCGTTTCTGTTGTATTTGCTGCTGTGTCGATGCTGCCAAGGGCTTGTTTGACCGAGGCAGTTTGGATTTATGTTTGAAGCGTACGGTTCTGTTTTGACCTGTCGACATTCTTGTGGTGGTTAATTGATGATGCTGATGAACAACCAACAACAACGCGCGCCGGGCAAGCTGTTTGTTTGTTGGCGTGTCGTTTTGGCACACTTTTGGCTGTGTGTTGTTAGGGCGTCCGCCGTCTTCTCCTTCTCGTCAAAAGTATTGAGGCCATGCTTCTGATGGGGCCTTTTCCGTTCCACACGGCGTCCTTAGGGCGCGCCTTGTACTATACCTTGCCCTTCGGCGTGCGGTTGCCGGTCGCGCTGCAAGCGTTTGTAGTGTGGGGTATTGTACTTTTGGCCGGCATGTGGGCCATTGTTTGTTGCTGCTAGCATGCGGTATGTGGCACGCTCGGGGCAACCCTTTAAGGCTCGGGGCGTGCGGTCGGCGGTTTCCCTGGTTTGGGAGGCGATGCCTGGGATGCAGCTTGGCATTTTTGATCGTGGAAGAGACAGCGCGCAAAACGAGTTTTGGACTGGATTGGGACTGTGGACTGATAGTTGCGCACAACGCGTCGTAATGCAGCACGTGTGTGCTTTTGTGTTCGCTTGGCTTGCAGCTGTCGCTAGGCTGCTTGCATGCCCGTGTGTTTGGCACGTTTGGCTGTACTACTGCGGAATGGAGCGGGCGGCGGCTGTGTCGAATTTTTCCAGGTGGTGGTTCCATTCGATGTCCTTGCCCCCCTGTTATCCTCAAATCACAACGCCGCCGTTAAGAGCAACAGAGGACACTTAATTTTGTTCGCGTTTAGCATTTGCCTAGGCATCTGTGAATCGTGGCAGAGAACGTGCGTTGTCCACCTAGGCGGGTTTTCTTTTGTTGGATCGTGTGGCTTGCTTGCTTTGTGTGCGTAGGAGAGGTGAGTGGGTGGGTGACGACCTTTTTGAAAGTTGAATTAGCAGTGCTTGAGTTGCGCAAGCTTATGCTGACTAGTCGTGTATGCCGTCCTAATGCGTTGGTGTGTGGTAAACCTCGGCGTAAAGTAAGAACGACTGATTTGAATCTTGTGTGTCTGCAACAGCCGAGGACGTACTGGGTGGTGGAAGGGCCCATGCACGCTCCTCTCTACGGTCGAGCTGTTTTGTCGACATGAAACAGAAGGTTTTGGAAGTGAAATGTGCAGTAGCGGTGGGCAGTAGAGGTGCACAGAAGAAGAACATGAAAAGTTCCGAGTCATGAGGACCCAGCGTCAGTGTCCCTGCTGCTTTTCAAATTTTGGAGGATCGAAAGGGTCGCATGCTCTGTGGTTGGCTGCTTAGGTATCCGCATGTGCGGTAAGGCTACAACACGACCCGTGGGTCGTTTTGTCCCAGGCACGGCCCTCTTGCGCACCGGTGCATTACATCGCACGTGCGTGCGCAGGGTTTCCTTTCTGTTATTTGGTTTGGCGAGGAGAGACTTGAATTGTCACTTCCCAAGGGGTTCGCGCGTTGTGTTTGCTGCGTGCTTGTGAATCGGCTTGCAATTCCCGTTTTTCCACTGGTTCCTGAAATACTTGGGGCGCAAAGGTGGAGGTTGCACGGCTGTCCATTGCGCATGGCTCGACGAGAAAAAGAGATCTGTTTGCTGAGCCCGCCTTGTATCCATGTGGCCGTGTGCCTTCTTGGCTGTGTCGCCATCACCACATCGTACTATTGAGATTCTTCACAAGACAACCTTTTTACCTGGTACCTGTGTTTGGCAATGCGGCGCGAGGTCTGGATTTGAAAAATGGTTGGAGAGAACGGTCGATCTGATGGGAGGTGCTTCTGCATCGCCCGCGGTATTGTCCACTGAGGCTCATGTACGGGAGGGTGCTTGAGGTGGCTTGGTTTTATGTTCGCAACGCCGTTGTTGCATGTAGCGTGGAACCTTGATAGGGCCTTGCGGCTGCATCCTTGGTAGGTTGACCCCATGCGCGAGCACGTTTTCTTGAATAGTGCATTGTTGAGAAGCGACTCGGGTGCTCGGCCCTGGTGTGAAGGTAACGAACAGCATGTGTGGGTTGGCTGACGGTGGGAAGACAGAATGCACTCTCATAAAGGTGTGCTGCTGCCAATGTGGCTGACCCTCGTGCATGCGTTGGTGCCATTTTGCGGTACACGGGTCATGATACCTGCATTCTGCCTCCGTTGTTGTGCGCCGGTCAATAGCATTGCAAATCAGGCGGACAATGTCAGCGTGCACATCTGACAAAGACGTGACGAGATGGCGTGTCCCACGGTTCAGCCACCCCTGGCTATGCGCACCATTTTCTTTGGAGGGCGCCCGTGCCATGTTTGTTATGTACGCTTCAATAAGCGTGTTATGCAAGATGCAGTGCTGTGTTTGGCCTTGATAAACATCGCGGGCTTTGTCGGTACGGTTTTATCTTAGCGCTTTTGGCCGTGTGTGGGACCTTAGGAGGGCGCCTAAGCAACGTTGCTTGAAAGTTTTGCCACTAGTAACTGTTGGGTTCACGTAACTCGTTCCATCGTGTTGTTTGTTTTTTCGTACGCGTAATTTTTTTGCGGCAGTTCAGCGAAACCTAATTTTGCTCTTCTTTAGGGTGTATTGTACATATAGCGTCGGTGGGGTTGTTGTGGGCTGTAAGTGGGTATGTGTTTGATGGCTGTGGGCGGCGGAGGGGGTCTATTGTTGCCTCTGCATGCCAGGGGTTCTTTGGGTGGCACAGGTGTCACATGCAGGTTTCACACGGCCTGCTTCTGTTGCTGTATGATCACGTCAATGTAAGACATGTTCACTACCGGTCCCCTACTCCACATGCCGTCGTACGATTGCAAATCCTGGGAGTATTATGGTTGGTCTTCCAGCGTAATCCTCGCTTCTTATCTTGGAAGTCAATATAAACAATCCAGCTTGACATCGAGTCAGGCCTCGATTTAGCTGAAGAGGGCCACGGGTTTGAAGTTAGCAGCGGAAAGGGGGTTGACGGGTGCGTGTGCCTGCAACATTTTAAACCTTCTATTGCTGGGCAAAGGACAATGTTGATATGCCAAGCGGACCCGGTTACATGCAACATCTGGCGTACGGGGAACTACTGCGGGGAAGCTCCAACGCCTTGCAAAGGCGCACCCATGAGCTACCCAGGGCATACCGGTAGGCTTGTTGGGTGGCGGAAAGGGGCCGACCAAACCCGCATGCCAAGGCCGCCAATGTATCCCAGTATGAACCGCGGTGAATGCGTATCATATGAGTCGGATGCATCATGGCGCATCCGTGGCGAGGGAGCCAGTAGTACCGATGCGCATGATTCTGACATGCAAGGTGGGGATAAAAGATAAATGCAGCAACGGAGTCGGAGTCGGGGGGGGGAGGTGTTTCCGAAGCGTTGGCGATTCGGCGTGGCCTCGCGCACCGAATGCATGGAATACCTTTTGCGCAACAGCCCGATTCTAGTGGCTCGTCTCCTGTACCCGTGATGCTTCAGGCTCGCATCAGGGTCCGTACGTTTCCCAACGTGTAAGTTGCAAGGTAGGGGACCTTGCAACGCCGGATATCTTTCCCCTGGATATGAATACTAATTTTATTCAGCACCCAGAGTGACACATGTTCCTCCCTCTAACGAGCACCGCCGAGCCCTGCATGCTATCGAATACGAGGAACGCCTCAGCAGCCTTAGGGTATTTCGAGGACCGTGCAGCAGGGCGAGGGACACCGCAACAAGAAGAGGCATGAAATCCTTCTGTCATATCCAGGCAAACCAATGTATGCACTTCCTTTTCAAGCAGAACGGCCAAGCTTAATTCCCTAGCAATTACCAAGGATGGGTCGCAACCAGGGCATGAACATTGTAAGGCCTAGCGTTCTTAATAGGATAATACATAACTGTTCTCCCTGAATGGGGCAAACGGCAACCTGAATGGACCAAGTAAAGAAGTATTCCGTACGACACCCGACCAACTCTTCAAGGCGAAATCGGCACTTCTAAAGGGTCTAGGCATCCAATAGGGTCGAACCTATTCACGTCGGGGGATAGCCTTTGCTTGTTGGGCCAGCGGCCGGGTCTTCCGTAGTGCTTTCGGGAGTCAGCCGAACACCTGGCAGGCAACATGCTTCGTAAGGGCGCCCAGGTTGTGCTCCAGACGGAGCGTGCAGGTATGGGCTGGGTGCGATATCGAGGTTTACCGGTTGCGCCGGCACGCCACCCATCACGCGTTAATCGGCCGGCTACGCAATACTTCTCCTTCTGCAGGTCTCCAGCAGACCTGCGCGGCGGCCCAGGCAGCCTTCACCCGGCAGTTTGGTGCTCCGGCTAGCCATGACTCGCCGACTACGCCCCTCAGCCCTATCATGCCGGGCATCGTCTCGCTGCCGCGCAAGGCTATCGGCGCGGCGCTGGGCCTGGCCGGCAAGGCTGTTGCTGGTGCAGCTACCTCTGGTAGCGTGAAGAACCTGGTCTCGTCCTTTGCGGACAAGGTGCGCGGGCATTGGCATTGCATCACGGAACGGCCCGCAACGCGTTAGCCTGGAATTCTGACCTAAAACTACTAATTACAGGCTATTGTCAGCGAGTCGATCATGAAGGTGGAGGAGACCGACGTGGCGTTCTGGGCCTACTGGCTCAGCGTTGGGGGCTACAGCAGCCCCGCTGGCTTTAAGAAGTTTGCTGAGGCCGCTAAGACCAAGGTGGCTGCCATGGAGCCCCAGCAGGTCACGGACCTTGTCGTGGCGTTCCACAAGTGAGCATGGAGCTTCCGACATTCTAAAATATATGCCAGTCAGCATTGCAGATAGGCACTCAGCAATTACATTCATTGGCTACTAGCATTACACTTAGCAGAAATGATTGCATGTCGAAAGCTGGCACATGGCTAGTTCGGCACTAGCGGCAGACACAAGCTCTCTTTTCAGCGCCTAGGGCCCACGCTACCCTGCGGACATTGAAAAATAGCAATTTGGGTGGGTGTGCAGGGTGAACTACTACGACAAGGACCTGTTCACTGGCGTCGCCGCCAACATCTCCGCCAACTTCACCAAGTTCGAGACGGAGCAGCTCCTGAAGGTGCTGAGTGCCTTCCTGGAGTTCGGGCACTATGATCAGACCGCGTTCGATGACATTGCCGACTCCATCACCTACTGCAACCACTACCTGGCCCCCATTAAGTCGTGCCCCCTGGAGCTGGCCAACGCTTTCGCGGCGTACGCTAAGTTTGAGCACGAGCGTGGTGACCTGTTCACCGCTCTGGCCAGGTACGTTCTAGGGGAGTGCGGGTACAGCGGGGGGATGGGGGCGGGGTTGGGAAGAAGAATGCTTCTGGGTATGGCATGACAGCTGCATGGTAAAGTTCTTCTTACTCCCTAAAGCAAGGGTATGGGCATCAAAGCCTGCGTGATTTTAAGCGTACAGAGCATGGACATCATTTGCATTTTGTCATGCAAAGGATAGGACCGTGTCGGGATGCATTACTTCACCAAAAACATTTCTCCTTGCTAACTAAGTCCGTTAAGGGGAAGGGTCGCGACGAGGAGTTTCTTAGCACAGCACATCACGACAGCCGCATGGGAGTGCTGTGGGGATTGGTTTATGGAGAGGACCTCATCCTGCTTACCTGGCAGTGAATGGGTCCTTGACCGGAGTGTGGCATATAATGACTCATACATGGTGGTAGCTTGTCGCTGGCGATCCCGTTGCATTACCTATAGCGCATCGGGTGTTGCTGGTTCCTCGCAATCAGCAAACCTATCTGACGACGTCCTACCAACCACACGATCCTCCTTTCCGCCCTTCCCTTTCCCCCTTTTCCTACCTCCAGGGGCTTCAGCGAGCAGTCGCTGGGCAAGCTGGACGATGAGACCCGCAAGGCGGTCGTGCTGAAGGCTCTGCGCGCCTTCCACGCCTTCCAGTTCTGGCCCGAGGCCACGGGTGGGTGGGGCAGGGGGGGCATCGGTGGGCTGGTGGCAGGGCGGGATGCGGCTAACTCTTTATCGCGGCGTTGGGCACGAAGGACGACTGAAAAGCTTATTCCACATGAGTCTGTCTTGAATGAAGCGTGCGGAGGCCATTGGCAGCGAGGAGAGGAGGGCTCTATTAGGCAGCGCAAAGCAGCTTCTTAACACGGCCATCAACCCCCACCCTGTCCCGCAGACGCTCTGCTGTACGCCGCCAAGAGCTCTGCCGCCACCTACAGCGCTGATGAGCTGAAGGAGGTTGAGAAGTACCAGACCCTGGTGGAGGATGCTGTGGGCGGCGAGCTGCGGGTGTTCAAGGAGGGCGACGACGTGGACTCCGTGCACTGGTGGGTAGGGGGGAGGTTGCATTGGGATGCGTGGAGAAAATGGGATGAGAAGGCAACGTGTTTGATTGTCGCACGAGCATGCGAGGGGTTGACCGTCGTAGGGGAAGGGGACCAGGGAGCGGTCCAGTTATCCTTAGGAAAGCGGTGGTAAAAGTGTATCCTTGATGGTAGATGTACATTTAATAAGGCGTTGCACCATGTGCAGCACGTGGCCTGTCGACGTCCCCTTCCTAACGGATCCGTTCGTTGTTGTCATGCAGGTACGGGCACCACACCTCGGGCCCCTCCTCCTACCAGCTGTACGTCTTCCGTGACTCGCTGGTGCCCAAGCAGTACTCCCCCGCCAGCATGCGCCCCATGAAGTAAAGTACCCGCCTAGGATGGGTTCTTTCTATGGGTCGTCGGAGCTTCTGGACGGAGTATGGGTCACTGTGATGTCATGACGACGGCCGCTCATGGGGCATAGGCCGTGATCGTCGAGACACTTTCGGGGATGCTTTGCTGTGTGGAAAGGTGCTGGGATGGAAAAGGCACGCACGGTGGAAGCAAGCTGGCTTATGGTGATGGGCGAGGAATGGGGTTACACGCTATCATACTGGTGCAGCAGATGATGTGTTTCGCGTGTGTTTCGTTCGGAGCGTGCGCGGGCTAGGGCTCATGAGAGGGGGTGCAAATATGGGACCCTTTCAAGATTTGTCCCCTGTGCATAGCGACGCGTTTGTGGGCTATGTGAGTGCCGGGAAGAGGCGGACTACGTGCGCGTTCGAGCGCGTCGTCTGTAAATGTAACGGTCCTAACGGAATCCCGTTCACTTCATACTTAATTGCGTCTTGATGAGACAAACGCAGCTCCAACAATGCAAGTGTCAAGACCCACGATTTCCTGTCACGGCATCGTTTCAAGGGGGGAACGAAGATGTTCCTCCAGCATGCCGGTAGTCAACAGGACAGTTGTGCTCAGCCTTTTGCGGTCGATTAAGGAAACCCAACAAGCACGTTTTGAAATCATTTGGTATGCCAGCATCTGCCCTATCTTAGTGGCCTTCGGCAGGAGGCCATCATCCATCCAGACATCCCTTACGGAGAAAACCCGAGCATAAAGGACGTTCGCTCACTTGACCTAGTAGACAACACAAAGTAAGACTGCGTGCATTCGCACCCTAAGGGCGCAAGTGTTTCAAAGGGCGAACGTCCCATCTTCAGGAAATTTCAATCAGTACGACAAACTTTAAACGCGCGAAATCTTTACCAAGCTCACCCTCTACGGAGTCATGACCTTATTCGAAACTCCCTTTGACCATCTTCCTTGACACATAGGTAGTGGTGAAACTAGTCCTGCCCTAGCACCGTTCCTTGTTCTAGGCGCGCGAAAGACCCACCACGACCATGGTATGCTGTTTTAGCGACAAACATAATCCATTTAGCATATAGAAGCTTAACACTCAAGCACTCGACTTTGCAGGACGGCGAGGCTAACCCGCTCGACCAGTATGAGCCGGTCGAGGATGAGGTCGTGGAGGAAGAGGAGGAGGGCGAGGACCTCATGGAGAACATGGAAAGGTACGTTCGGATGCTAGACTGTCTATTTGCCAGGGGTAGCGAAGTGCGCTGGCCAAGCTGTCACTGGACATCGTGGAATGACGTCGACGCTCCTTGGTCGTGGATTCAATGTCTCCTTTTCACTCACGTAGGGATTACCAGCCGCAGCCCCACCTTGATAATTACGACCCTGAAGGCTTGGACGATGAGGAGGTTGAGGATGGTGTTGAGGACGCGGTCGCGGCTCGGCTGGCTGCCGAGGAGGAGCTAAATCGCCGTGACGCCCAGAAGATGCGGCCTCGCCGCACCCTGCCCGACTTCATGCTTGCTGAAGACGGTAGGTGGCATCGCTAGTGGGCGCTGGGAAACATGTTACGGGTTGCTGGAGGCCCCTTGACAGGTGTCACGTGAGTCACGTGCTGAAGTCGGTCGCCACTGTGTTCCCCCATTACCCCCCTACAGATGACGATCCCCGGGAGGATTTTAACCGCCGCCGCAAGCGTCGCCAATCCATCGACGTTGCGCCTTCGGAAACCGCGGACATTCCCCTAGACCTAGATATTGAGGAGGTCAAGGGCCGCCTGACGGAGTGGATTGCGCAGGAGCAGGTGGCTGCGGAGATCAAGCGCCGCTTCCGGCACTTCCTGCGCAACTACCCCAACGATAACCCCAACGGCCAGCAGCAGCAGTCGGTCGGACGGCAACCGGAGCTTTACATGGATCGCATCCGAGCCATGTGCAAGGGTGCGTGGGGGGACGCCTTGCCTGGGTGGGGTACAGGTTAAGAGTCCAACAGCCACCCTAAGCAAGCAAGCATAAGCCTGTGTTGGTCACGTGAATGGAATTCCATTCTCCAGTCAATTACCCAATTGCAGCCGCCCCTCACGTTATCCTGTCCTTTCGTGCTGACCTGCATTCCGCCCTTGTCCTCCTCCTCATCTGCAGACAACAAGCGCTCCCTGGAGCTCGAGTACAGCCACTGGGCGGAGTTCCAGCCCACCCTCAGCATCTGGGTGGCGGATGCGCCCCGGCAGATGCTCGAGTACCTGGACGAGGCGGCCACGGAGGTGGGTGAGGGGTGAAGGGCTGATGAGGTTGGTTCCCGGTAACAAACAGGAAACGTTGAGTTGTCGATGTCGTAAGGGCGACCCAGGAAACACTGGACTTACATGCGGTGGCGGATACTACGGGCTGAAGAGGGAGGGGAACAGGGAGCGGTGCTGTTCGCTCTCAGGAGGTGGAAAGGAAATGCCTGGAAGAAGAGACCGAGACCTACCTACGTCACCTGCTCGTCTGCGCCCCTGTTTCTCCCCTAACTCCTGTTGCTCCGTGACGTGTCTGGGTGGTTGCAGGTGGTTGAGAAGGTGTTTAGCGACCAGTTCTTCGACATGTGGCGGGCGTACGGCGAGGAGTACCGGGTGCACGTGCGCCTCGTGGGGCTGCCCATCAGCGACAGCCTGCGCGATCTCCGGTGAGCTTGGGGGCAGCAGGCAGGGAGAAGAAACTACCGGTAGTAGCTAGGGGGCTAAGAAGAAGCAAGGGTAGGAGCTAACAGGGAGGCAACGGGGCAGGGGCGGTGGTTTGAGAGGAGAGGAACCGGAATGTGGGTAAGCGAGGGACAGATGCTTGGCCAGTGGTGGAAGGAGCTGCATGCAAAGGGGGTTACTCTCTTACGCTGCTCACCTGCTTAACCTGCTTACCCTCCTCGTCCCTCCTCCCCCACACCTGCATCGCAGCAACTACCACCTCAACTGCCTGGTCCGCGTGTCGGGTGTGGTCACCCGCCGCACGGGCGTGTTCCCGCAGCTGCGGCTCATCAAGTACGACTGTGCGAAGTGCGGCCACGTGCTGGGGCCCTTTGCCATGCACACGGAGACGGAGGTGCGGCCGCACAACTGCCCGGCTTGCAGCTCCAAGGGGCCCTTCATGGTGAGTGCTTGGGGTGCGGTGGGATTGGGTTTGGAGCCGTTTAGGTGGCCCTTGGGCAACTCTTTGTCCTTCACCTTGACATTCCCTTGTTTCGCAACGAGATTCCTCAGCTTCTCCTTTTCCGCCCAGCTCATGCTTTTCAACCTTCTGGCCACCTTTGCACTTTTCCCCATCACCATCCGCAGGTGAACAGCTCCGAGACCGTGTACCGGGACTATCAGAAGCTGACGCTGCAGGAGAGCCCCGGCTCCGTGCCCGCGGGCCGCCTGCCGCGCCACAAGGAGGTCATCCTCACGCACGATCTGATTGACTGCGCGCGGCCGGGAGAGGAGATCGAGGTCACGGGTGAGGCTGGCGGTGGTGGTGGCGGTGTGGGGACTCGCAGGGGAGGTGAAATATTTGACGTGGTATGCCAAGGTGTTCGAGACTTGGCTGCTGGGAAAGTGGAATTGGCATGACCATGGCAGATGGCACGCTGCATGGGGTGCATACGTGTCTGGAAAGAGGGCTGGTTGACGACTAGGAACGACCCAATCAGCAAAGAGGATGGGTGCATGAATCTATGGACGGCAGTTCAATGCATCGGCAAGGACCTGCCCAACACCATTCACTGCCCAGTGACCACATGAGTGTGCGGCTCGCGTGCGACGCAGGTTTGTACGTGTACGGCTACGACGCCTCGCTCAACGTGAAGAACTCCTTCCCGGTGTTTTCGACCCACATCGAGGCCAACTTTGTGTCCAAGCGGGAGGACATCTACTCGCTGCATGCACTCACGGACGATGATAAGGCCCGGGTGCTGGAGCTCAGTCGCGACCCGCGCATCGGTGGGTTGCTTTTGGATCCGGTTGGATCCTGATGATAAATATTTAAACCCGCCGGGGTAGTTGCTATCAAATGCCTGATGACTGAGTATCTGTCGTGTTCCCTCTGAAATCTACACGCACCGTAGCCTAACCCTTACCCTCACTCCTAACTCCCTTCTCACCTGCACGATCACCACGCCGCTACTCTGATCTCGGCAGGCGAGCGCATCATCAAGTCCATCGCGCCCTCCATCTACGGCCATGAGTTCATCAAGACCGCTCTCGCGCTCTCCCTCATGGGTGGCGTGGAGAAGAGCCCCTCGCCCGCGCACCGCCTGCGTGGCGACATCAACGTGCTCCTGCTGGGAGACCCCGGTGTCGCCAAGTCGCAGTTCCTCAAGTACATTGAGAAGACGGCCCCGCGCGCGGTGTACACCACGGGCAAGGGCGCCAGTGCGGTCGGTCTGACGGCTGCCGTACAGCGGGATCCGATTACCAAGGAGTGGACGCTGGAGGGCGGGGCGCTGGTGCTGGCGGACAAGGGCGTGTGCCTGATTGATGAGTTTGACAAGATGAACGATCAGGTGGGTGTGTGTGGCGGAGGGGAGGTTGCGGATGTGTAGGTGGTGGTGAAGGGGCATGCGGGGATTGGCAGGTATGCGCGGTTGTGGTCAGGAAACATGCGCTTATCTCGCTCACCCAGCTGTTCTTTTCCCCTTCCCCTCACTTCCCACCTCTCAGGACCGTGTTTCCATCCACGAGGCGATGGAGCAGCAGTCCATCTCCATCTCCAAGGCGGGTATTGTCACGCAGCTGCAGGCCCGCTGCGCCGTCATGGCTGCGGCCAACCCGATTGGCGGCCGCTACGACCCCTCGCGCACCCTGGCGGAGAACGTGGAGCTGTCTGACCCCATTCTGTCACGGTAGGTGTGACGAGCGCGGAGTTCAGGAAGTGGTTTTGAGTTGTTTTAAAAAGGAAACGAAGCTTACGGCTGTTTTGTTGGTCGGCAACAGCAGCTATGATGACATGCCCCAACCTGTATCCCTGTACGGTCAATTGGTATTTCAAGCCGTACTCTCCCGTTTTCGGACTGTCTCCTCACCCCTCACCCTTCCCACTCGCAGTTTTGACGTGCTGGCGGTGGTTCGTGACATTGTGGACCCGGTCAACGATGAGAAGCTCGCGCAGTTTGTTGTGGGCAACCACATCGCCTCGCACCCCATCAAGCAGCAGCGCGACCAGGAGGCGCGGGAGGCGGGGCTGGCGCCGCAGCAGCACGAGGAGGCGTCCAAGTAGGTCCTGAGTCCTCCTCTGCTCTGTCTACGGCATGTGTCAACCCCGCTCTTGGTGCTCTGAAGGTTACTCACCGCATTCCAAGTGTGAGCTTTGCACCCATGTCTTCTTTTATACCCGTCCCCTCTCCTGTCCTCCCCACTAACCCAACTCCTTCCCTTCCCGCGCCCTCTCCCTCGCCCCGCCCCGCCCCTCTCCAGCCCGGTGGACCCCGACGTGCTGCCGCAGGAGCTGCTCCGAAAGTACGTCACCTACGCCAAGCAGCACTGCCGACCCACCCTGCAGCAGGCGGACTATGACCGCATCCTGCGCCTCTACGCGGCGCTGCGTCAGGAGGCGGCCGTCACACACGGCATGCCCGTTGCGGTGGGTTGGCGGTTGGTTGGTTGCAAGGGGTAGCGCTTAGGGTGATGTGTGGTGTTTGATGATGCTTGGCGAGCTGTAATGATCTTAGCCGCATGTTCGTAATCGCATGCGCCCGAGCGGGCCCTCACCTCAACCTTTCCCTTCCCACCCTTCCTCCCACCCTTTAGGTCCGCCACCTGGAGAGTGTGGTGCGCATGTCGGAGGCGTCTGCGCGCATGCACCTGCGGGAGTATGTGGCGGACTACGACATCAACGTGGCCATCAAGTGAGAGCTTCCCCTTCTCCCCGACGGAGGGAACTGAGGTCCTTTGTCATGCTTTGTGGACCTTGTGGGATGGGGAACAAGGACCGGGGGCTGGGGTGCGTTGCTAAAGGCGGGTCACGAGGCTTACTGTCCCCCACCACAGCATTCTGGTGTCGTGTCCCTACCTCTGGTCGTGTCCCAATCCCTTCTCCGGTCCCTTTCCCCTCCCCCCTGATCTTCAGGATGATGGTTCGCTCCTTTATCGGCAGCCAGAAGTTCACGGTGCAGCAGACCCTGGAGCGCAAGTTCTCTCGCTACCTCACGCTGCCCCAGGACTACCACGCGCTGCTCATCAGTCTGCTGCGCCAGGCGCTGCGGGGGGTGCAGCGGGAGCAGGCGATGCTGGGCGGGCAGGCGGACACGCAGCTCAAGATCAGCGCAAGGTGATGGATTGACGAAACTGGGCGGTTGGTAACTGCGGGTGTGGGAGGGAGCGGTGGGTGTGGTGCATGCACGTGTCGACCTGTGTTGAGGCTTACAGGCGTGTCGATGAGCATGCTGACGCTATTTAACAACGTTTTTCTTTCTCGTCGCCTTGCTCTGCAGGGTTCTGGAGGACAAGGCCCGGGAGCACGAGATCGCGGACCTCTCCTCGCTCTACTCGTCCAACATGTTCCGCAACTGCGGCTTCACGTACGACCGCACCGCCAACGTCATCACCTACACCTCCACTTGAGAGGCTGAAGCGGCTGGCGGGAGGGAGGGAGGGGGCTCGAGGTCTGGATTGGGGTCCCGATGGTTGCTGGTGGCGTAATCCGGTAGCCATGCGTGGGGGATTCCACCGTGGGGCTCACCGTGCAGCCATTTCGCATGGCAGTGGGTGATGTGGGGATGACGAGGTCGGGCGAGAATGGTCTAGGAGGGGAAAGGAGTCGCTGTACTCTTGAGGGCTTGGTGAGAAGGCATCTTTCCTTCAGTAGGATTTGTTGGGACATGTGGGGGCGTAGGTGGCTTGCTTGGGCCGAAGCTGCGTTGGTTGGGCGTGTTGATAGCAGATTACAACTACAAGCTATGTGCCGTGGTGTTGCCTGTTTAGGATGCAGGGATAGACAGATGCTTGGTCGGAGGTCCCCTGGGGGTACGCTAGGCTCTTAGGATTGCTATAGGCAGATTCCAGTAGCATGCAGCAGTCGCTTCCCAGGCGGTGAATGATGAGAGGAGGCGGGGGCGATGCCAGCGTACTTGGGTTAAAGAAACGCTACCGTAGTTAGCAATGGTAGAACTCAGCATGTGCAGCTGGGCCGTCCCTTGCGAGGTTCTCAGGTCCAGGATTTGTGAGGAGGATAGATAGGTAGTCTTAAGGGTCTAGACAGATGCAGCCGCTGCCTCGAACACAACGGTGTACTGCAGGACATGGGTCGTCCTGTCCTATCGCAGAGTTGACGCTCGGAAGGAGGTTACTGTGTTGGCGCCATCGTGCCACACCGCCTCCAACATCACATGCTGCTGCAAGCAGTTTGTAAAGCAGGTGACACGTGGGAGAGTTTCTCACCAGCCGGCGCGTTGAGGTTCCTCCACGGACCCTATATGATGACTCCCCAGGAAACCAGCGCATAGGAACTATCACCAAAGCGGCCACTCGTCGCAGCGTCACTACACACACGAGCGCGGCCAGTTTTCTTAACACATGAACGCGGGTGGCTCGAAAGCCGTACGCCAAACGCCACGCCACACCCTAGTACGGGAAAAAATACCGTAGGGGGTACGTTGAAACCCCAATACATGAGCTGCGGGATTGTAATCAGGGCAATGACCGAATGATATGGTACATATAAGAATACAAAAGCTCATTAAAAGATACGTTAAGAGGCTCTCCGTCTAACATCTTGAGGCATCACCGGCACCAAGGGCCCCACCAGTAAACAAGCTCACGGCTGCGTGCAAGGCAATCTCTGTTGCAGGAAGGACGCATGCATTGTTCGCATGCGGGTCAGCAAAGAAGCTCCGTTAGCTGTCCCGCAACCCCTCATCATCTTGTAGCCCCCTCGCCTCCCCAACCCGCTACCGTCGCTCCCCGCCCTCACAGCAGCCCACCAGCAGCACCTCCCCTCCACACCCACTCACCCGGCAGCCGCAACCACACCCCCCGCGGCACCCCGCCACGTGGCCGTACCCCTCCCCCGCATCCCCCTCCTCCCCACTGCCGCTGCTGCTGCCCCCGCGCAGCGCCTGCCGCAGGCTGCTGCCGCCGCTGCAGCTGCCGCCCGCCTCCAGTAGCCTGGCGCGCTCCTCCTGCAGGTGCCCCTCCCGCTCCAGGTCCTCCTCGCAGAAGCTATCCTGCAGCGGCTTGCCTGCAGGGAAGAGGGGGGGGAGAGGATACCCAGTATACCGGTAACCAATGGGGGGGTGAAAGGTTGAGCCAGGGGGGAGGGACAAGGAGAGGTCCAGGGGTGAAGACAACAACTGGTGAAGGCCCTCGTAACAACGGCGCCAACAAACCGCCCAACCACCAGCCACCAACCACCAGCCACCAACCACCAACCACCAACCACCCCCCGGCACCTGCGGGCTCCGGCAGGCTCAGCATGGCCGCGCTGCCTGCCGCCAGCAGCACCGCCGCCAGCAGCAGCGGCGCCCAGCTGGCCGCCCCCTCCATCAGCGCGCCCGCAGCGTAGGTGGTGGCGAAGGAGGACAGCCGGCCCAGGGCGTTCAGCAGGCCGAAGCCGGAGGAGCGGAGCTGCATGGGGAGAGGGGGGGAGGGAGGGGAAGAGGGGTTAGGAGGGGGCAGGAAGGGGCAAGGGATTAGGGAGGATTAGGATACGGTAAGAAGGGAGGGGAGAAGCATGATGGCAAAGGAGTATCCAGAAGGCGGTCAAGGCAAACGACACATGACATTACCGACATCTGCCCACTGCGCATAAATGCACCCCTTCCCAATCACACACACACACACACATACATAAACCAGTCGCGGCCAGTTATTTTAACACACATACATACATAAACCCACCGATGTGGGATACAGCTCTGCTGAAATCATATCCAAGCTGTTCCAACCGCCAACTGAAATACCGTTGAAGACGCATGCCGCCGCTAACGGCCAACCGCCGTGTGCGGGTGCGGCGGCAAACATGAGCGCCGCCACACACGCCCCCGCCATGCACACGCATGCGGTGAGGCGGCGACCCAGCCGGTCAACCAGCCATATGCTGGCCAGGTTGCCTGTAAGGAGGGGGGATGAGGAGAAGGGGGTCAGAAGCGGGTCAGGAAAGACCAAACCAGAAGGAGGAGAGCGAGGGAAGGGGTGGCGCAACACCCCAGGAGCCGTACGCAACAGAGGAGGCATGTCTAAGGCAGCTCCCGGACCCTGAAACCCTACCCTTAACCCCTTCCGGCGCCTCACCCCCCCTCGCCCGCCCCACCTCCCTTCACAACCCTCCCCCTCGCCCCTCACCTGGCAGGTTCGCAAGCGCCACGGCAAAGGTCTCCGCATACACGTCCTGCCCCCGCGCTCCCCGCTGCTCGAAGTAGCGCGGAACCCACAGCACCGTGCAGTACCAGCCGCCGCACAGCCCCACCCACCCAGCAGCTAGTGGCAGCGTGTATCGCAGCAGCGGCGGCCGCAGCAGCACCCGCAGCACACGGCCGCTGCGGCAGCCGGCGGCGCGGAGGGAGGTGGCGAAGCGCCAGAGAGGGGCGGATGGCGGTATCGCTGGTGGCTTTGGTTGGTGTTGGTGATTGTGCGGTTGCTGGAGAGGGTGAGGAGGAGGAAGAACGGGAGGCGGGTACTTAATCGGTGGAGAAGCTGTGGTTGCTGCTACTGCTACTGCTACTGCCTCTGATAGGCTATGAGGTCCAGGTCCAGCGGTGCTGCCCACAGTGTTTGCTGCTATAGCAGCTGTCGAGCCGACAGCGACAGCAACAGCATCAGAAGCTACTGCCGTATCCACAACAGCCGCCGCAGCAGCAGCTGTTAGAATGTCCTGATCGTGGTGGTGGAAGGAAGGCGGCAACGCATGCGGCGGCAGGCGCCGACCGTTCATCTTCGCGGCGAGTTGCAGCACCGCCGCCGCCTCCCGACCGCGACCCATGACCGACAGGTAGCGCGGGCTCTCCGGCAGCAGGACGGCCGTGAGCGCGGCTGCGGCTGCTGCGGGCAGGCAGGCTGCGAGTACGAACACTCGCCAGCCGAGCCCGGCGAGGGGTATGAGGAGCCAGCCGGCCGAGGCGGAGTAGAGGGAGCCCAACATCCAAGTGGATGCAAGCATGGCCATGAACTTGCCGCTGGGATCAGGGGACGCGGGGGGGGGGAGGAAGGAAGAGGGAAGGGGTTGGGAAGCAGGAGGCAAGGAGGCAAGGAGGGAAGGAGGGAAGATTAGGGTAAGGATGTGTGCTGGGAACGTGGGTGGTGCTGGGAACGTGGGTGGTGCTGGGAACGTGGGTGGTGCTGGGACCGGCAAGACCGGCAAGACGGAGAGGCTGGCCCTGCCTCTCCTCTACCTGCTTCCCTCCCTCCCGCCCTCCCGCCCGCCCCTCACCGGCTGCTGGGCGAGCAGAACTCGCTCATGATCGCAAACACCACCGGCATGGAGCCGCCCACCCCCAGCCCCGCACCCAGTCGCAGCACCAGCAGCGCCGGCAGGCTGCGGGCGGCGGCGGACAGCGCTCCGAAACCCGCATTCAGGGCGCAGGCGGCTAGTAGCGCGCGGCGGCGGCCGATGGCGTCGCCCAGCTGCCCCCAGATGAGGCCGCCCTGGGAGGTGAGGTATTGGAGATGAGGTATTGGAGATGAGGATTTAGAGGGCTTGGATGAGGAGTTGTGAAGGGAGGATGTGGAGGCAGGGTTGCTTCTCCTCCGTATGTGAGTAAACAGCGCTGGGTAACGGAATTTGACTTGACCCAAATCGCTTAAGCTTCCACAGGTGCAGCAGCAGTAGCAGCAGCTGCAACCTCTTACCAGGAACATGCCTACGAAGATGCAGGCGTTCAGCGCGCCCGTGCGACGTGGGGTGAGGTTGAACTCTTGCTCCGCAGCCGCGCCAAGTAGGCTGACAGACAGGATTTCCACAGCATCTGCTGCGTTGGCTAGACCGCACACTCCCAGGACCATCCATTGGAAGGGCCCGGTGCCCACCTGTGTGGCATGAACAGCAGGTGTTGCATGGAGTCCGAGTTTGGATAAAGGTTAAGGCCCTGAACGTATTGAATTGTAACGCTGTCAGTAGCTGGACTCACATGGCTGAGGGCCTCCTCAAGCGACATCGGGGTTGGGTTAAGCCGATGTCCGGTGAGAGGATGTGGTAACTACTGCTCAACTGACGCTGCCCAGAGGCACCAAAGAGCAACAGGGCTATTCGCTTAAACAACTTCTGCTCGCGCACTCGCGTCCCATTGGTGCAGCGGTAAGGTGCCGTTCGCAAGGATGCGCTGAGTTGACACCGAGAAATAGGTTACACTTCAGCCAAGCAATGGTTTGAGCAGCTTTCCGCCTACAAGGTATATAGAGGTAAGGAACACGACTGCACTTGCAGCCTCGCAGCCACATGCCGCGGTGGAGAACCAACCGATTGTCGTACATAGCGCGCTGAACCCGGCTCTGGTGGCGTAAGGCAAATCAAGCGCTTCTGCGTAGACTCCTGTGTGGTTACTGAAAGCCAGGATTACTTAAGCACGTATTGCTTGCACAGCCTTTGTCGTCGTTAATATGCCACATAGCGACCATGCATTTGGACGATAAACATCTTTAAGCTTAATAATATAAGTGCCATACTAAACACAGCGTAGAGTGGCCGCCGTTGGGCGTGTCGAAGCTAAAGTCGCCGGCTGACATATTTAGAAACAATTCGATCGGAATAGAAAAATGGGAGGCGTGGAGTTCATTGGCAAGGTGCGTAGCCCGTCATCACAGCAAACAGGAGCGAGGCTCAGCAAACTTCAATCATGATGGTGCAGGTTGTGTCCAACCGTATGCAAAAGACGGTGGTAGTAGCCGTCAGCTACGTGGTATGGATCCCAAAATACAAGGTCTACCAAAAGCGTGTCTCACGACACAAGGTGCGGACTCACCAGTGGATTACGCGACGGATGAGAGGTGGTCGCTAGGCGGGTGCTGCGTCCTGAATACAATCGGGCCCGTAACAAGCGGCCTGGGGAGTCATGCATCCGTGGTCCTGTGACAAACGCATCCACAACACATGTTCAGGCTACCCCAGCACAGAGCTTGCACAGCCTCTCCCCTCCGCAACCACCGTCTTGCCACCCTTATAGCGGCTTTCATGTTCCTCACCTTGCCCCCCTCCTGCTCCTCCTTTCCTATTTCCACGCACCCTTAGGCTCGCGACGAGGGGCAGTCCAGCATCATCGGGGATATCGTGCGCATCCGCAAGTCCAGGTGGGTGCGCTGCTGGCCGGACATGGCCGGGTTGGGTGCAGCAGGTTTGGTCCCGGTGTCGATGTACCAATGCCCCAACCGTGTTGCAAGCAGGGTGGACCGGTGCCGTACGCCACGCGCTTGCCCTGGGCAACTTGCTTGCCTCACCACAACCAATCCTGCCAACGGGCCCTGCACAAATCCTATTCCCCTCGCCCAACTCCCTCTCGACCCAAATCAAAAACACACGTGTTTCGCCCCCACAGGAAGTACTCCAAGGAGGTGTCGTACTCGGTCGTTGAGACCCTCCGTAAGACCAATGTGTACGATGGTACGGCAGCGGCGGCGCTCGTCCAGGAGCGCGACGCGTCGCGGCCGTCCGACTGGGTGGAGGTGGCCAAGCAGCGGCTGGCTGACGCGGATGTACGACTGGCCAAGCTACGGGAAATGTACGAGAAGGAGATTGGGGGTGCCGTACCGCTAAGCGGCGGCGTGCTGGGGGCGGCGGTTGCTAACTCGGGACCGGCGGGAACGGGCAGCCTGGGGGCGGCTGCGGCTGCAGCGCAGGGGAAGAAGTGAGTTGGTGCCTAGTTGAGCCTCCATGCTGCTCCATGTAAAAGTGGAGACCTAGGTTTGAGGATAGCGGGTGGTTGGGAACATGGTGTTGCTTTGCTCGGTGGATTGCACCCATGCGAGGCTGTCATGGTGCGTTACAGTTGTCACAGTTGTGCAGCTGAGGAGGTGGTTTCGGTAGCTAGGGCGAAGAGTAGTGTGGCGCTGGGGTTTGCGTTCGTGTTATGACAGTGGAGGCCCCAGGGGCTGCGTTTTGGAGGGGGCACGGGGTACGGCGGGCTTCTGCGCTGCAAGCGCGGAAGCGTGCTGGTAGGTTCGAGGGGTGGACAGATGGCTGCTCGAAGAGGCTGTTTGTACGGCTGGGGTAGACATCACCTCATGTAGAGGACGCCTTTATAGCTGCATGTCGACTAGGGTTCCATGCTGCCACCGTATGCGGTATCGGTATCTGCTGGCAGGTGGCACCAGGTGGGTTCACAACCAGGGTGCACTTGACTGGGTGTGTGATCCGGGCACATGCACAGTACCTCCGCGGTCGGTGGGCGGTCTTCACTGCAGGTAGATCAGTTGGACCGGCGTGGATGGACAACTTGCCGTACATGGGGATTGAGGATGGGCATGTGGGCGTGTGACGTTGGGGTAGCTGCGTGTGCTGGGTGTATCATGGAGGACGCTCTTGGCTGCTACCGGTTTGCTAGCACGCCTGCATCAGGGGCAGTAACGCCAGCCAGGTGCCCCCATCGCCACCTTGTGACGGCTGCGGAAATGCGGCCACATCTCTGTTACATGGCTTCAAAACAACATCACCCCAGAACAGCCCCTTTCCTAGCCCCGTTCCTGCAATCCTACATGGCAACCACACGGATACCGCTCGCACCTCCGTTTCCAAGCCGCATGCGTAAAACTCTGCCCACAGCACCCTGCGTTCGCCCCACCCATCTATCACACCCTAATGATCTGCACCCGTACTCCCGTCCAGGGGGCTACCAGGGCCCCGGGTTATGCCCCAGCCGCTCCAGGGGGGTCTTCCGGGAGAACACCCGGCTGTCGTACTCCTGCACCAGCTCGATCAACTCCTGCAGCGCTGCCACCTCATCCTCGCCGCTGGGTAGCAGGTGGCGGGGCTGCTGCTGCTGTTGCGGGTGGGGCTGTTGTTGGGGGATTCCAGTTGCGGAGGAGGAGGATGAAGGCGCCGCTGCTGTTGAGGAGGATGAAGGCGCCGCTGCTGTTGAGGAGGATGGAGGTGTGGACTTGCTCAAGGAAGCATTCGCCCCTGATGTCCCTGCCGCCGCCGTCGTCGTCGTTGCTGCTGCTGGTGCTGCCGCTTCTGTTGCGGTACCGTTGGCAGCGCCGACGGTTGGCCCCGGTGTTGGGGGACTTGTTGCATGTGCAGCACCCCCCTCCTCTGCGCTCTTGTTGCTGGTGCTGATAACACCGGATAGCGACGCTAAGCGTGCCCTCGCCGCCGCCGTCAGCGCCTGGGGTGTCGTCACAACGAACATGGGCTTTCCGCCGCCAGCAACGCCGCCGCTGCTGTTAGCAATTCCAACATCCGCGTCTGGCATAATCTGCACGTCATCGTAAAACAGGGTAGTTGCTTATGCGTTGGAGCCTGTGCTTACAGCAAGACGTCCCGTTCTCCTGACCTCCTCTCCTTACAACCAATTCCCCTTTCTCAGAGGCCATGTCGGCAATCCCAACACCCACTCTGCCCCAACCCCACCTGCAGCCCGGGCGGAGTGAAGGCCTCAGGTAGGAACGTGGCTCGCTCCTCCGCACTGCCCATCTGCCGCAGCATTGCTCCCAGTACGGCACCCGCGGCACCGAAACCGCCGCCGCCGCCGCCACTGCTGACACCGCCGGCGCCGCCGTCAGCGTCGAAGTCGCCGTCGTCTCGGAAGCCCAACAGTCGCGAGCGCACCCGGGCCATGACGCCCGCCGCCAGGTCCGCGTAGGCTCGGTTGTGCTACGGGGCGCGGTGGGGTGGCGTGGGGTTAGGAGCAGAATAAAACAACCTCCCAACCCCTGCCCAGTTTAGAAGAAACCTCACCTGCGCGAATTCCTCGATGCCGCTGCGGCTCACCCCCCTTCGCGGCCCCGTACCGCCCCCGCCGCCCCCTCGCTCCAGCGACTCACGTAGCTTGGCCTCCTCCTGAGGCGGGTGGGGATCGAGATAGGAAAGCCAGCATCACATGTGAGGGCTGGACGACGAGGTGGGTAATGAGACGATGAGGTGGGTGTGGGAGTGGGGCACAGAAGGAACAGCGACAGCAGCCACAACACCAGCAGCAAAGATAGTGCAATACGAGGATAGCGTAGGTTAGGTGGAGGAGGAAGACAAAGCCAACTAAGCGGCAGCGGCAGGGCAGACGCAGCCAGTCAGTCGCCACGATATTGGAGGCATCTGGTCTGGGAATGGCTGCTTTCCATGCTTTGCATAAGGCATGCGCGTACCGCGCGCGTATGAGTTGAGCTTCTAATAAGCCCCCCAAAGCCACGAAAACACGGAAACGCACTCCCCTCCTCGCCACCACCACCCCCTGCTCGGTCCCACCTGCTCCCCCAGCCTATAGAGCTGCTCTAGATCCACTCCGCCCACCACCTGCGTGCGTGCGTGCGTGCGTGCGTTGGCGGGTGGCAGGTGGCGGAACCCACAGTTCCACGGTAGGTGTCATTAGTGCGGCCAGTTGGGGAGCGCAGGGAAAGCCAGGGGGGAAGTCATGCAACCCAGCAACCAACCACACACCAGGGCAGAGGGCACACACGCGCGAAGCAAACGCACATCACACTATCTGCTTAGCCCGGATAAAAACAGCCCGGCCAGCAAACAACAACAAAAAAAACACAAGCTCCTCCTCCTCCCCTTTCCGGACATGGTTATGGGTACGGTCATGGGTACGGCACGCGGTCAATGGTCAACGGTCAACGATGCCGCATGCTTTGTTGCACGCTTTGTTGCGCACCTGTGGGGCCTCCTTCCCCGTCTCCTCCCGCCACCTGCGCAGGTTGCTGTAGGCGAGGGAGGCGGCCAGCGGGGGCAGCAACGTGCGGTTGACAGTCTCCTCTGCAGGGGCGGGGGGGAGCAGGGGCGGGGAGAGCAGGGGCGGGGGGAGCAGGGGCGGGGGGAGCAAGGGCGGGGGGAGCAAGGGCGGGGGGAGCAGGGTTGGGGGCGGGTGTGCACTCCGGAGGCGGGGGTGCCCGTACTATTCTGCCCGCAGCAAACCATCACGCAACGTAAGCCCGAGCGCTACCCAAAAGCGCTGCCCCGCTTAGTCTCAGCGGTCCTTAAGTATTGCGTACCAGCATATCGCTGTGCTCTTCAACCTCCGCTCCTGGCAAACACGCACCGCTGTTCACCGCTTTACCAACCCCTGCCAGCCTTTCCTTCCTTCCGCAAGGAGGTTTAAATCTACCAATCTCCACTTCTAGCCGCAACGGCTAGCACGGCGGCCACCCACCCTTCCACTCCCGCATCATTGTCAGCTCCCGGCCCAGTCGCTCCAAAACCTCCCGTCGCTCGGCAGCCGGCAGGCGACCCACGGGTCCAAGCGCGGCTCCGCCCAGGGCAGCCCTGCGCTCCTGGTCTCGGAGCCAAAACAGGAAGCGGGAGTCCAGCAGCTGCTCGGGACGGCTGTTGGCGGCTTCCCGGATCTGCTGAGGGGAGAGGGCCGATAGCTCCAGAACCAACGCCTGTGAAGGGGAAAGGAAAAAGGAGGTTGGAAAGAGGTGTTGCCCCCAGCTTGGAAAGAGAGAAAGCATGTTCCTGGATGAACTTGTGTACGGAACTTGGTACTAACGCAGTGGCACGGCATTATACCTGGTATGCTGCATCATCGCTTGCGGAGGAGGAGGAGGAGGAGGCGGATGGAGGAGACGCGTCCGAGTCCTGAGTAATCGGGGCCTTGTTATCGGGAATACATGGGCAGCAGGGTGGTTTTCTTGCCGTTGGCTCTGTTTTGTAGCGCTTGCAGGGATGATGAGGTCGGCATGGGAGCGACGGTCGGCCGGCGCTGGCCCCTGCCTGGAGGCGACTGTTTCTGAATGGCTTCGGTAAAGCGTTTATCTGCATAGATTGCGATGTGGCAATGACAGTGCGCAACTTTGTGCGGTCCATTCCTGGTGGCATTCCAGCAAAATATTTGGCTTGCAGTTCTGCGTATAATTCGAGAAACATTACATGATACTAAAAGGTAGAAGATTCCTTGACCGTATCAGAAATTGGCCAGTTTGTTGGTTAGTCGTTGGCTCCTTACCTATAGTATGGAAACACATGTAATCACAGTTTATGTAGCAGACCCGACCGTCTTGCCTAGAGGCCCGTACGCAGGGCGCTCCACAAGTGGCGGCCCTAGCACTTCGCGCGTCTACCCCTACTGCCTCGCCAGGGGCCGCGTCCCCGTTCATTTGTTGATGTCGAAAATCCTCGGGCGCAGAGCTACCCCGTAGCCCATTACTGACCCCTTCATAGGGCAATGTTATCCTGGCTGGGCTGCCGCGCCAAAAACGATGTCGTACACGCCATCGTACGCTTACAGCTTGACGTCTTCGCGGCAGCAAACCGAGGGAGACGGACAGGCGGGCCAAAAGCACGTGGGAGGCGGGGTGTGAGGCAGTGCATGCATGTAATGCAACGCTTTCATGGTGGGTTCTTAAGACTTAAGTGGGGTAGTAAACACAGCGTAGGCAGGTCGATGGGCTTGCTAAACATGGCAAAGGGGTGAACAGGATCAGCTGTGCGGGTGGCGTTGATGCCTGTTGACCGGGGCTTTAATTAACGATACACGCCCTAGTGTAAGTGAAGGACTCATCCCCTTGGCTGCTCCGGCTGTTCCCTTGCAGCGGCATGGTTGGGATTGGAGAGGCATTGCACGCAGCATCACAGCATGCCCGTTCTCCCGTACGCTTCCTGCATGTACTGAGCGCCCATGTCGGATCAATGCGATAGGCGATCGCCCAGAACCTACCTATTAAATAGAGCTTCCCTTTCCCTGTGGTCTTAGAAAGGAAATCAAGATGGGTGACGCCGGCGCAATGGCCAATGGGGCAGTCTTGCTTAACGGGGCACCGCTTACGCACCCCAATTTATATGTGCGTAACCTACCTCCACAAATGGACCAGACTGCAGTAGAAGTCCTGTTTCGGCAGTTCGGGACCATTACGGGCTGCAAGTTCTTCAAGACCACCTCCGTGCCCTACGCCTTTGTCAGGCTTGGGTCTCCAGCTGAGGCGATAGATGCTATCACGAAGCTTAACGGGACGTGCGTTCATGGCAAGCTGATTTTAGTGAAGCCAGCGGAGACAGATGCCACATATGAAGTCCCCAACGGTATGCACGTCGCGACGTAGAAGGCGCTATGAACTGTCAGATGCTATTTTAAGAAGTACCTGCGCGCCACTTGTCGGTTGGCGACGTCGCGCGCCAAGTGCACACCCATGCTTGTCGCTACGCACATGCCCGACAGTCGAAGGACAACAACTCTCGCGCATCGCACCTTCTCAGCTGTGTGCCTTGCACTCGCCAATGTCTCCATGCGCTTTGCCAACGGGTTCCTTGTTTCGTTCCCCATCCCTCACCAAACGTCCAGAAAACCTCTACGTCCGCAACCTGCCTCCCAGCTGGAACGAGGAGACCATCCGGCAGTACTTCGAAAAGTACGGCCCAACCATCAGCGTGCGCATCATGCCGCCGCTGCCCACCACCGTGGGCCAGGTTGCCCTCATCAAATTCCTCCACGTCGAGCACGCGCGCGCTGCACGCGACAGCGCCAACGCCACCGTCCCCCCCGGCGAGGAGCATGCTCTCAACGTCAAGTTCGCAGACACGGCCGATGAGAAGGCGCGCAAGCAGCAGAACAGGGCAGCTGCGGCTGCAGGCGCCACCGCTACTGCCGGCCCTGGTACCGGCGGCCCTAGCGGCCCCGCTGGCCAGCGCTACGCTCCGTACCCTGGGGCCGGCAACCTGCCCGCCGGCAACATGCCACCACCGGGTGGACCGCGGCCGCAGGGCGGACCGCCTGCCATGCTTGTTGCACCCATGCAAGGCCCAGGAATGCTGGGCCCTATGGGAGGGCCGATGGGGGCTCCTATGGGAGGGCCCATGGCCATGGCGCCTCCGCCTCAGGCGGGTGCTGCGCCCTGGGCTAGTCCCCCCGCAGTGCTATTCAGCGGCCCGCCCCCGCAGCAGCTCCCGCTTGCGGTTGCGATGGCACCCATGGTTGTATCCGGCTTGCCTGGGCAGCCGCCTCAGCAGCAGCACCAGCAGCTCCTGCCTGCTGGGCCCATGGGGATGCCCATGGCGATGGCCATGCCGCAACAGCAGCAGCCACAACACATGCCGCCTCAGCAGCAGCACCAGCAGCCCATGCAACAGCCCATGGGCATGCCACCTCCTCAGCAGCAGATGCAGCCACCACCGCAGCAGCAACAACAGCCGCAGTACCCGCCCTATCCCCACCAGCAGCCGCAGCAGCCGCCTCCGCAGCAGGTCCAGTCGTACCCGCCTTTCCCGGTGCAGCAGCAGCAGCAGCCGGGGGGTCAGCCGGCGCCGTCCGGACCGGCGGGAGGCGTGCAGCAGCCTCCCGGGGCCGGCTCTGCGGGGGCGCAACCGCAACCGTACCCCATGCAGGGCCAGCAGCCGCCGTACCCCGGGCAGCCGCAACAGCCGGGTAGGTGGGGATGCGGAGAAATTAGGCCGTGGCTGTTTTCCTCCAAAGGGGCATAGCCGCATAGGACGGGAAGGCAAAAAACCAGCGGTGCGACACTGACCGTGACCGGAATGTGAACATGTAGGGAGTATGATATCGCTGGGCGGGTGCGGAGGGTCTGTTGGGTATGCGGATTGCTCCTTTGCTGGTTTAAAGTGCGCTCGCTGCCATGATTCGAGAAAACACCATGAAGGCACGCACCACAGGTTCCCGTGGGTTAAAACCCTCCTTTCCCCCATGCTTCCCTGCTCCAGGAGCCCCTCCCACGGCACCTGCGACGCAGTACCCCGGCTTCCCCGGTGCGACTCCCCACAACCCACCCGCCCCCCAGCAGCCCTACGCTCAGCCGCCTTACGGCCAGGGCCAGCCGCCCCAGCAGCAGCAGCAGCAGGCCCAGCAGCCTGCCGCAGGCCCACAGCAGACCCATGGGTCAGCCTACGACGCGCACGCCGCCTACGTCCAGCAGTTCACCGCGTACTACGGCTACCCCCCGCCCATGTACGGACCACCCGCCGCAGCAGGCGACCAACCAGGGCAGCAGCAGCCGGGGCAGGCGCAGACGGACTTGCAGCAGCAGCAGGCAGCGTACTACCAGCACTACTACAGCCACTACTACAACAATCAGCAGCAGCAGCAGCCGCAAGCGGGCAACAAGGAAGCGGCCGCCGGCCCGACGGCTGCCACTGCCACTACCGCTGCCGCTGCCACTCCTGTCGACGTCAAGCCGCCGCTTCCCACGGGCGCCCCCTCCTCCTCCGCGACTGCCCCATCTGCCGACAAGGCCGCTGTCTCTCAGCCCGGCCAGCAGCCCGCAACGGCTCCATGGCAGTCCCAGGCGGGCGCTGCTACCGCTGCCGGTGCTGCCAACGGCACGGCTGCAGCAGCAGCAGCAGCAGCAGCGCCGGTTTCCGGCTACAACCCCAGCAGTCGTATCGTGGTGTACGGCCTGCCGGCCAAGGCGGATAAGCTCGACATGTACGAGACCTTTGCCAAGTTCGGCCCCACGCTGGGGGTGCGTGTGGAGCCTGGGTTCGGCGTGGTGCAGTTTGGAGACCGGGAGTCGGCGGTGCGGGCGGTGAGCGGCATGAATGGCGCTACCGTGATGGGCGCGCAGATCCGAGTGGCGCTGTCGGAGCCTTGAGAGCTGGCAGGCAGGGAGGCAGGCAGGCGTGGGGACGGCTGGCTGACGGTCAGTTGGTTGGCCTGACTAACCAACTGACCTGGTTGATGAAAACAGCAAAACACACCAGGCCATGCAGCCATTGGACTGTGCTGCTTCAGCCGCTGGTGGCGAGTCGTGGGGGACTTCCTGGCAACAACTTCCTGGCAGGCAAGCAAGCACTGCCATCCGTTGCGACTCAGAACGGACAGTTTCGTGTGAACACACCTCCACACATCAGCTAGGTGAGGGGAAGGGCCCTTGCTGCTTTGGGCGCGCATGCGTGCCTTTGCACGCTGCGCTGAGCTGCGGATGTGTGCGGCCAACTGGCCTGATGAGTTGCAACATCGCCGCAGTTCCGATTAAAACTGAGGGGCGTTATACTATACCAGGTCAGCGCTACTAAAGCAGCTGTTTGGGGGATGGGCGGATCTGGGTTTTGGGCGTTGCTGCTGTTGTTATTACATGGTACCAGCCCTTCCAGGAGCGTGGGTCCCTGGAACATTCTTATTGGGTTCTTAGCATGCATGCTTAGGTCACGTGCCTGCAGTTGTCGTCGGGTTGCTCGACTTGTGTCCAAGGGCTATACGGGTTGCAGTTACGGGCTTGGGTACGGGCTATTGGGGGTAAAGGGTTTCGGGCGGGTGTCTTACTCGGGCGATAAGTCGTTCAGGAAATTCTCAAAATTTCAATCCAATCGGGCTTGCAATTAAGATGATGTTTCCTTTTCCTGGGTGCTTCGCTGGCCCATTCATGCTTTGTGTCAGGCGGCTGTTATCATTACCTCCCTTTAGGCGCTTTGTTGCGCATTTCATAGTTGCAGGTTGTAACATTGGCTAGGTTAAATCTGCTGTCCCAGAGGATATTGGGGGAATTGCGTCCACGATTCGGGTTGTTCCTAAGCGTATCGTTGATAGGATTGTCAATGGGGGTTTAATTACGTTTGGGGTAGAGCGTGGGGATATGAGGCTTTAATGCCTGGGGTCACGCTCTATGTGTTTCACATGTTGTCTATCTACCTGTTTATGTCAATGCATGGTAGCTGCAACAAGCTATGCTGCTTTTCGTTGCCGTAACCCTACGCCTGCGGAAGGGGTCAAACGTTATGTAAGGCACTTGTCCATGTAAGACACGAACAAGCGAAAGATTAACCGGAAAACATGCACGTTCAACCGGCATGAAGCCAACGTCGGAGGTAAGCTGGGATCATTTTACGGGATTACATGTATGGTATGTCATGCATGGGTCCGAAGACTATAGGTTTGCGACTCCTCGGCTTTCCACTCGGGCAGTGATCGACAACAACAACGCGCAGGGTACGCACGGTTTAGGTGTGCCGTACATGCTGGGAGTCTCGTGGAGTATTGGGTGTTGCATTGGGACGTTGCTGTTCCCCCACAACCTTCTGACGTTGCCCAATTCAGGTACCTATGTTCCCAGAAAACATGTCATTTTCGCCTGTTTCTGGCTGCGATGGGCACGCATGACAGCAGCAAGTCCTCACGTCGAGACACTAACCTTTGGACTATAGAGTTTGGGGTTAGGACTGTAGGTACTCCCTTTCGATTTGCGGGGTGACTCTAGTCAGGCATACTAGTACTTCCTTGCCAGCCCATTACACTCCCATGATCAACAGCCAAACCCAGTCTTGCCGGCGCCCAGGTCTGTCCTCAGTCTGCAACACTGACGCTCATTACGTACAGGAACATTCCGTACTCGCGCTTTTGGGGGTGCTCAGCACAGTAACTTTGAGAGGAATGCTATGGGGAAGTACACCGACTGTTTTGTTTCCAACGTCTATTATCCATAGGGTGATCTCGGTGCCACGTTAACCTCACCCAAACTACTCCCTGACAGAACTGGTCTTGCCAATGATTTCACGTATCTTCGGTGATAGCGCTCGGTCGCTGGCTACATGTGGTATCGCTTATAACAACACATTCTATCACGTATGTGAGGTTCTTATGTTACATGGAACCAGACTTCCTTATAGTTTCAACAGTCTCTGACATGGATTCACGTTCCATTCGTACGATACCATCAGCGACCGAAGCCTGGGAGTTAACCAGTAGAGTTACTAATATGCGACGTCTTGCTGTCATGAAACTTTAAAGCAAACTTGCGTTTGATTGCCTAGGACATCACGGCAAAGGAGAAGCTGTCGGTCGCTTGTGCTAGCTTCCCTTCCCGTGTTGTAGGTTACTCGGCTATTGTAAAAATATCTTACCCTGAAAAGGTATTTTGCCTAGAAGTACCGCGTTAATCAACGCTAGTAAGGCGCTATCATGAGCTTGGACTCAGGGCCTGAAGTTCGCGTCCAGCTTCAGGTGCAGATGAAGGTGCGTTAATCTTGTAGTTATTTTGAAGCTAGTTGGTTCGAAGCCGGCCCTCCGCGGTACAAACAAGGCTTTGGGTAAATGATGCAGGATAGCAAACCTAAGGAAATCATCAGGAAGGTCACAAGCACAGGTTAGTTTATGACTAGGAGGAAGCCTGATGCTTTCTTGTCGCCCAACTGCTGAACCTTGCTTCTTGTTGTGTGCATTGGTGTGACATGTGCACACTTTGCTACGCTTAGCCGCTGCTCTGAGCACCGAGAGGGCGGATGAGTAATTTAGGGCTTCTTGCGGGCTATCTACATCGTGTTGCTCCATCCTTGTTCGTTACATACTTTTGTGAGTGCTTAAGCTGGAATGAGCAAGCCTGGCGTCACCAGCCCCATGATCCAGGAGACCGCTAATAGCCCTTTTACTTGCCTCCCGGGCCACAGGCTACGAGATTGTAGAATGCGACGGCTTTGTCTTCGCCAGGAAGCGGAAGGCGCCCCCAACCCAGGAGCCCCAACCAGCTGAACAACCTGCTGCTGGCTCTCAGCCCACCAATGGTGTGGCTGATGTTACCTCGGAAGCACCAGCACCAGGGCCCCAAGCCGACAACCCACTTCCCCCGGAGCAGCAGTCCGAGCCTGCAGGGACACCTGCCGCCCCCGCCATAGCTACTGCCAACGATGCAGAACAGCGCTCCCCCCTCAACAAGAAAGCGCGTGTTGATACCGACGCAGAACCATCTCCATCCACGCCGGCAGCCGCCACCTCCGAACGCGGCGATCAGCAAGAGGAGCAAGTGCAGGAGGAGGAGCAGGAGGAGGAGGAGGAACAACCGCAGCCGCCTCCCCGTGAACGCGACCTGGTCGCGGAAGTCTCCAGCCTCACCGCCTTCGTGCCGTCGGGATGCCCCACGGCCCTCAAGGTCACCTGGCTTCTGCAACAGGCGCTTCAACTCGCAGTGCCGCCAGGCGATGACGCTGCGGCTGCTGCCGCGGAGTCCGTACTCGCCGCCTTCAAGCGGGGGATAGAGCAGCAGGTGGCGGCGGCGCAGCAGCTGCTGCAAGCCGGCGGGCCCGAGGAGCTGCGACAGTTTGACAGCCTGCCCCCGATGGTACGGGAGATGTGCAGCGAAGAGCGTGTGGCGGCCGGCCTGCGGCAGCGGTTAGCGGCGCTGGAGGCGGAGGAGACGGCATGGCTGGCACTGGAGGCTAGGTACCGGGACGGTGGCGCTGCGGCTGAGGTTGTCATCCCAGATGGGGCTGACGCGGCTGCGGCTGGGGTTGCTGCTGGGGAGGGAGAGGCGCGGGATGCGGGTGCGACAGGCACCAGTGCGGGGCCGGAGGAGCGGCCGCTGCCGCCGGTGAACCTGGAGGTGCTCGAGAAGGCCCGGCAGCTGGCGGACGTGGAGCTTGAGATTCAGGTGGGAGAGGCTGGTTAGCGATGTGGTGTGGGGTACGGAAGGGTCGTTGGAATGCAGGGTGCGAGGAAGCACAGACAACGTACATGGATTGGGTTGTATGGGGTTCCGAACCCGGCTGACCTGTGCTGTGCTTTGTGTCTCGCTGAGGTAATCATGGCCCAATTCCGCCCATCCTCGTCTTGTGTCGCAGGTCGACCACGTGAACAGCATGCTGGGGCGCTTGGAGCTGCTGCTGGAGGAGGCGGAGGAGGAGTCATCGCTACTGCAGGTGGGTATGGGAGGCGGAAGGTGTTGCCGGGTTATTCCAGGCAAACGGAAGTGGGGATTGGCAGCCGGAAAGCGGCTGTTGCTTTCTAGGTACTGTCTCGCACTGGAGGTCTGCATGCACTACATGGAACGTTGCCCGAGCATTTTGAAGGGGCGATGTTGCGTACCCGGTTCGTACTTGCAAGCGTAGATCTGCGTTGCGCACAGCTTCGCATGCGTTTCCTCCACGAGATGAGTCGCCGGCGGCTGTCTCAAACCGCACGTGACCCCCACCCACCCGCCGGCCCCATCGATTCCCACCAGGCCGATTACCACAAGGAAAACTTCTTCAACCGGCCCGGTTACGTCCACCTCGACTCCCCCAACGTGCTACTGAGATATGTCTCTCAGCCGGCGGTCCCCGCCGCGCCCATGGACTTCGTGCCCTCTACGCAGCCCAGCCAGGGCTGAGCAAGCTGCACGCAAATGCCGGACTTGCTCTTGCAGGGCAGTGCCTAGTGGCCATGCGCCGTTGTAGCAACCTACTGTGGCCCACATGGCCCCGATACACTAAATGGCGCTTGGTACTCGCTGTCCTGTGGCAATCCCCCTTGGCTATAGGGTGTATTGGTGTCCGGTCTCCGCTTCCCACATGTTTGTTGCCCATCTTTTTGACCACCCAAGGCGGCTGGCCTAGTAACAGTAGGAAGGAATAGTTGTTGAGGTAGGATAAGCTTTCGTTGCGCAGGCTTAAAAATGCATTCCAAGACACCGTCTGTGCTAAACATTGCTGGCCCATGGGCCATATGTGCAGTCGCTCCACTGCGCTGTGAGAAGTTGAGCTTTGTCACAAGCTATGGATATTTGGTGGAGCGTTGGAAGATGTGTATCCTAGCTGTTCTAGATGCTCATGTATATATGCGCACGCACATACCTGCCACAAGCCGGGACTGTACAGCGGCTGCGTGTGGCTTTGCCTAGGTAATGAGGGCGGAAGGCTTTAGTGGTAAGAAAACTGGCTTGAGTGGTGTGTATAGCAGGGGTGTCGCAATATGAGAAGCGCGTGGTGCCACGGATATGTGTGCCGTTATGGCCATGCACAGTATTTGGCTTTTGCATTGCGGGGACTGGCGAGAAAGGACTTGGCCGCTGCCTTCAACACGGGGCCTGCCGTATAGCAACGCCCGTGCACGTCCTTGTCGCATCTATCATGGCAGGCAATCTTGTTCGACGGTAACTCGGCGCGCGTTATGTACCGGTAAGTGTGTCCATGAGGCCCCCACACATTCCACAGGGTAACTAGGTCCGCGCACAAAGCACATCACAGAAAGCATGAATGCTCAAATCAGTCACAACAAAAGAAACCGTCATGCCACTTAGCAGTTGGATGGGCCGCATGGGGGCTAACGGACTGTGTGTATCATAACAGCTACCTGTAGGCGCAGTCAAGACATTCGCCGAGTACACTTTGCCAACTAGGTTGGGCACACATGCACGAAAGCAGAGCCATGTAAAGATGCCATGATGTTGGGGTGCATAGCGAAGGCCTTGATCTACAGCAATCAAAACTACAGCGTTGGTAAGTAGCAGCATCACCAACAACCCGCAAATCCCAAACCATACAAACAGCCCATGCGCGTTGCGGCTTTGGTACTACCGCATGTTATACCTGTCCGGATACTCACGTGTGTAAGACCGACCACAAACACCATACCAGGTTCACATGCACACATACGTGGTTATGTCCATATGTCGGTGGCCGCCATGACCACTGCGCCCAGCTTCACGTATACTTGACCGTTGACCTGCTTTCAGGGGGCATATTTCTACTACAATTAAGACTGCCTCTCTCCTGCCGGATGCCCCAACGGCATGCACGCTACCGGTACTCATGCGCCCCTTACACATCATGTTATTGCACACCATGCCGCTGCCAAACCGAACCAAGCCCGCCACTGCCGCATACTCCCCAGCCCCTTCCTCCTCGTGCGCTGCACGTCGTACACCGCCGCCGCCCAACCTCACAATGTCAACGTGGAGGGCTTGGCGCTAGCCACATCCAGCAGCCCCTCCGCCCCCAGCCGCCCGCTGCTCGCTAGCAGCTCCACCTCCTCCTCCAACTCAATCTCCAACTCACCGGCCGCGATCAGCGCCTTGGCACGCTGAGCCTCCGCGTTCCAGTCAAACTTAAACACGATCCACGACAGGATCAGCGACTGTACGGATGCCGTACACGCCAGGCCGGTCCACAGCCCCATGGCGCCCAGGCCCATGCGGAAGGCCAGCAGACAGGCGAAGGGCAGCCCAATGCCCCAGTACATGAAGAGGTTGATCTGCGCGCCGATCTTCTGCCGGCCGCAGCCTCGCAGCACGCCGGCTAGTACCGTGTTGGCGCCCTCGCCTGCGGGGTGGGGTGCGGACGGCGACATGTGTCATGTGCTGTGGCAGTGGTTGTTGTTGGCATTGGGCATGACAAACGTGGGCCCTTGTTGGGTTACAGGCACCACAAACGGTTAACCTGAGCGTACACGCTTGCTTGTTTACAAGGTAGTCGCAAGGATGGCAGACACTAGCATGACGCGCGCTTCACCTATAAGCGATATGGCCAGCGTGGGCACCGCCTGGCTGGTCAGCAGCACCACCTCCTGCTCCCCCGAGAACAGCGCGCCCAGCTGCCGGCGGCACTGCAGCAGCAGCCCCGCGCACACCACCATGATGACAGTGCCCATCAGGACGGACACCTGCGTGTTCAGCCAGGCCTGGCGGGGGCGACTGGCGCCTGGAGGTGGGGGGGCAGCGGGACGCATGGGGGGACGCGGTGGAGGCAGTGAGAGCTAGGAGCGTGTAGGTATCGAGGGGTTAGTAGAGCGGAGGGTAATGGGCCTAATGACAAGGCATACCAGAGTACGGCCGCGCATGAGCAGGATTCTAAGGTTGCCGTTATGCGTCCTGGGTCGTGCAGCCCAACCAGAGCTGCAGCACCCCCACCTCCTTCATGACCGCCCCATCATCCCACCATCCACCCCCCGCTAGCCTACCTAGTTCGTTGCCCACTCTCGTGCTGGCCGCCCCGCTGAGCCCGTGCGCCGCGAAGAAGCACAGCGCGTGGATGTTGAAGGTGATGCCCATCATGGACATCGTCATCTCGGGCCGCGGCAGCAGACCTGACAGCATCACGATGATCTGCGGGCGGAGGGCGCCGGCGGGGCGGGGCAGAACAGGGCAGGGCGGGACAGGGCAGGGCGGGACGGGGCAGGGAGGGGTTCAGTGGAAGCGGCAGGAGAAGGGCGGCAGCATGGTACTGTGTTACCGGCTGGACACCTGTTGCAGGTCCCAAGCACCTAGCTAATGTGCTAATCCCACTAGCTTGCGCTGCAACCCACCGCGGCGTAACTCCCCCATAAAGCCATAACCCATCGTCGTCCGTACGCTCTTGATAACCCTTCCCCTGCCCCAGCTTGACCGCGCATACCCGTACAAGCTTGTAACCCATCCTCATCAAGCAAACGTCCCCCCGCCCAATGCCCATGCCCTCCCGTCCGCCTCCCGCCCACGCCCTCCTGCTCCCTGCCCATGCCCTCCCGTCCCCTGCCCACGCCCTCCCGTCCGCCCCCTGCCCATGCTCCGCACCTCGAACGTCCACCAGTCCAGGCAGATCATGACGGCCGAGGGAATGGCCACTCGGATGTAGAGCGGCCAGTCCGCCAGGCACTCGCGGCTCCAGCCCGCCCATGTGCGCTTGGACGGCTCCTGGTTGCGGGTGTGGTGCAGCGTGAATACCAGCAGGCCCAGGCAGGAGCTGGCCTGCACGCACGCCCATGCTACAGCGGCGCCGTCGAAGCCCAGCGCGCATCTGAGCGATGGCGGCGAAGGGATGTGGGGAAGCGAGTAGGTGAGGGCGACAGCCAGGTTGGAGCATGGAAGGGGAAAGCGGGGGAAGAAGAATCGGTGGTCGTTCTGCTCATGACCCTTTATCTTCCACATGCTTTCCCTGGGCTTGTAGGCTGTCTCAGTATGCGCCGTGGGTCTCATCCTGAGGCCTCCTCTACCCGTCTTAACCCTAACCCAGCCAGATCCGGATGTCTCCGCCAAACCACGTACCTAAAGATGAAGAACCAAAGGTACAACGGAGTCAGCAGCGTTGCAAGAAAAGTGACGTACAGCAACGGCTGTACAACAGACTGCGCCGCTAGGTAGCGGCGTAAACACTGTTCAACGCCATCAAGTAAGAGGCAGGGGCTAAGGAGGAGCGTGAAGCGGCCCGCCGCTTTTGCGATCTGCGGGTCCTGACCCATGGCAATCATCAGCGACTCCGCCTTGCCCCACATGGCAATGCACAGGAGGTTGAAGAGGGTGGTGATCACGAGGGCTCGCTGTGTCACCACGCCCACTGTTGCGTACTTCTTAGCACCATACGCTTGCCCGCAGAACGTCTCCATGGCCGTGACCACTCCCAACATGGGCGCGTTGCCGCTGACGTTGTATAGCGTCTGAGACAGCACCAGCGACGACAGCTCCATCGAACCCAGATGCCCGACGAAAGCAGTAATGATAATCTCTTTTGCAAACGTCATCACCTCCATGCCCGACAAGGGCCAGGCTAGCGCCCATAGCCTGCGGAATGCCCAGTCCCTGTTAGCTCCAACGAAGAGCTAGGATCCGCATGCCGGTGGCACCGCTAACTCACCGTGAAGCTACGGATGTCCATGCTGTTGTCGCCTTGCCAAAAACGGCTGGCTTGTGTGATGTTTTCATTGCTTCTCCATAATCGTTTGAAATTGCCGCCGAAGCTCGCCGCTATTGTGATCAACAATTCTTTGGAACGTTTGCTAGCTTTAACTGGTGGCTGAATCCGGATGACAGCTTGGAGGGATACGCGAAACAGCCAGCCAGCATCTCAACACCTCCTTAACCAACCCAGCGCACTTCCGAAATTTCAAAGCAAGGAAAGCGGTACTTAGAAACTATATCAGTAACAATTGCTCCAAGGAAAAGCCGGATCGCACTGCCTGGTATAGCTACGTGACCAAGGTGCACCAAGCAGTACTCATTTTAACAAGAAGTTAGCATATATGGGGGTCATCCTACACTATTACCGGTAACATGGAAGGGAAATGCCTGACGGGAGTATGTGCACCTCACTGTAACGATACGATTGCACTTCCTATCCATGCCCCTATCCATGCCTGGTCTAACCCACCGTTCTCTTTCAATATCTTGACAACCGTCAATTCGGGATAACCTCGAATTCCCATCCCCTTTGATTCCGAGTGCCTGTACGCGCTGTTTGGCATTTCCTTCCATGCTCAACATGCGCCCTTGGGCACGCGCCGGTATAATAATGACACCACCGTTATCCTAAAGGTACGTGTTATTTGTTCCGCGTGGCCCCATCACCACCTGGTTAAGGAGGACCGGCTGAGAAAGATGTCGTACGGTACGGCAGCAATAAGGCAATTCCTCCTGTTAGGATGGGGCCCTGTTGGATGGCCACACGCAACCCTCCTAGGCATAGGGGCAAACAAGAAGATTGGAGGGCTCTTACAGACGTCGTCCGGGTGACAAGGGGCAAAGAAGAAGATCGTCGGTTAGGGTGACAAAGGCGCCCTAACTGGCGGGTCAAGGATAGGTCGTGTTAGTCAGCACGCAGTGTTGAGGGTTGGAAATGTTCATGAGGCCGTTGATTAGCGTATCAGCTACACAGGAAAGACGCATGTTAGCGCATACCCTTGCTCTGTTCCTTTCTCGTTGACTACCGGTACAATAACCCCCCCCACCATTTCTCAGCAGGTCCATTCATCCATTCGTCCATCGTCGGCTCGCTTAGGCCTTACTTACATGGCCAGCGCCTTTGCCCTCTTGCAGTGTAGGGTTGGGCTCATCACCCCTGCTCCCTTTTAGGTAACCAGGGTGCAGCGCTCATTCATTCAGCTGCACCCTCCAGCACCCCTGGTGAGACTGCAAAGGCTGTCTGTGCTCCCACAGCCCTTCACACGCTGACATGGTTCAGCAGCCTTCCAGCTCTCCATCGATTGGTATCCACAACCCTCACAGCAACAGCAACAACCCCGGTCTACAGCAGCACCCCGGTCAAACGACGGTTCGGCGCTACACAACACCCCGGCAGCAGCTGGGTCGCTGCACCCGGGTCGCCGCCTGCCCGACATCCAAGCTAAGATTCTGCCACACCGCAATCAGCCAATCACACATAACCGCATCGCATGTCAGAGCATAATAGCCCGCTTCAAATACAGTTCAGGCGTTCAGCTGGGACGACCCTGCAATACGACCCGCTGTCACAGCCAACTCCCCAACACTCGCGCCAACAAGTAAGGCAGCAAACCACGTCTATCCAGCGCTTGCATGCAGCGCGCGGCTGCTCTGAACCCACCGCTGCAACCATTCCCTCATTTCAACGCGTACACCACAACACGCATCCCGCTATAGATTGCCGTACACCTCATCCCCTTGGGGGCAGCCACCAGCTGCGTCAGTTGCCATTCCGGACTCGCTTGGCTGGCGGCGCCTCCGACTCATCAGCCACCCTCCGTGCACGACGCAGCCTGCCGCCCGCACCACCGCGCGTCGGGGAAAACCACTCCTCCTCCTCCTCCTCTTCCTCCTCCTCCTCTTCCTCCTCCTCTTCCTCCTCCTCCTCTTCCTCCTCCTCCTCCTCGCTCCCTCCGCTGTGCTCAGATCGTTCCGTTTCGTCACCGCCATCGTCCTCGTCCTCGTCCTCCTGGGTGCCCGCGTCCTGCTCCACCGCCTTTCTCTTGCTCCGCTTGCGGCGGGCGCGCTGCTTCTCGACGACTGCTGCGAGCTCGTCCGCTGCCGGGGTCGCCAGGTACACGACCAGCTTTCCGCCTGCTGGGGTACGATTCCAGCCCAGCAGGCGCTTGCAGGCAGCAGCTACGTGAATGCCAGGCCCCATAATGTTAAAATGGTAGCCGCGTCGCCTCACAGCCGCCATCAACTGCCCGTCCTGCAGCTGCCCATCCAGGACCACCTACGTGCGTGCGTGCGTGAGGGTGCCGCATGGGGACAGAACAGCGTACAAATGGTCCGCGGAATATAGGTACGTGTGAAAACATCGCGGAATGGCGGATGACCGGTATGATGGGTTGTACCCTCACATCGAGAGCTGCTGCTGCATATCGGTATGTGGTCATGAACAATCTGGCTGAGCACTGCCCTGGCACGCTTTAAAGTCTTTGCTTTAACGTAGGCTTTCTTTGCAATCGAGCCCTCGCAATTCTCATCCTTCTTTGTAGTTATCGGCTCCAAGGTATTACCGGTACCCATTCTTCACCTTCAGCGGCACGTTCTCCACATTGCTCGAGTCGCCGTACCACAGATGCGCAAGTGTAGCGCCCAGCCGCAGCGAAGTATTTGCCGATACGATGTACGGCTTCACTTCCTACAGCGTTATGACAAGGAATGCACAAAAAACCAATCGTGAGGACGAAAGCGGAAAGCTGTGGAAGTGTTTAACCGTTTTTTCACCAGTAGTTGCTACCGGTACCGGCATAAGCCGACCAAGCACGATCGACCCACGGGTCACCCAGCCACGCTTATTACCCTCCGGTATGGGCCCGGTATGCTCGCCGCCTGCTGGCGCTCCTGCTGCGTCGGGTCCCGCAGGTAGAGCTTCAGGGGGCCGTGCGGGGGGTTGTCGCATGTCCAGCGGTCGAGGACCTTGCCGGTGGCGAGCCGTCGTTGCTCGCCAAGGTGAACGTAACAATGGCGGCCGTAAACCCGGAGCTCAGCCTGTCCCTGTGGCTCCAGGACCTCACCATTGAGCACAATCTGCGACGGGACGGACCAAGCGGATAAGCCTGCCGTGTGCGCGCGCGATATGGCATGTGGCAGCTGCGGGTAGCTGCACCCCTGGAGGTTGGTAGGGTGCATCATGCCCCTTCTCAATTCCGTATTGTTCCCTATCCTGCTTCCTGCTGCCGGCGGCGCAGCTTCCCTAGGCTAGTTCCCGGTCTGTATGCGGCAGACGGGCTAAACCGCTGGTCGCGTGCAAAGCTGCGCAAGGCGCTGCTGCCCGCCTGCTGGCCCATCACCTGGAGGCGGACGGTCTTGGTGGCGAAGCTGCCGAACCACGCGCGTGCGCTGGCTACTCCCATCTGCAGCCGCTCCGTGTTGTTGGACAGCTTCGCCTTCTAAGGGTAACTCCCGCATGAGGGTCACGTCTTAGCATTACAACTTCTTTACTAGAAGCCGGCTACACTGCCAAACCACAATGCAACACCTAACTGCTGCCGTAAACCGTATTCCAGTACGCTCCTACTCGTGGCCAGTGTTGTTGACATGCACCCACCGGTAACGGTAACTGCGGTTCGCCCCTCGGAAGTACGCCAACCCTTGCCCCCTTACTCTTAGCGCAGGGACAGGCAGGTTTCTCCATGCATGCATGCATGCATGCACGCAGGACATGTCACAAGGCAGGCGACCAAGACCGTTGGACTCACCGTTGGAGCAGGGCCCGGCGGAACGACCTCGTCGTCGGCGCCAGCACCAGCACCAGCCCCAGCACCAGCACTAGCGCCAGCACCAGCACCAGCACCAGCACCAGCACCAGCACCAGCACCAGCACCAGCACCAGCACCAGCACCAGCACCAGCACCAGCGCCAGCACCAGCACCAGCACCAGCACCAGCGCCAGCACCAGCCCCAGCACCAGCACTAGCGCCAGCACCAGCACCAGCACCAGCACCAGCACCAGCACCAGCCCCAGCACCAGCACTAGCGCCAGCACCAGCACCAGCACCAGCACCAGCACCAGCACCAGCACTAGCGCCAGCACCAGCACCAGCACCAGCACCAGCACCAGCACCAGCACCAGCACCAGCACCAGCACCAGCACCAGCAACGCCCACCTGGCCACCCCCGCCACCCACGGCAGTAGCAGAGCGCAGGTACATCACCAGCTGCTGCTTGCCGCCGTCGTGGCTGCTGCTGCCGTGGTTGTAGCCAAGCAGCAGCTTGCCTCGGAAGTTGGGGATGATGCCGGGGACGCGCAGGTAGAGGAAGCGGGTTGCTGAGTCGGGTCCGTCGTACGCCTTGAACCGTGCTTCACGGACTTCCTCAAGCAGGGTCCCATCCAACACAACCTGAGAGGTGGTCCGGGGCAGGGGGGAAGGGGGAACGGGAGCTGCGTGTTGGGTTGTAGTCAGCCACCGGAGCAGCGGAGGGCGATGTTGCATTAGTGGCAGGGGCCAGCGAGCGTACATCTGTTATCCTGAAGTAAGCAAGCAGACCGGCTTAGATCCTACCCTCCGCTGCCACCCTTACCCTCAGCGGCACTGAAGTGCAGGTCGGCCAACCAAACCAGGTCGCGGCGAACTTTCTGGGAAGTGTGAAGGTGGTTCCCTTTTTAATAGCTGCCCGGGGGCAATACGTCTGCGAGTAGGGTGCGGCGATGTGCAGCACAAAATCTTGAGTTACGGCATCGGTCAGGAAAAGGTACTGGTATGTCACAGCATGCTAGTGTCAGCAGCGCCCCCACAAGTAAGTAAGTGGTGATTGGCATTACCTCAGTACCCTGTACCCCCCCAGATGCCATCATGCGTTGGACCTCGCACCCATGCACTCTGGCCCATAGAATGCTAAACCCCGAGTGTTTCATCAAACCCCAGACATCATCGGTTAAACCTCACCTCATAATACTCCGCCACAGATGCAGGGACGCCTCCGCTGCTGCCCCTCGGCCCAGCAGCATCTGCCCCGACAGGCCCGGCAGCAGCAGCAGCAGCCTCGGCAGGCCCGGCAGCAGCAGCCTCAGCAGCTGCAGCCTCGGCAGCAGCAGCAGTACCAGCAGCCTCAGCAGCAGCAGCTGCGGAGGCAGCAGGCCCACCTGACTCACCCAAGACTGCAACCGCCGCCTCGCCACCGGAAGCACTCATACCTGCCACTCCACCCACCCCATCAGCTCCATCTCCGCCTGCACCGCTCAATGCCGCTTGCGCGTCGCTTGCGTGAGGGGCGCTACCCGCGTCAGGGGGGGCTGCCTCGTGGTCAGGGAGTTCCGCGTCTGGGCTGGCAACACCTGAAGCATGTAGCGGTACGGCAGGGCAGCCGCCGGCATCTCCACCTCCATCCCTGCTGCTGACCAACTGCTGCAGCCGCTGCTGGTGCTGGTGCTGCTGCTGCTGGTGCTGCTGCTGCAATGGCCCCTGCTGCTGCTGCTCAATCTGCTGTGTGGCCGCAGCGTCATCTGTTCCACCCGCCCCACTGCTGCCTGACGCAAGCCAGCCGCCGTCGCCACGTGGCGCTCCAGCAGCTCTAGCACTGCCACCAGCAGCGAGCCCCGAGCCGGCACCGCCATCCTCACCAGCTAGGGAAGCCGGCAAGGGCACGGACTGCTGCGGCTGCTGCGACGGCGGCGGTAGGGCATTGCGTTGGGGTTGAGAATGAGGAGGTGCTGCCCATGGCGACGGCAGCAATGGCGACATGGTTTGCTGCTGCTGCTGTTGTTGTTGTGGTTTCTCCAGCTCTTCCATGCGCATGACCGCTGGCCTAGTAGCACTGAAGACTCCCCATGTTTCCTGCAGTTGCAGTTGCAGCTGCGGCTGCGGCTGTCCTGCTTGGAGAGTGCCCGCCTGCCCCATGCCCTGTGGCGCCGCCTCCTTAACGTCGGGTTGGGACGTGATGGTGCCGGCGCGGTTTGACTGCAGCTCAACAGTGGCAACGACAGCTGAGGCAGGTGCGGGAGCCATGGCGGCTGCAGGCCAAGCATCGACGGCAGCTGCGCCTGCAGCCTCGGCAGGCCCACCGGAACCACCAGCACTGCCCGCTGGAAAGCCATCAAGGCGCAGACCTAAGGTGACCCATGGGTCACCAAAGCCGCTGTTAGTCCTAGACGGGGGAAGCCACCTGCGCCTGCGCCCATGCCCCTGCGCATGTGCTCTTGGGAGAGGTCCACTGCTGAGGCCAGGGGCGGCGTCTCTTCGTGCGTCATTCACTGCCTCCATGGGGTGCCCGGCAGCTGCAGCTGCAATGCCAGGAGGTGTGGCTGCTGTTGCAGCTGCTGTGGGGAATGCTCCATCCGCCACATCTGCGTTAAACAGTTGGCTACCTCCCATCTGTGCCGCTCCTTGTTGTTGGTAAGCGGTCGCTGCGTCCTCCCAGGGGGTTGGCCCACCGTCCTCGGCGGCTCTGGCAAGCCCGGGGGAGTTGCCCGCCAGGGCTAGCCGCCCGCAGGGAGGCGGAGGGTGTACCAGCAGCAAGGAAAACTGGCCGCGAGGTGGAACGCACCAGCCGTCAGGGGTAGTAGGGTGTAGAGCCGTTGCTTCAGGCGCCGCATCCGCCGCTACTGGGAAGCCCGGTGCGGCCACTCGCGGACCCGCAGCCGCGCTGGCAGTCACCCTGGCTGGAAGCGGCGACTGCTGCTGCTGCGGCCGATGCCGCTGCTGCGACTGGTGCCGCCGCTCATGACAGCCGTCTTGGTGCTGCTGCTGCTGCTGCGGACGCTGAGTCCCCGCCACCGCCTGCACTGCAGCGGCTGCTGGGAAGGGCTGCCGCAGGCCCAAGCCATGGCTGAAGTTTGACGGTACGGGGGAGGCCGCACCAGCAGCGGCGCGGCTAAACAGTACGACAGCGCCAGCGGCAGCATAGCAGAGTGGAGAAGGCCGTTCGTCCCCCCGCAGCGTCGGCTGGGGTAGCTCCTGCCGCGGGGTGACAGGGGATGGTTGTTGTGCAATGCCACGGAGTGCAGTACGGCAGCCGTCGCTTCCTATGGCACCATCGCCGCCGCCGCCGCCACTGCCAATGCCGCCGGCCCCGTTGCCATCGCCCTCTTCTTCATCGTCCGACAGCAGGGCAATGACCTCCTTGATATCGCCGCCGCCGCCGCCGCTGGCAGTGGCGGCAGCGGCAGTAGCAGGGATAGCGGCGGTCGGGGTGGCAACAGCAGCAGGGGCCGGGGCAGCAGCGGCTGAGGCGGCCGTGAAGACGCGGAACCGTGTCGTGTTCTCCGCGCGCCAGTTCTGGATGGCAATCCTGGCGACCGGCGCGGGGCGGAGGTCCCCCAGCGTCATGGCCGAGCCTGCAAAATGGTGGCGGTGAAAGTAAGCGGTAAATAGACATGACGGGAGGGTAAATGTAAAAGACAGGATGACCAGGGAAAACCACGGTACACGTGCAGCCAGTGTGTACGGCGCCGTCGTAAGCAATAGAGGAGCGACACCGTGCAGATATGTCGTCGTATCTTGCAGATACTTCGCGATTTGAATGCTGTGACCCATGGGTCATGGCACACTTGCGCATACACCCACACGCCGCCACAGTCCCCCGGGCCCCTCCTTACTCACCCGTTCGCGGGTTGCAGCCGAACGCCCGGACGTGCGCCTCCAGGGCCGACCTGTCGTACACTGTGTTGGGGTCGGCTTTGTCCACGGCCGGGTCCGACGGCAGCTTAGCACTCAAGGGACAGATGAAGAAGTACGGAATGGGGGAGCGGACGTTAATCGCAGTGGGGGGCTGGGGCTGCTCCTGTGGAGGACGGTGGTGGGGAGACCCATGGGTCACTCCAACGCGCGCCGGCGGCGCGCCGGCGAGTCCTGCCTGCGTGGCTTCGTCCTTGACCGGCAGGGTACATGCCGGGACGATAGTGGCCTTGGCTGCGAGCCATTGCTCGATAATCCTTTGGTGGAAAGATGCGACCGGAAGCGAGAGTTTTGGATGGCCTGTGGCGCGAGGGTGCGAGTGATTTTGCAGTAAGTGCAGCGCTGCCCATCCTTCTCCCGTCCGGGTAGTCAGGCGTCCGTGGGCATTTCAAAATGTGCTCAGCGTAGCACGACATGTTCGCGATGCGAGGACTGGTAAGGCTGATCACCGAAGAGCCGCGGTTAGCTTCAACACGTTTAGCACGTTTAGCTTCAACAGTTAACGCGAAACTTTCACCATATTGTTTTGCTGTATTACTCTACGACAACGTTGGATTCCTTGGCAACGGCAAGGCAGCAGCTCACCGGAAAGCGGCCGCACGTTGTGCCTCTCCACAAACGCCTCGTAGGCCGCCCGCTCCACGGCGCGGCCTTCCGGGTCCTCAGGATCCACAACCGGCTCCCGAAGGAGGCTCTCACAAATACAGCACACATATTCAGCCGGTAAGTCCTCCCGCAGATATATGAGGTAAGGACCGCTGCGAATGTTTGACCCCATCTAGGTAAAAGCGTGCAAAAGCGCGAAAGAGCGAAAGCGAGACGTTCATGCGAAGAAAAACAGTGATCTGCTCGATCTGCTGAGGGAAAAAACAATTGGATTACGGCGCTTACCAGCGGCGCGTTTATGCCATGTTGCACCACCAACCGTACGACGCTGCCTGTCGGGACCAATCTGTTGGGAAGGATCCGCAGCCCACTGTAAGCCGGCGTCCGTCATTCAGAGTTCATTATTCTTTTTAGCAGCCATCTCTTACTTCCGCCTTACTTCCTTAGCTGCCGCTTTGCTGATTGCTGACAGGGATGTCTTTGCTCAAAAGAACGCCATCACATACTTACATTCTTCAGCCATTTGCTGTCCACCACTGGCATCCAAAATGCGCCATTCTGTTCCTAATGCCATCTACTCCGGAGCACCAAGGCATCAGGCCCCTTCACCCTCACACCTGCGTGAGGTTCAGGGCCCCTTACTTGCGGATGGAGGTAACCCCTGTGAGGGTGCCTGTTCAAGCACACAACCCGCACCCCAGCCTTCCAAGCACCCCACCCAATCTCAGAGCAAAGGACATGCGCATACGGGTGTCTACCCTAATAGCGAGAGCTACCCCGCTAGCAACGCTGCTTGCTGCTACAGCAGCTGCGGCCGCCCAGGCGAGCCTGCCGGCGCGGCTCCTGCGCTAATATCTTCAATCAGGCCTCCTAAGTCCTAGCCAACATGCAACAAAACTCTCCGCAGCAGAAACACACATGGACCCCAAAATCCTCCAAATCCAAAAACGCGCCACAGTGACAGCTGCCCAGCTACTCCCCCCCCCCTACACACACAACGTACGCCACGACGCGACATTAAGTGTGAGAGGAACCGCCCCAGTTTGCCCTTAAACGTCAAGACAACTGCAACAGCAACGACCCACGGGTCAGTCCTCTCACTAGGACGGCGCACAGTACCAACAGCCACACAATAGGAGTGCCCGCCTCCTGGACTGAACCAAACCAGGCCAGCAACATCACCACGCCAGCAAGGGCGTGCAGGAGCCCCAACCAAAGCGCATAACAAGCTAGCAACCCACACTCGACCCGCGTCAGGAGCTGGCCGCGATTGCGCTCGCGTGTGCGGTTCCCCTTCCCCCACCGTCGCAACCAATTCGCCGGACCATTCCGAACTACCGGTACCACCAACTACCCAACTGCCTACCAACACATTACATCCCGCCTCCGCTTCAGAGCCCAGAACCCAAGCACAGGCCTCAAGAGAAGGCATGGCCGCCCCAGTCCCTCGCGCCTACAGCCAATCTCACACCTCTCCTACCCACCAGCAACTCCAAAACCTCTCACTTTCTCCCCTCTCCTGCGTTGTCACCACCACCACCACCACCGCTGCTGCCACCATCGTCACGACCTCCTCCACCACCGCGATCCCGCCCGCTCCTCCTCTCCCTCTCCATGTAGCCCTCTCCTCTCCTTTCCCTCCTCACCATCCTTCACCCACACCATCCGCGCCACAGCATCCACCATCCGCGCCCCAGCACCCGCTCAACAGCAGTATCGCGTGGCCGCTCGAGTTCATCCACAGTACACCCCGACGGACGTACATCATCGCATGTCTCCATAGTCCCGGCGAGCGCCGAGAGCAGGGCAAGACGCTGCCCGCAGACCTGGACGGACGCCGACACTCGTACCATGCAAACACCGGCGCGTGCAGAAAGCAGGTCAGAAGGGCTACCCGTAGATCTTGACGGGCTTCTCGTGCGCGTATCGGCTGCTGGCGGGCGGTTGGCGCCGGCCGTTGCCCACTCCTCGGTCATCGTGCAGGATGGCGAGGGTGAGCTTATTTGGGTCCATGAGGTAGGCCTGTGGGCGAGAGGGAAGGAGGAGGTGGAGGGGGGGGGGGGGCGAAGCGGGAGGAGCGGGCAGGGAGGGAGAAGGTTCAGGAGGAGTAGGAGGGTGAGCGAGAGCTCGGTTGGGAGCTTGGAAGCGCCAGGACAGGGCCAGGAGAGGCGACATGAGGGAGTCCTGAGAAGGAAAACCCCAATGAACTGTCCTTTCTTGCCATGCATGGCAGCACCGGCAGCACCGCCGCATGCCCCCGCACCCGCCACCCTTTACTCACATTCGTCTGGCCGCCGGTGGCAGCGTCTGCGGTTGCCTGGACGGCTAGCTTGTTGTGATGTCCGCTGAGGTAGTTGGTGAGGTTGTCGGAGGGCTGCAGCACCGCGTTGGGCGGCCGGGTGCCCACGAAGATGAGCTGCCAGCGAGCGAAGTCGGCGGGGGGGACGTTGAAGAGGGCCTGGGTGGGGGGGGGAGGGATGGGGGAGGGAAAGGAAAGGGAGGAGGGGGAGTGGAGGAGAGGGGTAAAGGAGGAGCCGAGGAGGCCTGACTGGATGCCGGCGGTCGACTTGGCACTTGGCACGCACCGCCATCCCACGCCCCCCCGCTCCGCACCTGTATCCTGGCTCGAAGCTGCGCCATGGTCTCCCCCTCCGGCACCCGCAGCAGCAATGGATCCCCAAACGCCGCTCCCGGCATGTTCTCCGCGAGCGCCCGCTCCAGCTCCTCCCGCCCCTCCCGCAGCTCCTCCGCCGCCGCTGCCCCCCGGTCCGCACCCCCACCACCCCCGTTCTCCTGCCCTGCCTCATCGCCGCCCTGCCGCTCCCCGCCTTCCGCCTCATCCTCCTCCATATCCTCCTTCACACTGCCGCCACCACCGCCCTCAGCCTCCATGGGCACCGCACCCCCGGACGTCCCGCGGCCCTGCGGTGACGTTTCCGCCTTACCAGCCCCCCGAACCGCAGTGGCTACCGCTTCCTCCGTCGACACACCTGCCGTACCCGCCGCCGCAGCAGCTGCCTGCTGCTGCTGCTGCGCTGCGAGGTACGCCGCCGCTTTGGGCGGTAGCGGCGGCAGCAGCATGTGGGCCGCATGCACCAGATAATCCGAGCCGCTCAGCCCATCTGCCAGCTGATCTGCGGGAATGAACTCCGCTCGGAGCTGCCAGTAGGCTTCGTTGAGCGCATCCAGCGTTTCGCTGGGGTCAGCCACCTTGTAGAGCTTGTTTTGTATGAGCTCCATGAGCCGCATGGGCCGTCCTGCTGCCACCAGCTCCGCCGCTGCAGCCAACGCGGCCTCATCCGCTTGCTGCTGAGCCTGCTGCGCTTGCGACAGGGGCTGCGGCCCTGCAGCAGCAGCAACGGCAGCTCCCCCGTTGCCTGTGCCGCCCTGACTCAACCGCTGTTGCTGATCGGCAGCGGCGTCTCCGTTTCCGCCGCTGACGGCCCCCACACTCGCCTCTGCTGGCTGGCTCCCGCCTGTCGCCGCCGCCGCCGCTGCAGCAGCCCTGTTGGCTGCTGCTGCCGCCGCCGCCTGCTGAAGCCGAGTGCCTAGCTCGGTAAGCAGGTCAGCCACAGTGGTCTCCCGCCGCAGCCGCAGGGAGTGCTGCTCGCCCACGAATTCGCCGCGCTCGTTGTGGAAGGAAACCTGCGAGCGCGCGTTGAGCGTATGTGGGGGGGCCGTTGGTGTTGGTGTTGTTCAATTGATAGCAACCCATAAAGAGGTCCACAGCCAAACCAGTAGCATAGACAAAACCTTCACGAAACAAGCACCAGCAGCACCACCACCAACAGCAGCGGCATCCCTTCCCCCCCTTCCCCACCTTGACCGTCTTCAGCTGCTCCATCTCCTCCAACGGCAGATCCAACACCTCGTAGTACAGCGTGTCCACGGTGTGTGACCCATGGGTCAGCAGCGAGTCCAGGGAGGGGGCTGCGCGCCATTTGACCGCCGTACGTTGCGGCTGGCAGCTAAAGTAGTTGTGGCGGGTGAGGCGGAGTTTGGTGGGGTCGGGCAGGGACAGCGCGGTGGCTAGGGAGGCGCACACCTGTGCATGGATGCATGCATGGGTGAGGGGGGAGAGACAAGGACAGTATTGTTGATGGCGTTACTCGCAGTGCAGGGGTGCGGGGAACCAAGGGGGAAGCAACAGGAGGACGATGCGGAGACACAGCCTCATCCCTCATCCCCCTCCCCCCCTACCTCGTCATACGTGGCTGTCCGCAGCAGCTCCAGCGATACGGTGGGCGGCGCAGCGGGCTCCTCCAGCCGCTTGAAGTGGACCTGGGGGTGGAGGTGGTGAGGGGTAAAACATAAGGGGCGTGGGGGGAAGGGAAGGACATGACGAGGGGCAGGGGGTCATAGAAGTACCAAAGCACATGCGAGGAGGAGCGAGGAGAGGAGAAGAGGGAGGAAGATTACAAGGGTGTAAGCTCCCGAAGGCGCATCCGCAGATGTCAGGATCGCAACTGCAGAGCAGCTTACAACGGGCAAGGCAAGGTAAAGCGGGCCGGAGGCGCGGCACCTCAACAACGCCCCACTGTGCCTGCCTGTCCCCAGGCACTCCCTCCCACGCTCCCAGCCCCCAAGCCCCTCACTCCCTGCTACATCCTGTACTACTCCCCTCCCACCATCCCTCCCACATCGCCCCTTCTTCCCGCACCTCATTCCCGCCAACTAAACCCCTTCCCAGCCGTCTCCCTCCCCCATACAGCTCGTCAGTTTCCTTCTTTCCTAACCCCCCCCCCACCCCACCCCCCGTCCCCCCAGCCCCCACCTGTCTCCTGTTCTGCACGTACACCAGGTACTTGTCCACGGTGGGGTAGCGCACCTGCGCCGCCAGCTCGGGCGGCAGCTGCCGCTGGTAGATGAGCACATCGCCGTGCTGCAGCTCACTCTCCGCCAGCGTCTTCCTGGAGGGGGGGGGGGGCGGCGGGGGAGGGGAAAAGAAGAAACCCAAGGTGTTGCCGGGAGGGGGGGGGTCAAAGACCATACCGAACCATAGGAAACCACGGGCTGGAGCAAAACAATGGGGACAGGATGTGGGGGGGGGGAGGGGGGAGGTCAGGTGGGGGAGGGAGTTCAAAAATGGCAAGAGGAGGTTGCTCCGTAACTCTGATAAGTTAAATGGCAAGTTGGGTAAGTGAGCTCGCAATGCCTCTGTCACCAGTTCGGCTCCAATCACGGAACGTTTTCCCCCAACGGGAAATGTACGAGAAGGAGATTGGGGGTGCCGTACCGCTAAGCGGCGGCGTGCTGGGGGCGGCGGTTGCTAACTCGGGACCGGCGGGAACGGGCAGCCTGGGGGCGGCTGCGGCTGCAGCGCAGGGGAAGAAGTGAGTTGGTGCCTAGTTGAGCCTCCATGCTGCTCCATGTAAAAGTGGAGACCTAGGTTTGAGGATAGCGGGTGGTTGGGAACATGGTGTTGCTTTGCTCGGTGGATTGCACCCATGCGAGGCTGTCATGGTGCGTTACAGTTGTCACAGTTGTGCAGCTGAGGAGGTGGTTTCGGTAGCTAGGGCGAAGAGTAGTGTGGCGCTGGGGTTTGCGTTCGTGTTATGACAGTGGAGGCCCCAGGGGCTGCGTTTTGGAGGGGGCACGGGGTACGGCGGGCTTCTGCGCTGCAAGCGCGGAAGCGTGCTGGTAGGTTCGAGGGGTGGACAGATGGCTGCTCGAAGAGGCTGTTTGTACGGCTGGGGTAGACATCACCTCATGTAGAGGACGCCTTTATAGCTGCATGTCGACTAGGGTTCCATGCTGCCACCGTATGCGGTATCGGTATCTGCTGGCAGGTGGCACCAGGTGGGTTCACAACCAGGGTGCACTTGACTGGGTGTGTGATCCGGGCACATGCACAGTACCTCCGCGGTCGGTGGGCGGTCTTCACTGCAGGTAGATCAGTTGGACCGGCGTGGATGGACAACTTGCCGTACATGGGGATTGAGGATGGGCATGTGGGCGTGTGACGTTGGGGTAGCTGCGTGTGCTGGGTGTATCATGGAGGACGCTCTTGGCTGCTACCGGTTTGCTAGCACGCCTGCATCAGGGGCAGTAACGCCAGCCAGGTGCCCCCATCGCCACCTTGTGACGGCTGCGGAAATGCGGCCACATCTCTGTTACATGGCTTCAAAACAACATCACCCCAGAACAGCCCCTTTCCTAGCCCCGTTCCTGCAATCCTACATGGCAACCACACGGATACCGCTCGCACCTCCGTTTCCAAGCCGCATGCGTAAAACTCTGCCCACAGCACCCTGCGTTCGCCCCACCCATCTATCACACCCTAATGATCTGCACCCGTACTCCCGTCCAGGGGGCTACCAGGGCCCCGGGTTATGCCCCAGCCGCTCCAGGGGGGTCTTCCGGGAGAACACCCGGCTGTCGTACTCCTGCACCAGCTCGATCAACTCCTGCAGCGCTGCCACCTCATCCTCGCCGCTGGGTAGCAGGTGGCGGGGCTGCTGCTGCTGTTGCGGGTGGGGCTGTTGTTGGGGGATTCCAGTTGCGGAGGAGGAGGATGAAGGCGCCGCTGCTGTTGAGGAGGATGAAGGCGCCGCTGCTGTTGAGGAGGATGGAGGTGTGGACTTGCTCAAGGAAGCATTCGCCCCTGATGTCCCTGCCGCCGCCGTCGTCGTCGTTGCTGCTGCTGGTGCTGCCGCTTCTGTTGCGGTACCGTTGGCAGCGCCGACGGTTGGCCCCGGTGTTGGGGGACTTGTTGCATGTGCAGCACCCCCCTCCTCTGCGCTCTTGTTGCTGGTGCTGATAACACCGGATAGCGACGCTAAGCGTGCCCTCGCCGCCGCCGTCAGCGCCTGGGGTGTCGTCACAACGAACATGGGCTTTCCGCCGCCAGCAACGCCGCCGCTGCTGTTAGCAATTCCAACATCCGCGTCTGGCATAATCTGCACGTCATCGTAAAACAGGGTAGTTGCTTATGCGTTGGAGCCTGTGCTTACAGCAAGACGTCCCGTTCTCCTGACCTCCTCTCCTTACAACCAATTCCCCTTTCTCAGAGGCCATGTCGGCAATCCCAACACCCACTCTGCCCCAACCCCACCTGCAGCCCGGGCGGAGTGAAGGCCTCAGGTAGGAACGTGGCTCGCTCCTCCGCACTGCCCATCTGCCGCAGCATTGCTCCCAGTACGGCACCCGCGGCACCGAAACCGCCGCCGCCGCCGCCACTGCTGACACCGCCGGCGCCGCCGTCAGCGTCGAAGTCGCCGTCGTCTCGGAAGCCCAACAGTCGCGAGCGCACCCGGGCCATGACGCCCGCCGCCAGGTCCGCGTAGGCTCGGTTGTGCTACGGGGCGCGGTGGGGTGGCGTGGGGTTAGGAGCAGAATAAAACAACCTCCCAACCCCTGCCCAGTTTAGAAGAAACCTCACCTGCGCGAATTCCTCGATGCCGCTGCGGCTCACCCCCCTTCGCGGCCCCGTACCGCCCCCGCCGCCCCCTCGCTCCAGCGACTCACGTAGCTTGGCCTCCTCCTGAGGCGGGTGGGGATCGAGATAGGAAAGCCAGCATCACATGTGAGGGCTGGACGACGAGGTGGGTAATGAGACGATGAGGTGGGTGTGGGAGTGGGGCACAGAAGGAACAGCGACAGCAGCCACAACACCAGCAGCAAAGATAGTGCAATACGAGGATAGCGTAGGTTAGGTGGAGGAGGAAGACAAAGCCAACTAAGCGGCAGCGGCAGGGCAGACGCAGCCAGTCAGTCGCCACGATATTGGAGGCATCTGGTCTGGGAATGGCTGCTTTCCATGCTTTGCATAAGGCATGCGCGTACCGCGCGCGTATGAGTTGAGCTTCTAATAAGCCCCCCAAAGCCACGAAAACACGGAAACGCACTCCCCTCCTCGCCACCACCACCCCCTGCTCGGTCCCACCTGCTCCCCCAGCCTATAGAGCTGCTCTAGATCCACTCCGCCCACCACCTGCGTGCGTGCGTGCGTGCGTGCGTTGGCGGGTGGCAGGTGGCGGAACCCACAGTTCCACGGTAGGTGTCATTAGTGCGGCCAGTTGGGGAGCGCAGGGAAAGCCAGGGGGGAAGTCATGCAACCCAGCAACCAACCACACACCAGGGCAGAGGGCACACACGCGCGAAGCAAACGCACATCACACTATCTGCTTAGCCCGGATAAAAACAGCCCGGCCAGCAAACAACAACAAAAAAAACACAAGCTCCTCCTCCTCCCCTTTCCGGACATGGTTATGGGTACGGTCATGGGTACGGCACGCGGTCAATGGTCAACGGTCAACGATGCCGCATGCTTTGTTGCACGCTTTGTTGCGCACCTGTGGGGCCTCCTTCCCCGTCTCCTCCCGCCACCTGCGCAGGTTGCTGTAGGCGAGGGAGGCGGCCAGCGGGGGCAGCAACGTGCGGTTGACAGTCTCCTCTGCAGGGGCGGGGGGGAGCAGGGGCGGGGAGAGCAGGGGCGGGGGGAGCAGGGGCGGGGGGAGCAAGGGCGGGGGGAGCAAGGGCGGGGGGAGCAGGGTTGGGGGCGGGTGTGCACTCCGGAGGCGGGGGTGCCCGTACTATTCTGCCCGCAGCAAACCATCACGCAACGTAAGCCCGAGCGCTACCCAAAAGCGCTGCCCCGCTTAGTCTCAGCGGTCCTTAAGTATTGCGTACCAGCATATCGCTGTGCTCTTCAACCTCCGCTCCTGGCAAACACGCACCGCTGTTCACCGCTTTACCAACCCCTGCCAGCCTTTCCTTCCTTCCGCAAGGAGGTTTAAATCTACCAATCTCCACTTCTAGCCGCAACGGCTAGCACGGCGGCCACCCACCCTTCCACTCCCGCATCATTGTCAGCTCCCGGCCCAGTCGCTCCAAAACCTCCCGTCGCTCGGCAGCCGGCAGGCGACCCACGGGTCCAAGCGCGGCTCCGCCCAGGGCAGCCCTGCGCTCCTGGTCTCGGAGCCAAAACAGGAAGCGGGAGTCCAGCAGCTGCTCGGGACGGCTGTTGGCGGCTTCCCGGATCTGCTGAGGGGAGAGGGCCGATAGCTCCAGAACCAACGCCTGTGAAGGGGAAAGGAAAAAGGAGGTTGGAAAGAGGTGTTGCCCCCAGCTTGGAAAGAGAGAAAGCATGTTCCTGGATGAACTTGTGTACGGAACTTGGTACTAACGCAGTGGCACGGCATTATACCTGGTATGCTGCATCATCGCTTGCGGAGGAGGAGGAGGAGGAGGCGGATGGAGGAGACGCGTCCGAGTCCTGAGTAATCGGGGCCTTGTTATCGGGAATACATGGGCAGCAGGGTGGTTTTCTTGCCGTTGGCTCTGTTTTGTAGCGCTTGCAGGGATGATGAGGTCGGCATGGGAGCGACGGTCGGCCGGCGCTGGCCCCTGCCTGGAGGCGACTGTTTCTGAATGGCTTCGGTAAAGCGTTTATCTGCATAGATTGCGATGTGGCAATGACAGTGCGCAACTTTGTGCGGTCCATTCCTGGTGGCATTCCAGCAAAATATTTGGCTTGCAGTTCTGCGTATAATTCGAGAAACATTACATGATACTAAAAGGTAGAAGATTCCTTGACCGTATCAGAAATTGGCCAGTTTGTTGGTTAGTCGTTGGCTCCTTACCTATAGTATGGAAACACATGTAATCACAGTTTATGTAGCAGACCCGACCGTCTTGCCTAGAGGCCCGTACGCAGGGCGCTCCACAAGTGGCGGCCCTAGCACTTCGCGCGTCTACCCCTACTGCCTCGCCAGGGGCCGCGTCCCCGTTCATTTGTTGATGTCGAAAATCCTCGGGCGCAGAGCTACCCCGTAGCCCATTACTGACCCCTTCATAGGGCAATGTTATCCTGGCTGGGCTGCCGCGCCAAAAACGATGTCGTACACGCCATCGTACGCTTACAGCTTGACGTCTTCGCGGCAGCAAACCGAGGGAGACGGACAGGCGGGCCAAAAGCACGTGGGAGGCGGGGTGTGAGGCAGTGCATGCATGTAATGCAACGCTTTCATGGTGGGTTCTTAAGACTTAAGTGGGGTAGTAAACACAGCGTAGGCAGGTCGATGGGCTTGCTAAACATGGCAAAGGGGTGAACAGGATCAGCTGTGCGGGTGGCGTTGATGCCTGTTGACCGGGGCTTTAATTAACGATACACGCCCTAGTGTAAGTGAAGGACTCATCCCCTTGGCTGCTCCGGCTGTTCCCTTGCAGCGGCATGGTTGGGATTGGAGAGGCATTGCACGCAGCATCACAGCATGCCCGTTCTCCCGTACGCTTCCTGCATGTACTGAGCGCCCATGTCGGATCAATGCGATAGGCGATCGCCCAGAACCTACCTATTAAATAGAGCTTCCCTTTCCCTGTGGTCTTAGAAAGGAAATCAAGATGGGTGACGCCGGCGCAATGGCCAATGGGGCAGTCTTGCTTAACGGGGCACCGCTTACGCACCCCAATTTATATGTGCGTAACCTACCTCCACAAATGGACCAGACTGCAGTAGAAGTCCTGTTTCGGCAGTTCGGGACCATTACGGGCTGCAAGTTCTTCAAGACCACCTCCGTGCCCTACGCCTTTGTCAGGCTTGGGTCTCCAGCTGAGGCGATAGATGCTATCACGAAGCTTAACGGGACGTGCGTTCATGGCAAGCTGATTTTAGTGAAGCCAGCGGAGACAGATGCCACATATGAAGTCCCCAACGGTATGCACGTCGCGACGTAGAAGGCGCTATGAACTGTCAGATGCTATTTTAAGAAGTACCTGCGCGCCACTTGTCGGTTGGCGACGTCGCGCGCCAAGTGCACACCCATGCTTGTCGCTACGCACATGCCCGACAGTCGAAGGACAACAACTCTCGCGCATCGCACCTTCTCAGCTGTGTGCCTTGCACTCGCCAATGTCTCCATGCGCTTTGCCAACGGGTTCCTTGTTTCGTTCCCCATCCCTCACCAAACGTCCAGAAAACCTCTACGTCCGCAACCTGCCTCCCAGCTGGAACGAGGAGACCATCCGGCAGTACTTCGAAAAGTACGGCCCAACCATCAGCGTGCGCATCATGCCGCCGCTGCCCACCACCGTGGGCCAGGTTGCCCTCATCAAATTCCTCCACGTCGAGCACGCGCGCGCTGCACGCGACAGCGCCAACGCCACCGTCCCCCCCGGCGAGGAGCATGCTCTCAACGTCAAGTTCGCAGACACGGCCGATGAGAAGGCGCGCAAGCAGCAGAACAGGGCAGCTGCGGCTGCAGGCGCCACCGCTACTGCCGGCCCTGGTACCGGCGGCCCTAGCGGCCCCGCTGGCCAGCGCTACGCTCCGTACCCTGGGGCCGGCAACCTGCCCGCCGGCAACATGCCACCACCGGGTGGACCGCGGCCGCAGGGCGGACCGCCTGCCATGCTTGTTGCACCCATGCAAGGCCCAGGAATGCTGGGCCCTATGGGAGGGCCGATGGGGGCTCCTATGGGAGGGCCCATGGCCATGGCGCCTCCGCCTCAGGCGGGTGCTGCGCCCTGGGCTAGTCCCCCCGCAGTGCTATTCAGCGGCCCGCCCCCGCAGCAGCTCCCGCTTGCGGTTGCGATGGCACCCATGGTTGTATCCGGCTTGCCTGGGCAGCCGCCTCAGCAGCAGCACCAGCAGCTCCTGCCTGCTGGGCCCATGGGGATGCCCATGGCGATGGCCATGCCGCAACAGCAGCAGCCACAACACATGCCGCCTCAGCAGCAGCACCAGCAGCCCATGCAACAGCCCATGGGCATGCCACCTCCTCAGCAGCAGATGCAGCCACCACCGCAGCAGCAACAACAGCCGCAGTACCCGCCCTATCCCCACCAGCAGCCGCAGCAGCCGCCTCCGCAGCAGGTCCAGTCGTACCCGCCTTTCCCGGTGCAGCAGCAGCAGCAGCCGGGGGGTCAGCCGGCGCCGTCCGGACCGGCGGGAGGCGTGCAGCAGCCTCCCGGGGCCGGCTCTGCGGGGGCGCAACCGCAACCGTACCCCATGCAGGGCCAGCAGCCGCCGTACCCCGGGCAGCCGCAACAGCCGGGTAGGTGGGGATGCGGAGAAATTAGGCCGTGGCTGTTTTCCTCCAAAGGGGCATAGCCGCATAGGACGGGAAGGCAAAAAACCAGCGGTGCGACACTGACCGTGACCGGAATGTGAACATGTAGGGAGTATGATATCGCTGGGCGGGTGCGGAGGGTCTGTTGGGTATGCGGATTGCTCCTTTGCTGGTTTAAAGTGCGCTCGCTGCCATGATTCGAGAAAACACCATGAAGGCACGCACCACAGGTTCCCGTGGGTTAAAACCCTCCTTTCCCCCATGCTTCCCTGCTCCAGGAGCCCCTCCCACGGCACCTGCGACGCAGTACCCCGGCTTCCCCGGTGCGACTCCCCACAACCCACCCGCCCCCCAGCAGCCCTACGCTCAGCCGCCTTACGGCCAGGGCCAGCCGCCCCAGCAGCAGCAGCAGCAGGCCCAGCAGCCTGCCGCAGGCCCACAGCAGACCCATGGGTCAGCCTACGACGCGCACGCCGCCTACGTCCAGCAGTTCACCGCGTACTACGGCTACCCCCCGCCCATGTACGGACCACCCGCCGCAGCAGGCGACCAACCAGGGCAGCAGCAGCCGGGGCAGGCGCAGACGGACTTGCAGCAGCAGCAGGCAGCGTACTACCAGCACTACTACAGCCACTACTACAACAATCAGCAGCAGCAGCAGCCGCAAGCGGGCAACAAGGAAGCGGCCGCCGGCCCGACGGCTGCCACTGCCACTACCGCTGCCGCTGCCACTCCTGTCGACGTCAAGCCGCCGCTTCCCACGGGCGCCCCCTCCTCCTCCGCGACTGCCCCATCTGCCGACAAGGCCGCTGTCTCTCAGCCCGGCCAGCAGCCCGCAACGGCTCCATGGCAGTCCCAGGCGGGCGCTGCTACCGCTGCCGGTGCTGCCAACGGCACGGCTGCAGCAGCAGCAGCAGCAGCAGCGCCGGTTTCCGGCTACAACCCCAGCAGTCGTATCGTGGTGTACGGCCTGCCGGCCAAGGCGGATAAGCTCGACATGTACGAGACCTTTGCCAAGTTCGGCCCCACGCTGGGGGTGCGTGTGGAGCCTGGGTTCGGCGTGGTGCAGTTTGGAGACCGGGAGTCGGCGGTGCGGGCGGTGAGCGGCATGAATGGCGCTACCGTGATGGGCGCGCAGATCCGAGTGGCGCTGTCGGAGCCTTGAGAGCTGGCAGGCAGGGAGGCAGGCAGGCGTGGGGACGGCTGGCTGACGGTCAGTTGGTTGGCCTGACTAACCAACTGACCTGGTTGATGAAAACAGCAAAACACACCAGGCCATGCAGCCATTGGACTGTGCTGCTTCAGCCGCTGGTGGCGAGTCGTGGGGGACTTCCTGGCAACAACTTCCTGGCAGGCAAGCAAGCACTGCCATCCGTTGCGACTCAGAACGGACAGTTTCGTGTGAACACACCTCCACACATCAGCTAGGTGAGGGGAAGGGCCCTTGCTGCTTTGGGCGCGCATGCGTGCCTTTGCACGCTGCGCTGAGCTGCGGATGTGTGCGGCCAACTGGCCTGATGAGTTGCAACATCGCCGCAGTTCCGATTAAAACTGAGGGGCGTTATACTATACCAGGTCAGCGCTACTAAAGCAGCTGTTTGGGGGATGGGCGGATCTGGGTTTTGGGCGTTGCTGCTGTTGTTATTACATGGTACCAGCCCTTCCAGGAGCGTGGGTCCCTGGAACATTCTTATTGGGTTCTTAGCATGCATGCTTAGGTCACGTGCCTGCAGTTGTCGTCGGGTTGCTCGACTTGTGTCCAAGGGCTATACGGGTTGCAGTTACGGGCTTGGGTACGGGCTATTGGGGGTAAAGGGTTTCGGGCGGGTGTCTTACTCGGGCGATAAGTCGTTCAGGAAATTCTCAAAATTTCAATCCAATCGGGCTTGCAATTAAGATGATGTTTCCTTTTCCTGGGTGCTTCGCTGGCCCATTCATGCTTTGTGTCAGGCGGCTGTTATCATTACCTCCCTTTAGGCGCTTTGTTGCGCATTTCATAGTTGCAGGTTGTAACATTGGCTAGGTTAAATCTGCTGTCCCAGAGGATATTGGGGGAATTGCGTCCACGATTCGGGTTGTTCCTAAGCGTATCGTTGATAGGATTGTCAATGGGGGTTTAATTACGTTTGGGGTAGAGCGTGGGGATATGAGGCTTTAATGCCTGGGGTCACGCTCTATGTGTTTCACATGTTGTCTATCTACCTGTTTATGTCAATGCATGGTAGCTGCAACAAGCTATGCTGCTTTTCGTTGCCGTAACCCTACGCCTGCGGAAGGGGTCAAACGTTATGTAAGGCACTTGTCCATGTAAGACACGAACAAGCGAAAGATTAACCGGAAAACATGCACGTTCAACCGGCATGAAGCCAACGTCGGAGGTAAGCTGGGATCATTTTACGGGATTACATGTATGGTATGTCATGCATGGGTCCGAAGACTATAGGTTTGCGACTCCTCGGCTTTCCACTCGGGCAGTGATCGACAACAACAACGCGCAGGGTACGCACGGTTTAGGTGTGCCGTACATGCTGGGAGTCTCGTGGAGTATTGGGTGTTGCATTGGGACGTTGCTGTTCCCCCACAACCTTCTGACGTTGCCCAATTCAGGTACCTATGTTCCCAGAAAACATGTCATTTTCGCCTGTTTCTGGCTGCGATGGGCACGCATGACAGCAGCAAGTCCTCACGTCGAGACACTAACCTTTGGACTATAGAGTTTGGGGTTAGGACTGTAGGTACTCCCTTTCGATTTGCGGGGTGACTCTAGTCAGGCATACTAGTACTTCCTTGCCAGCCCATTACACTCCCATGATCAACAGCCAAACCCAGTCTTGCCGGCGCCCAGGTCTGTCCTCAGTCTGCAACACTGACGCTCATTACGTACAGGAACATTCCGTACTCGCGCTTTTGGGGGTGCTCAGCACAGTAACTTTGAGAGGAATGCTATGGGGAAGTACACCGACTGTTTTGTTTCCAACGTCTATTATCCATAGGGTGATCTCGGTGCCACGTTAACCTCACCCAAACTACTCCCTGACAGAACTGGTCTTGCCAATGATTTCACGTATCTTCGGTGATAGCGCTCGGTCGCTGGCTACATGTGGTATCGCTTATAACAACACATTCTATCACGTATGTGAGGTTCTTATGTTACATGGAACCAGACTTCCTTATAGTTTCAACAGTCTCTGACATGGATTCACGTTCCATTCGTACGATACCATCAGCGACCGAAGCCTGGGAGTTAACCAGTAGAGTTACTAATATGCGACGTCTTGCTGTCATGAAACTTTAAAGCAAACTTGCGTTTGATTGCCTAGGACATCACGGCAAAGGAGAAGCTGTCGGTCGCTTGTGCTAGCTTCCCTTCCCGTGTTGTAGGTTACTCGGCTATTGTAAAAATATCTTACCCTGAAAAGGTATTTTGCCTAGAAGTACCGCGTTAATCAACGCTAGTAAGGCGCTATCATGAGCTTGGACTCAGGGCCTGAAGTTCGCGTCCAGCTTCAGGTGCAGATGAAGGTGCGTTAATCTTGTAGTTATTTTGAAGCTAGTTGGTTCGAAGCCGGCCCTCCGCGGTACAAACAAGGCTTTGGGTAAATGATGCAGGATAGCAAACCTAAGGAAATCATCAGGAAGGTCACAAGCACAGGTTAGTTTATGACTAGGAGGAAGCCTGATGCTTTCTTGTCGCCCAACTGCTGAACCTTGCTTCTTGTTGTGTGCATTGGTGTGACATGTGCACACTTTGCTACGCTTAGCCGCTGCTCTGAGCACCGAGAGGGCGGATGAGTAATTTAGGGCTTCTTGCGGGCTATCTACATCGTGTTGCTCCATCCTTGTTCGTTACATACTTTTGTGAGTGCTTAAGCTGGAATGAGCAAGCCTGGCGTCACCAGCCCCATGATCCAGGAGACCGCTAATAGCCCTTTTACTTGCCTCCCGGGCCACAGGCTACGAGATTGTAGAATGCGACGGCTTTGTCTTCGCCAGGAAGCGGAAGGCGCCCCCAACCCAGGAGCCCCAACCAGCTGAACAACCTGCTGCTGGCTCTCAGCCCACCAATGGTGTGGCTGATGTTACCTCGGAAGCACCAGCACCAGGGCCCCAAGCCGACAACCCACTTCCCCCGGAGCAGCAGTCCGAGCCTGCAGGGACACCTGCCGCCCCCGCCATAGCTACTGCCAACGATGCAGAACAGCGCTCCCCCCTCAACAAGAAAGCGCGTGTTGATACCGACGCAGAACCATCTCCATCCACGCCGGCAGCCGCCACCTCCGAACGCGGCGATCAGCAAGAGGAGCAAGTGCAGGAGGAGGAGCAGGAGGAGGAGGAGGAACAACCGCAGCCGCCTCCCCGTGAACGCGACCTGGTCGCGGAAGTCTCCAGCCTCACCGCCTTCGTGCCGTCGGGATGCCCCACGGCCCTCAAGGTCACCTGGCTTCTGCAACAGGCGCTTCAACTCGCAGTGCCGCCAGGCGATGACGCTGCGGCTGCTGCCGCGGAGTCCGTACTCGCCGCCTTCAAGCGGGGGATAGAGCAGCAGGTGGCGGCGGCGCAGCAGCTGCTGCAAGCCGGCGGGCCCGAGGAGCTGCGACAGTTTGACAGCCTGCCCCCGATGGTACGGGAGATGTGCAGCGAAGAGCGTGTGGCGGCCGGCCTGCGGCAGCGGTTAGCGGCGCTGGAGGCGGAGGAGACGGCATGGCTGGCACTGGAGGCTAGGTACCGGGACGGTGGCGCTGCGGCTGAGGTTGTCATCCCAGATGGGGCTGACGCGGCTGCGGCTGGGGTTGCTGCTGGGGAGGGAGAGGCGCGGGATGCGGGTGCGACAGGCACCAGTGCGGGGCCGGAGGAGCGGCCGCTGCCGCCGGTGAACCTGGAGGTGCTCGAGAAGGCCCGGCAGCTGGCGGACGTGGAGCTTGAGATTCAGGTGGGAGAGGCTGGTTAGCGATGTGGTGTGGGGTACGGAAGGGTCGTTGGAATGCAGGGTGCGAGGAAGCACAGACAACGTACATGGATTGGGTTGTATGGGGTTCCGAACCCGGCTGACCTGTGCTGTGCTTTGTGTCTCGCTGAGGTAATCATGGCCCAATTCCGCCCATCCTCGTCTTGTGTCGCAGGTCGACCACGTGAACAGCATGCTGGGGCGCTTGGAGCTGCTGCTGGAGGAGGCGGAGGAGGAGTCATCGCTACTGCAGGTGGGTATGGGAGGCGGAAGGTGTTGCCGGGTTATTCCAGGCAAACGGAAGTGGGGATTGGCAGCCGGAAAGCGGCTGTTGCTTTCTAGGTACTGTCTCGCACTGGAGGTCTGCATGCACTACATGGAACGTTGCCCGAGCATTTTGAAGGGGCGATGTTGCGTACCCGGTTCGTACTTGCAAGCGTAGATCTGCGTTGCGCACAGCTTCGCATGCGTTTCCTCCACGAGATGAGTCGCCGGCGGCTGTCTCAAACCGCACGTGACCCCCACCCACCCGCCGGCCCCATCGATTCCCACCAGGCCGATTACCACAAGGAAAACTTCTTCAACCGGCCCGGTTACGTCCACCTCGACTCCCCCAACGTGCTACTGAGATATGTCTCTCAGCCGGCGGTCCCCGCCGCGCCCATGGACTTCGTGCCCTCTACGCAGCCCAGCCAGGGCTGAGCAAGCTGCACGCAAATGCCGGACTTGCTCTTGCAGGGCAGTGCCTAGTGGCCATGCGCCGTTGTAGCAACCTACTGTGGCCCACATGGCCCCGATACACTAAATGGCGCTTGGTACTCGCTGTCCTGTGGCAATCCCCCTTGGCTATAGGGTGTATTGGTGTCCGGTCTCCGCTTCCCACATGTTTGTTGCCCATCTTTTTGACCACCCAAGGCGGCTGGCCTAGTAACAGTAGGAAGGAATAGTTGTTGAGGTAGGATAAGCTTTCGTTGCGCAGGCTTAAAAATGCATTCCAAGACACCGTCTGTGCTAAACATTGCTGGCCCATGGGCCATATGTGCAGTCGCTCCACTGCGCTGTGAGAAGTTGAGCTTTGTCACAAGCTATGGATATTTGGTGGAGCGTTGGAAGATGTGTATCCTAGCTGTTCTAGATGCTCATGTATATATGCGCACGCACATACCTGCCACAAGCCGGGACTGTACAGCGGCTGCGTGTGGCTTTGCCTAGGTAATGAGGGCGGAAGGCTTTAGTGGTAAGAAAACTGGCTTGAGTGGTGTGTATAGCAGGGGTGTCGCAATATGAGAAGCGCGTGGTGCCACGGATATGTGTGCCGTTATGGCCATGCACAGTATTTGGCTTTTGCATTGCGGGGACTGGCGAGAAAGGACTTGGCCGCTGCCTTCAACACGGGGCCTGCCGTATAGCAACGCCCGTGCACGTCCTTGTCGCATCTATCATGGCAGGCAATCTTGTTCGACGGTAACTCGGCGCGCGTTATGTACCGGTAAGTGTGTCCATGAGGCCCCCACACATTCCACAGGGTAACTAGGTCCGCGCACAAAGCACATCACAGAAAGCATGAATGCTCAAATCAGTCACAACAAAAGAAACCGTCATGCCACTTAGCAGTTGGATGGGCCGCATGGGGGCTAACGGACTGTGTGTATCATAACAGCTACCTGTAGGCGCAGTCAAGACATTCGCCGAGTACACTTTGCCAACTAGGTTGGGCACACATGCACGAAAGCAGAGCCATGTAAAGATGCCATGATGTTGGGGTGCATAGCGAAGGCCTTGATCTACAGCAATCAAAACTACAGCGTTGGTAAGTAGCAGCATCACCAACAACCCGCAAATCCCAAACCATACAAACAGCCCATGCGCGTTGCGGCTTTGGTACTACCGCATGTTATACCTGTCCGGATACTCACGTGTGTAAGACCGACCACAAACACCATACCAGGTTCACATGCACACATACGTGGTTATGTCCATATGTCGGTGGCCGCCATGACCACTGCGCCCAGCTTCACGTATACTTGACCGTTGACCTGCTTTCAGGGGGCATATTTCTACTACAATTAAGACTGCCTCTCTCCTGCCGGATGCCCCAACGGCATGCACGCTACCGGTACTCATGCGCCCCTTACACATCATGTTATTGCACACCATGCCGCTGCCAAACCGAACCAAGCCCGCCACTGCCGCATACTCCCCAGCCCCTTCCTCCTCGTGCGCTGCACGTCGTACACCGCCGCCGCCCAACCTCACAATGTCAACGTGGAGGGCTTGGCGCTAGCCACATCCAGCAGCCCCTCCGCCCCCAGCCGCCCGCTGCTCGCTAGCAGCTCCACCTCCTCCTCCAACTCAATCTCCAACTCACCGGCCGCGATCAGCGCCTTGGCACGCTGAGCCTCCGCGTTCCAGTCAAACTTAAACACGATCCACGACAGGATCAGCGACTGTACGGATGCCGTACACGCCAGGCCGGTCCACAGCCCCATGGCGCCCAGGCCCATGCGGAAGGCCAGCAGACAGGCGAAGGGCAGCCCAATGCCCCAGTACATGAAGAGGTTGATCTGCGCGCCGATCTTCTGCCGGCCGCAGCCTCGCAGCACGCCGGCTAGTACCGTGTTGGCGCCCTCGCCTGCGGGGTGGGGTGCGGACGGCGACATGTGTCATGTGCTGTGGCAGTGGTTGTTGTTGGCATTGGGCATGACAAACGTGGGCCCTTGTTGGGTTACAGGCACCACAAACGGTTAACCTGAGCGTACACGCTTGCTTGTTTACAAGGTAGTCGCAAGGATGGCAGACACTAGCATGACGCGCGCTTCACCTATAAGCGATATGGCCAGCGTGGGCACCGCCTGGCTGGTCAGCAGCACCACCTCCTGCTCCCCCGAGAACAGCGCGCCCAGCTGCCGGCGGCACTGCAGCAGCAGCCCCGCGCACACCACCATGATGACAGTGCCCATCAGGACGGACACCTGCGTGTTCAGCCAGGCCTGGCGGGGGCGACTGGCGCCTGGAGGTGGGGGGGCAGCGGGACGCATGGGGGGACGCGGTGGAGGCAGTGAGAGCTAGGAGCGTGTAGGTATCGAGGGGTTAGTAGAGCGGAGGGTAATGGGCCTAATGACAAGGCATACCAGAGTACGGCCGCGCATGAGCAGGATTCTAAGGTTGCCGTTATGCGTCCTGGGTCGTGCAGCCCAACCAGAGCTGCAGCACCCCCACCTCCTTCATGACCGCCCCATCATCCCACCATCCACCCCCCGCTAGCCTACCTAGTTCGTTGCCCACTCTCGTGCTGGCCGCCCCGCTGAGCCCGTGCGCCGCGAAGAAGCACAGCGCGTGGATGTTGAAGGTGATGCCCATCATGGACATCGTCATCTCGGGCCGCGGCAGCAGACCTGACAGCATCACGATGATCTGCGGGCGGAGGGCGCCGGCGGGGCGGGGCAGAACAGGGCAGGGCGGGACAGGGCAGGGCGGGACGGGGCAGGGAGGGGTTCAGTGGAAGCGGCAGGAGAAGGGCGGCAGCATGGTACTGTGTTACCGGCTGGACACCTGTTGCAGGTCCCAAGCACCTAGCTAATGTGCTAATCCCACTAGCTTGCGCTGCAACCCACCGCGGCGTAACTCCCCCATAAAGCCATAACCCATCGTCGTCCGTACGCTCTTGATAACCCTTCCCCTGCCCCAGCTTGACCGCGCATACCCGTACAAGCTTGTAACCCATCCTCATCAAGCAAACGTCCCCCCGCCCAATGCCCATGCCCTCCCGTCCGCCTCCCGCCCACGCCCTCCTGCTCCCTGCCCATGCCCTCCCGTCCCCTGCCCACGCCCTCCCGTCCGCCCCCTGCCCATGCTCCGCACCTCGAACGTCCACCAGTCCAGGCAGATCATGACGGCCGAGGGAATGGCCACTCGGATGTAGAGCGGCCAGTCCGCCAGGCACTCGCGGCTCCAGCCCGCCCATGTGCGCTTGGACGGCTCCTGGTTGCGGGTGTGGTGCAGCGTGAATACCAGCAGGCCCAGGCAGGAGCTGGCCTGCACGCACGCCCATGCTACAGCGGCGCCGTCGAAGCCCAGCGCGCATCTGAGCGATGGCGGCGAAGGGATGTGGGGAAGCGAGTAGGTGAGGGCGACAGCCAGGTTGGAGCATGGAAGGGGAAAGCGGGGGAAGAAGAATCGGTGGTCGTTCTGCTCATGACCCTTTATCTTCCACATGCTTTCCCTGGGCTTGTAGGCTGTCTCAGTATGCGCCGTGGGTCTCATCCTGAGGCCTCCTCTACCCGTCTTAACCCTAACCCAGCCAGATCCGGATGTCTCCGCCAAACCACGTACCTAAAGATGAAGAACCAAAGGTACAACGGAGTCAGCAGCGTTGCAAGAAAAGTGACGTACAGCAACGGCTGTACAACAGACTGCGCCGCTAGGTAGCGGCGTAAACACTGTTCAACGCCATCAAGTAAGAGGCAGGGGCTAAGGAGGAGCGTGAAGCGGCCCGCCGCTTTTGCGATCTGCGGGTCCTGACCCATGGCAATCATCAGCGACTCCGCCTTGCCCCACATGGCAATGCACAGGAGGTTGAAGAGGGTGGTGATCACGAGGGCTCGCTGTGTCACCACGCCCACTGTTGCGTACTTCTTAGCACCATACGCTTGCCCGCAGAACGTCTCCATGGCCGTGACCACTCCCAACATGGGCGCGTTGCCGCTGACGTTGTATAGCGTCTGAGACAGCACCAGCGACGACAGCTCCATCGAACCCAGATGCCCGACGAAAGCAGTAATGATAATCTCTTTTGCAAACGTCATCACCTCCATGCCCGACAAGGGCCAGGCTAGCGCCCATAGCCTGCGGAATGCCCAGTCCCTGTTAGCTCCAACGAAGAGCTAGGATCCGCATGCCGGTGGCACCGCTAACTCACCGTGAAGCTACGGATGTCCATGCTGTTGTCGCCTTGCCAAAAACGGCTGGCTTGTGTGATGTTTTCATTGCTTCTCCATAATCGTTTGAAATTGCCGCCGAAGCTCGCCGCTATTGTGATCAACAATTCTTTGGAACGTTTGCTAGCTTTAACTGGTGGCTGAATCCGGATGACAGCTTGGAGGGATACGCGAAACAGCCAGCCAGCATCTCAACACCTCCTTAACCAACCCAGCGCACTTCCGAAATTTCAAAGCAAGGAAAGCGGTACTTAGAAACTATATCAGTAACAATTGCTCCAAGGAAAAGCCGGATCGCACTGCCTGGTATAGCTACGTGACCAAGGTGCACCAAGCAGTACTCATTTTAACAAGAAGTTAGCATATATGGGGGTCATCCTACACTATTACCGGTAACATGGAAGGGAAATGCCTGACGGGAGTATGTGCACCTCACTGTAACGATACGATTGCACTTCCTATCCATGCCCCTATCCATGCCTGGTCTAACCCACCGTTCTCTTTCAATATCTTGACAACCGTCAATTCGGGATAACCTCGAATTCCCATCCCCTTTGATTCCGAGTGCCTGTACGCGCTGTTTGGCATTTCCTTCCATGCTCAACATGCGCCCTTGGGCACGCGCCGGTATAATAATGACACCACCGTTATCCTAAAGGTACGTGTTATTTGTTCCGCGTGGCCCCATCACCACCTGGTTAAGGAGGACCGGCTGAGAAAGATGTCGTACGGTACGGCAGCAATAAGGCAATTCCTCCTGTTAGGATGGGGCCCTGTTGGATGGCCACACGCAACCCTCCTAGGCATAGGGGCAAACAAGAAGATTGGAGGGCTCTTACAGACGTCGTCCGGGTGACAAGGGGCAAAGAAGAAGATCGTCGGTTAGGGTGACAAAGGCGCCCTAACTGGCGGGTCAAGGATAGGTCGTGTTAGTCAGCACGCAGTGTTGAGGGTTGGAAATGTTCATGAGGCCGTTGATTAGCGTATCAGCTACACAGGAAAGACGCATGTTAGCGCATACCCTTGCTCTGTTCCTTTCTCGTTGACTACCGGTACAATAACCCCCCCCACCATTTCTCAGCAGGTCCATTCATCCATTCGTCCATCGTCGGCTCGCTTAGGCCTTACTTACATGGCCAGCGCCTTTGCCCTCTTGCAGTGTAGGGTTGGGCTCATCACCCCTGCTCCCTTTTAGGTAACCAGGGTGCAGCGCTCATTCATTCAGCTGCACCCTCCAGCACCCCTGGTGAGACTGCAAAGGCTGTCTGTGCTCCCACAGCCCTTCACACGCTGACATGGTTCAGCAGCCTTCCAGCTCTCCATCGATTGGTATCCACAACCCTCACAGCAACAGCAACAACCCCGGTCTACAGCAGCACCCCGGTCAAACGACGGTTCGGCGCTACACAACACCCCGGCAGCAGCTGGGTCGCTGCACCCGGGTCGCCGCCTGCCCGACATCCAAGCTAAGATTCTGCCACACCGCAATCAGCCAATCACACATAACCGCATCGCATGTCAGAGCATAATAGCCCGCTTCAAATACAGTTCAGGCGTTCAGCTGGGACGACCCTGCAATACGACCCGCTGTCACAGCCAACTCCCCAACACTCGCGCCAACAAGTAAGGCAGCAAACCACGTCTATCCAGCGCTTGCATGCAGCGCGCGGCTGCTCTGAACCCACCGCTGCAACCATTCCCTCATTTCAACGCGTACACCACAACACGCATCCCGCTATAGATTGCCGTACACCTCATCCCCTTGGGGGCAGCCACCAGCTGCGTCAGTTGCCATTCCGGACTCGCTTGGCTGGCGGCGCCTCCGACTCATCAGCCACCCTCCGTGCACGACGCAGCCTGCCGCCCGCACCACCGCGCGTCGGGGAAAACCACTCCTCCTCCTCCTCCTCTTCCTCCTCCTCCTCTTCCTCCTCCTCTTCCTCCTCCTCCTCTTCCTCCTCCTCCTCCTCGCTCCCTCCGCTGTGCTCAGATCGTTCCGTTTCGTCACCGCCATCGTCCTCGTCCTCGTCCTCCTGGGTGCCCGCGTCCTGCTCCACCGCCTTTCTCTTGCTCCGCTTGCGGCGGGCGCGCTGCTTCTCGACGACTGCTGCGAGCTCGTCCGCTGCCGGGGTCGCCAGGTACACGACCAGCTTTCCGCCTGCTGGGGTACGATTCCAGCCCAGCAGGCGCTTGCAGGCAGCAGCTACGTGAATGCCAGGCCCCATAATGTTAAAATGGTAGCCGCGTCGCCTCACAGCCGCCATCAACTGCCCGTCCTGCAGCTGCCCATCCAGGACCACCTACGTGCGTGCGTGCGTGAGGGTGCCGCATGGGGACAGAACAGCGTACAAATGGTCCGCGGAATATAGGTACGTGTGAAAACATCGCGGAATGGCGGATGACCGGTATGATGGGTTGTACCCTCACATCGAGAGCTGCTGCTGCATATCGGTATGTGGTCATGAACAATCTGGCTGAGCACTGCCCTGGCACGCTTTAAAGTCTTTGCTTTAACGTAGGCTTTCTTTGCAATCGAGCCCTCGCAATTCTCATCCTTCTTTGTAGTTATCGGCTCCAAGGTATTACCGGTACCCATTCTTCACCTTCAGCGGCACGTTCTCCACATTGCTCGAGTCGCCGTACCACAGATGCGCAAGTGTAGCGCCCAGCCGCAGCGAAGTATTTGCCGATACGATGTACGGCTTCACTTCCTACAGCGTTATGACAAGGAATGCACAAAAAACCAATCGTGAGGACGAAAGCGGAAAGCTGTGGAAGTGTTTAACCGTTTTTTCACCAGTAGTTGCTACCGGTACCGGCATAAGCCGACCAAGCACGATCGACCCACGGGTCACCCAGCCACGCTTATTACCCTCCGGTATGGGCCCGGTATGCTCGCCGCCTGCTGGCGCTCCTGCTGCGTCGGGTCCCGCAGGTAGAGCTTCAGGGGGCCGTGCGGGGGGTTGTCGCATGTCCAGCGGTCGAGGACCTTGCCGGTGGCGAGCCGTCGTTGCTCGCCAAGGTGAACGTAACAATGGCGGCCGTAAACCCGGAGCTCAGCCTGTCCCTGTGGCTCCAGGACCTCACCATTGAGCACAATCTGCGACGGGACGGACCAAGCGGATAAGCCTGCCGTGTGCGCGCGCGATATGGCATGTGGCAGCTGCGGGTAGCTGCACCCCTGGAGGTTGGTAGGGTGCATCATGCCCCTTCTCAATTCCGTATTGTTCCCTATCCTGCTTCCTGCTGCCGGCGGCGCAGCTTCCCTAGGCTAGTTCCCGGTCTGTATGCGGCAGACGGGCTAAACCGCTGGTCGCGTGCAAAGCTGCGCAAGGCGCTGCTGCCCGCCTGCTGGCCCATCACCTGGAGGCGGACGGTCTTGGTGGCGAAGCTGCCGAACCACGCGCGTGCGCTGGCTACTCCCATCTGCAGCCGCTCCGTGTTGTTGGACAGCTTCGCCTTCTAAGGGTAACTCCCGCATGAGGGTCACGTCTTAGCATTACAACTTCTTTACTAGAAGCCGGCTACACTGCCAAACCACAATGCAACACCTAACTGCTGCCGTAAACCGTATTCCAGTACGCTCCTACTCGTGGCCAGTGTTGTTGACATGCACCCACCGGTAACGGTAACTGCGGTTCGCCCCTCGGAAGTACGCCAACCCTTGCCCCCTTACTCTTAGCGCAGGGACAGGCAGGTTTCTCCATGCATGCATGCATGCATGCACGCAGGACATGTCACAAGGCAGGCGACCAAGACCGTTGGACTCACCGTTGGAGCAGGGCCCGGCGGAACGACCTCGTCGTCGGCGCCAGCACCAGCACCAGCCCCAGCACCAGCACTAGCGCCAGCACCAGCACCAGCACCAGCACCAGCACCAGCACCAGCACCAGCACCAGCACCAGCACCAGCACCAGCACCAGCACCAGCACCAGCGCCAGCACCAGCACCAGCACCAGCACCAGCGCCAGCACCAGCCCCAGCACCAGCACTAGCGCCAGCACCAGCACCAGCACCAGCACCAGCACCAGCACCAGCCCCAGCACCAGCACTAGCGCCAGCACCAGCACCAGCACCAGCACCAGCACCAGCACCAGCACTAGCGCCAGCACCAGCACCAGCACCAGCACCAGCACCAGCACCAGCACCAGCACCAGCACCAGCACCAGCACCAGCAACGCCCACCTGGCCACCCCCGCCACCCACGGCAGTAGCAGAGCGCAGGTACATCACCAGCTGCTGCTTGCCGCCGTCGTGGCTGCTGCTGCCGTGGTTGTAGCCAAGCAGCAGCTTGCCTCGGAAGTTGGGGATGATGCCGGGGACGCGCAGGTAGAGGAAGCGGGTTGCTGAGTCGGGTCCGTCGTACGCCTTGAACCGTGCTTCACGGACTTCCTCAAGCAGGGTCCCATCCAACACAACCTGAGAGGTGGTCCGGGGCAGGGGGGAAGGGGGAACGGGAGCTGCGTGTTGGGTTGTAGTCAGCCACCGGAGCAGCGGAGGGCGATGTTGCATTAGTGGCAGGGGCCAGCGAGCGTACATCTGTTATCCTGAAGTAAGCAAGCAGACCGGCTTAGATCCTACCCTCCGCTGCCACCCTTACCCTCAGCGGCACTGAAGTGCAGGTCGGCCAACCAAACCAGGTCGCGGCGAACTTTCTGGGAAGTGTGAAGGTGGTTCCCTTTTTAATAGCTGCCCGGGGGCAATACGTCTGCGAGTAGGGTGCGGCGATGTGCAGCACAAAATCTTGAGTTACGGCATCGGTCAGGAAAAGGTACTGGTATGTCACAGCATGCTAGTGTCAGCAGCGCCCCCACAAGTAAGTAAGTGGTGATTGGCATTACCTCAGTACCCTGTACCCCCCCAGATGCCATCATGCGTTGGACCTCGCACCCATGCACTCTGGCCCATAGAATGCTAAACCCCGAGTGTTTCATCAAACCCCAGACATCATCGGTTAAACCTCACCTCATAATACTCCGCCACAGATGCAGGGACGCCTCCGCTGCTGCCCCTCGGCCCAGCAGCATCTGCCCCGACAGGCCCGGCAGCAGCAGCAGCAGCCTCGGCAGGCCCGGCAGCAGCAGCCTCAGCAGCTGCAGCCTCGGCAGCAGCAGCAGTACCAGCAGCCTCAGCAGCAGCAGCTGCGGAGGCAGCAGGCCCACCTGACTCACCCAAGACTGCAACCGCCGCCTCGCCACCGGAAGCACTCATACCTGCCACTCCACCCACCCCATCAGCTCCATCTCCGCCTGCACCGCTCAATGCCGCTTGCGCGTCGCTTGCGTGAGGGGCGCTACCCGCGTCAGGGGGGGCTGCCTCGTGGTCAGGGAGTTCCGCGTCTGGGCTGGCAACACCTGAAGCATGTAGCGGTACGGCAGGGCAGCCGCCGGCATCTCCACCTCCATCCCTGCTGCTGACCAACTGCTGCAGCCGCTGCTGGTGCTGGTGCTGCTGCTGCTGGTGCTGCTGCTGCAATGGCCCCTGCTGCTGCTGCTCAATCTGCTGTGTGGCCGCAGCGTCATCTGTTCCACCCGCCCCACTGCTGCCTGACGCAAGCCAGCCGCCGTCGCCACGTGGCGCTCCAGCAGCTCTAGCACTGCCACCAGCAGCGAGCCCCGAGCCGGCACCGCCATCCTCACCAGCTAGGGAAGCCGGCAAGGGCACGGACTGCTGCGGCTGCTGCGACGGCGGCGGTAGGGCATTGCGTTGGGGTTGAGAATGAGGAGGTGCTGCCCATGGCGACGGCAGCAATGGCGACATGGTTTGCTGCTGCTGCTGTTGTTGTTGTGGTTTCTCCAGCTCTTCCATGCGCATGACCGCTGGCCTAGTAGCACTGAAGACTCCCCATGTTTCCTGCAGTTGCAGTTGCAGCTGCGGCTGCGGCTGTCCTGCTTGGAGAGTGCCCGCCTGCCCCATGCCCTGTGGCGCCGCCTCCTTAACGTCGGGTTGGGACGTGATGGTGCCGGCGCGGTTTGACTGCAGCTCAACAGTGGCAACGACAGCTGAGGCAGGTGCGGGAGCCATGGCGGCTGCAGGCCAAGCATCGACGGCAGCTGCGCCTGCAGCCTCGGCAGGCCCACCGGAACCACCAGCACTGCCCGCTGGAAAGCCATCAAGGCGCAGACCTAAGGTGACCCATGGGTCACCAAAGCCGCTGTTAGTCCTAGACGGGGGAAGCCACCTGCGCCTGCGCCCATGCCCCTGCGCATGTGCTCTTGGGAGAGGTCCACTGCTGAGGCCAGGGGCGGCGTCTCTTCGTGCGTCATTCACTGCCTCCATGGGGTGCCCGGCAGCTGCAGCTGCAATGCCAGGAGGTGTGGCTGCTGTTGCAGCTGCTGTGGGGAATGCTCCATCCGCCACATCTGCGTTAAACAGTTGGCTACCTCCCATCTGTGCCGCTCCTTGTTGTTGGTAAGCGGTCGCTGCGTCCTCCCAGGGGGTTGGCCCACCGTCCTCGGCGGCTCTGGCAAGCCCGGGGGAGTTGCCCGCCAGGGCTAGCCGCCCGCAGGGAGGCGGAGGGTGTACCAGCAGCAAGGAAAACTGGCCGCGAGGTGGAACGCACCAGCCGTCAGGGGTAGTAGGGTGTAGAGCCGTTGCTTCAGGCGCCGCATCCGCCGCTACTGGGAAGCCCGGTGCGGCCACTCGCGGACCCGCAGCCGCGCTGGCAGTCACCCTGGCTGGAAGCGGCGACTGCTGCTGCTGCGGCCGATGCCGCTGCTGCGACTGGTGCCGCCGCTCATGACAGCCGTCTTGGTGCTGCTGCTGCTGCTGCGGACGCTGAGTCCCCGCCACCGCCTGCACTGCAGCGGCTGCTGGGAAGGGCTGCCGCAGGCCCAAGCCATGGCTGAAGTTTGACGGTACGGGGGAGGCCGCACCAGCAGCGGCGCGGCTAAACAGTACGACAGCGCCAGCGGCAGCATAGCAGAGTGGAGAAGGCCGTTCGTCCCCCCGCAGCGTCGGCTGGGGTAGCTCCTGCCGCGGGGTGACAGGGGATGGTTGTTGTGCAATGCCACGGAGTGCAGTACGGCAGCCGTCGCTTCCTATGGCACCATCGCCGCCGCCGCCGCCACTGCCAATGCCGCCGGCCCCGTTGCCATCGCCCTCTTCTTCATCGTCCGACAGCAGGGCAATGACCTCCTTGATATCGCCGCCGCCGCCGCCGCTGGCAGTGGCGGCAGCGGCAGTAGCAGGGATAGCGGCGGTCGGGGTGGCAACAGCAGCAGGGGCCGGGGCAGCAGCGGCTGAGGCGGCCGTGAAGACGCGGAACCGTGTCGTGTTCTCCGCGCGCCAGTTCTGGATGGCAATCCTGGCGACCGGCGCGGGGCGGAGGTCCCCCAGCGTCATGGCCGAGCCTGCAAAATGGTGGCGGTGAAAGTAAGCGGTAAATAGACATGACGGGAGGGTAAATGTAAAAGACAGGATGACCAGGGAAAACCACGGTACACGTGCAGCCAGTGTGTACGGCGCCGTCGTAAGCAATAGAGGAGCGACACCGTGCAGATATGTCGTCGTATCTTGCAGATACTTCGCGATTTGAATGCTGTGACCCATGGGTCATGGCACACTTGCGCATACACCCACACGCCGCCACAGTCCCCCGGGCCCCTCCTTACTCACCCGTTCGCGGGTTGCAGCCGAACGCCCGGACGTGCGCCTCCAGGGCCGACCTGTCGTACACTGTGTTGGGGTCGGCTTTGTCCACGGCCGGGTCCGACGGCAGCTTAGCACTCAAGGGACAGATGAAGAAGTACGGAATGGGGGAGCGGACGTTAATCGCAGTGGGGGGCTGGGGCTGCTCCTGTGGAGGACGGTGGTGGGGAGACCCATGGGTCACTCCAACGCGCGCCGGCGGCGCGCCGGCGAGTCCTGCCTGCGTGGCTTCGTCCTTGACCGGCAGGGTACATGCCGGGACGATAGTGGCCTTGGCTGCGAGCCATTGCTCGATAATCCTTTGGTGGAAAGATGCGACCGGAAGCGAGAGTTTTGGATGGCCTGTGGCGCGAGGGTGCGAGTGATTTTGCAGTAAGTGCAGCGCTGCCCATCCTTCTCCCGTCCGGGTAGTCAGGCGTCCGTGGGCATTTCAAAATGTGCTCAGCGTAGCACGACATGTTCGCGATGCGAGGACTGGTAAGGCTGATCACCGAAGAGCCGCGGTTAGCTTCAACACGTTTAGCACGTTTAGCTTCAACAGTTAACGCGAAACTTTCACCATATTGTTTTGCTGTATTACTCTACGACAACGTTGGATTCCTTGGCAACGGCAAGGCAGCAGCTCACCGGAAAGCGGCCGCACGTTGTGCCTCTCCACAAACGCCTCGTAGGCCGCCCGCTCCACGGCGCGGCCTTCCGGGTCCTCAGGATCCACAACCGGCTCCCGAAGGAGGCTCTCACAAATACAGCACACATATTCAGCCGGTAAGTCCTCCCGCAGATATATGAGGTAAGGACCGCTGCGAATGTTTGACCCCATCTAGGTAAAAGCGTGCAAAAGCGCGAAAGAGCGAAAGCGAGACGTTCATGCGAAGAAAAACAGTGATCTGCTCGATCTGCTGAGGGAAAAAACAATTGGATTACGGCGCTTACCAGCGGCGCGTTTATGCCATGTTGCACCACCAACCGTACGACGCTGCCTGTCGGGACCAATCTGTTGGGAAGGATCCGCAGCCCACTGTAAGCCGGCGTCCGTCATTCAGAGTTCATTATTCTTTTTAGCAGCCATCTCTTACTTCCGCCTTACTTCCTTAGCTGCCGCTTTGCTGATTGCTGACAGGGATGTCTTTGCTCAAAAGAACGCCATCACATACTTACATTCTTCAGCCATTTGCTGTCCACCACTGGCATCCAAAATGCGCCATTCTGTTCCTAATGCCATCTACTCCGGAGCACCAAGGCATCAGGCCCCTTCACCCTCACACCTGCGTGAGGTTCAGGGCCCCTTACTTGCGGATGGAGGTAACCCCTGTGAGGGTGCCTGTTCAAGCACACAACCCGCACCCCAGCCTTCCAAGCACCCCACCCAATCTCAGAGCAAAGGACATGCGCATACGGGTGTCTACCCTAATAGCGAGAGCTACCCCGCTAGCAACGCTGCTTGCTGCTACAGCAGCTGCGGCCGCCCAGGCGAGCCTGCCGGCGCGGCTCCTGCGCTAATATCTTCAATCAGGCCTCCTAAGTCCTAGCCAACATGCAACAAAACTCTCCGCAGCAGAAACACACATGGACCCCAAAATCCTCCAAATCCAAAAACGCGCCACAGTGACAGCTGCCCAGCTACTCCCCCCCCCCTACACACACAACGTACGCCACGACGCGACATTAAGTGTGAGAGGAACCGCCCCAGTTTGCCCTTAAACGTCAAGACAACTGCAACAGCAACGACCCACGGGTCAGTCCTCTCACTAGGACGGCGCACAGTACCAACAGCCACACAATAGGAGTGCCCGCCTCCTGGACTGAACCAAACCAGGCCAGCAACATCACCACGCCAGCAAGGGCGTGCAGGAGCCCCAACCAAAGCGCATAACAAGCTAGCAACCCACACTCGACCCGCGTCAGGAGCTGGCCGCGATTGCGCTCGCGTGTGCGGTTCCCCTTCCCCCACCGTCGCAACCAATTCGCCGGACCATTCCGAACTACCGGTACCACCAACTACCCAACTGCCTACCAACACATTACATCCCGCCTCCGCTTCAGAGCCCAGAACCCAAGCACAGGCCTCAAGAGAAGGCATGGCCGCCCCAGTCCCTCGCGCCTACAGCCAATCTCACACCTCTCCTACCCACCAGCAACTCCAAAACCTCTCACTTTCTCCCCTCTCCTGCGTTGTCACCACCACCACCACCACCGCTGCTGCCACCATCGTCACGACCTCCTCCACCACCGCGATCCCGCCCGCTCCTCCTCTCCCTCTCCATGTAGCCCTCTCCTCTCCTTTCCCTCCTCACCATCCTTCACCCACACCATCCGCGCCACAGCATCCACCATCCGCGCCCCAGCACCCGCTCAACAGCAGTATCGCGTGGCCGCTCGAGTTCATCCACAGTACACCCCGACGGACGTACATCATCGCATGTCTCCATAGTCCCGGCGAGCGCCGAGAGCAGGGCAAGACGCTGCCCGCAGACCTGGACGGACGCCGACACTCGTACCATGCAAACACCGGCGCGTGCAGAAAGCAGGTCAGAAGGGCTACCCGTAGATCTTGACGGGCTTCTCGTGCGCGTATCGGCTGCTGGCGGGCGGTTGGCGCCGGCCGTTGCCCACTCCTCGGTCATCGTGCAGGATGGCGAGGGTGAGCTTATTTGGGTCCATGAGGTAGGCCTGTGGGCGAGAGGGAAGGAGGAGGTGGAGGGGGGGGGGGGGGCGAAGCGGGAGGAGCGGGCAGGGAGGGAGAAGGTTCAGGAGGAGTAGGAGGGTGAGCGAGAGCTCGGTTGGGAGCTTGGAAGCGCCAGGACAGGGCCAGGAGAGGCGACATGAGGGAGTCCTGAGAAGGAAAACCCCAATGAACTGTCCTTTCTTGCCATGCATGGCAGCACCGGCAGCACCGCCGCATGCCCCCGCACCCGCCACCCTTTACTCACATTCGTCTGGCCGCCGGTGGCAGCGTCTGCGGTTGCCTGGACGGCTAGCTTGTTGTGATGTCCGCTGAGGTAGTTGGTGAGGTTGTCGGAGGGCTGCAGCACCGCGTTGGGCGGCCGGGTGCCCACGAAGATGAGCTGCCAGCGAGCGAAGTCGGCGGGGGGGACGTTGAAGAGGGCCTGGGTGGGGGGGGGAGGGATGGGGGAGGGAAAGGAAAGGGAGGAGGGGGAGTGGAGGAGAGGGGTAAAGGAGGAGCCGAGGAGGCCTGACTGGATGCCGGCGGTCGACTTGGCACTTGGCACGCACCGCCATCCCACGCCCCCCCGCTCCGCACCTGTATCCTGGCTCGAAGCTGCGCCATGGTCTCCCCCTCCGGCACCCGCAGCAGCAATGGATCCCCAAACGCCGCTCCCGGCATGTTCTCCGCGAGCGCCCGCTCCAGCTCCTCCCGCCCCTCCCGCAGCTCCTCCGCCGCCGCTGCCCCCCGGTCCGCACCCCCACCACCCCCGTTCTCCTGCCCTGCCTCATCGCCGCCCTGCCGCTCCCCGCCTTCCGCCTCATCCTCCTCCATATCCTCCTTCACACTGCCGCCACCACCGCCCTCAGCCTCCATGGGCACCGCACCCCCGGACGTCCCGCGGCCCTGCGGTGACGTTTCCGCCTTACCAGCCCCCCGAACCGCAGTGGCTACCGCTTCCTCCGTCGACACACCTGCCGTACCCGCCGCCGCAGCAGCTGCCTGCTGCTGCTGCTGCGCTGCGAGGTACGCCGCCGCTTTGGGCGGTAGCGGCGGCAGCAGCATGTGGGCCGCATGCACCAGATAATCCGAGCCGCTCAGCCCATCTGCCAGCTGATCTGCGGGAATGAACTCCGCTCGGAGCTGCCAGTAGGCTTCGTTGAGCGCATCCAGCGTTTCGCTGGGGTCAGCCACCTTGTAGAGCTTGTTTTGTATGAGCTCCATGAGCCGCATGGGCCGTCCTGCTGCCACCAGCTCCGCCGCTGCAGCCAACGCGGCCTCATCCGCTTGCTGCTGAGCCTGCTGCGCTTGCGACAGGGGCTGCGGCCCTGCAGCAGCAGCAACGGCAGCTCCCCCGTTGCCTGTGCCGCCCTGACTCAACCGCTGTTGCTGATCGGCAGCGGCGTCTCCGTTTCCGCCGCTGACGGCCCCCACACTCGCCTCTGCTGGCTGGCTCCCGCCTGTCGCCGCCGCCGCCGCTGCAGCAGCCCTGTTGGCTGCTGCTGCCGCCGCCGCCTGCTGAAGCCGAGTGCCTAGCTCGGTAAGCAGGTCAGCCACAGTGGTCTCCCGCCGCAGCCGCAGGGAGTGCTGCTCGCCCACGAATTCGCCGCGCTCGTTGTGGAAGGAAACCTGCGAGCGCGCGTTGAGCGTATGTGGGGGGGCCGTTGGTGTTGGTGTTGTTCAATTGATAGCAACCCATAAAGAGGTCCACAGCCAAACCAGTAGCATAGACAAAACCTTCACGAAACAAGCACCAGCAGCACCACCACCAACAGCAGCGGCATCCCTTCCCCCCCTTCCCCACCTTGACCGTCTTCAGCTGCTCCATCTCCTCCAACGGCAGATCCAACACCTCGTAGTACAGCGTGTCCACGGTGTGTGACCCATGGGTCAGCAGCGAGTCCAGGGAGGGGGCTGCGCGCCATTTGACCGCCGTACGTTGCGGCTGGCAGCTAAAGTAGTTGTGGCGGGTGAGGCGGAGTTTGGTGGGGTCGGGCAGGGACAGCGCGGTGGCTAGGGAGGCGCACACCTGTGCATGGATGCATGCATGGGTGAGGGGGGAGAGACAAGGACAGTATTGTTGATGGCGTTACTCGCAGTGCAGGGGTGCGGGGAACCAAGGGGGAAGCAACAGGAGGACGATGCGGAGACACAGCCTCATCCCTCATCCCCCTCCCCCCCTACCTCGTCATACGTGGCTGTCCGCAGCAGCTCCAGCGATACGGTGGGCGGCGCAGCGGGCTCCTCCAGCCGCTTGAAGTGGACCTGGGGGTGGAGGTGGTGAGGGGTAAAACATAAGGGGCGTGGGGGGAAGGGAAGGACATGACGAGGGGCAGGGGGTCATAGAAGTACCAAAGCACATGCGAGGAGGAGCGAGGAGAGGAGAAGAGGGAGGAAGATTACAAGGGTGTAAGCTCCCGAAGGCGCATCCGCAGATGTCAGGATCGCAACTGCAGAGCAGCTTACAACGGGCAAGGCAAGGTAAAGCGGGCCGGAGGCGCGGCACCTCAACAACGCCCCACTGTGCCTGCCTGTCCCCAGGCACTCCCTCCCACGCTCCCAGCCCCCAAGCCCCTCACTCCCTGCTACATCCTGTACTACTCCCCTCCCACCATCCCTCCCACATCGCCCCTTCTTCCCGCACCTCATTCCCGCCAACTAAACCCCTTCCCAGCCGTCTCCCTCCCCCATACAGCTCGTCAGTTTCCTTCTTTCCTAACCCCCCCCCCACCCCACCCCCCGTCCCCCCAGCCCCCACCTGTCTCCTGTTCTGCACGTACACCAGGTACTTGTCCACGGTGGGGTAGCGCACCTGCGCCGCCAGCTCGGGCGGCAGCTGCCGCTGGTAGATGAGCACATCGCCGTGCTGCAGCTCACTCTCCGCCAGCGTCTTCCTGGAGGGGGGGGGGGGCGGCGGGGGAGGGGAAAAGAAGAAACCCAAGGTGTTGCCGGGAGGGGGGGGGTCAAAGACCATACCGAACCATAGGAAACCACGGGCTGGAGCAAAACAATGGGGACAGGATGTGGGGGGGGGGAGGGGGGAGGTCAGGTGGGGGAGGGAGTTCAAAAATGGCAAGAGGAGGTTGCTCCGTAACTCTGATAAGTTAAATGGCAAGTTGGGTAAGTGAGCTCGCAATGCCTCTGTCACCAGTTCGGCTCCAATCACGGAACGTTTTCCCCCAACGGGAAATGTACGAGAAGGAGATTGGGGGTGCCGTACCGCTAAGCGGCGGCGTGCTGGGGGCGGCGGTTGCTAACTCGGGACCGGCGGGAACGGGCAGCCTGGGGGCGGCTGCGGCTGCAGCGCAGGGGAAGAAGTGAGTTGGTGCCTAGTTGAGCCTCCATGCTGCTCCATGTAAAAGTGGAGACCTAGGTTTGAGGATAGCGGGTGGTTGGGAACATGGTGTTGCTTTGCTCGGTGGATTGCACCCATGCGAGGCTGTCATGGTGCGTTACAGTTGTCACAGTTGTGCAGCTGAGGAGGTGGTTTCGGTAGCTAGGGCGAAGAGTAGTGTGGCGCTGGGGTTTGCGTTCGTGTTATGACAGTGGAGGCCCCAGGGGCTGCGTTTTGGAGGGGGCACGGGGTACGGCGGGCTTCTGCGCTGCAAGCGCGGAAGCGTGCTGGTAGGTTCGAGGGGTGGACAGATGGCTGCTCGAAGAGGCTGTTTGTACGGCTGGGGTAGACATCACCTCATGTAGAGGACGCCTTTATAGCTGCATGTCGACTAGGGTTCCATGCTGCCACCGTATGCGGTATCGGTATCTGCTGGCAGGTGGCACCAGGTGGGTTCACAACCAGGGTGCACTTGACTGGGTGTGTGATCCGGGCACATGCACAGTACCTCCGCGGTCGGTGGGCGGTCTTCACTGCAGGTAGATCAGTTGGACCGGCGTGGATGGACAACTTGCCGTACATGGGGATTGAGGATGGGCATGTGGGCGTGTGACGTTGGGGTAGCTGCGTGTGCTGGGTGTATCATGGAGGACGCTCTTGGCTGCTACCGGTTTGCTAGCACGCCTGCATCAGGGGCAGTAACGCCAGCCAGGTGCCCCCATCGCCACCTTGTGACGGCTGCGGAAATGCGGCCACATCTCTGTTACATGGCTTCAAAACAACATCACCCCAGAACAGCCCCTTTCCTAGCCCCGTTCCTGCAATCCTACATGGCAACCACACGGATACCGCTCGCACCTCCGTTTCCAAGCCGCATGCGTAAAACTCTGCCCACAGCACCCTGCGTTCGCCCCACCCATCTATCACACCCTAATGATCTGCACCCGTACTCCCGTCCAGGGGGCTACCAGGGCCCCGGGTTATGCCCCAGCCGCTCCAGGGGGGTCTTCCGGGAGAACACCCGGCTGTCGTACTCCTGCACCAGCTCGATCAACTCCTGCAGCGCTGCCACCTCATCCTCGCCGCTGGGTAGCAGGTGGCGGGGCTGCTGCTGCTGTTGCGGGTGGGGCTGTTGTTGGGGGATTCCAGTTGCGGAGGAGGAGGATGAAGGCGCCGCTGCTGTTGAGGAGGATGAAGGCGCCGCTGCTGTTGAGGAGGATGGAGGTGTGGACTTGCTCAAGGAAGCATTCGCCCCTGATGTCCCTGCCGCCGCCGTCGTCGTCGTTGCTGCTGCTGGTGCTGCCGCTTCTGTTGCGGTACCGTTGGCAGCGCCGACGGTTGGCCCCGGTGTTGGGGGACTTGTTGCATGTGCAGCACCCCCCTCCTCTGCGCTCTTGTTGCTGGTGCTGATAACACCGGATAGCGACGCTAAGCGTGCCCTCGCCGCCGCCGTCAGCGCCTGGGGTGTCGTCACAACGAACATGGGCTTTCCGCCGCCAGCAACGCCGCCGCTGCTGTTAGCAATTCCAACATCCGCGTCTGGCATAATCTGCACGTCATCGTAAAACAGGGTAGTTGCTTATGCGTTGGAGCCTGTGCTTACAGCAAGACGTCCCGTTCTCCTGACCTCCTCTCCTTACAACCAATTCCCCTTTCTCAGAGGCCATGTCGGCAATCCCAACACCCACTCTGCCCCAACCCCACCTGCAGCCCGGGCGGAGTGAAGGCCTCAGGTAGGAACGTGGCTCGCTCCTCCGCACTGCCCATCTGCCGCAGCATTGCTCCCAGTACGGCACCCGCGGCACCGAAACCGCCGCCGCCGCCGCCACTGCTGACACCGCCGGCGCCGCCGTCAGCGTCGAAGTCGCCGTCGTCTCGGAAGCCCAACAGTCGCGAGCGCACCCGGGCCATGACGCCCGCCGCCAGGTCCGCGTAGGCTCGGTTGTGCTACGGGGCGCGGTGGGGTGGCGTGGGGTTAGGAGCAGAATAAAACAACCTCCCAACCCCTGCCCAGTTTAGAAGAAACCTCACCTGCGCGAATTCCTCGATGCCGCTGCGGCTCACCCCCCTTCGCGGCCCCGTACCGCCCCCGCCGCCCCCTCGCTCCAGCGACTCACGTAGCTTGGCCTCCTCCTGAGGCGGGTGGGGATCGAGATAGGAAAGCCAGCATCACATGTGAGGGCTGGACGACGAGGTGGGTAATGAGACGATGAGGTGGGTGTGGGAGTGGGGCACAGAAGGAACAGCGACAGCAGCCACAACACCAGCAGCAAAGATAGTGCAATACGAGGATAGCGTAGGTTAGGTGGAGGAGGAAGACAAAGCCAACTAAGCGGCAGCGGCAGGGCAGACGCAGCCAGTCAGTCGCCACGATATTGGAGGCATCTGGTCTGGGAATGGCTGCTTTCCATGCTTTGCATAAGGCATGCGCGTACCGCGCGCGTATGAGTTGAGCTTCTAATAAGCCCCCCAAAGCCACGAAAACACGGAAACGCACTCCCCTCCTCGCCACCACCACCCCCTGCTCGGTCCCACCTGCTCCCCCAGCCTATAGAGCTGCTCTAGATCCACTCCGCCCACCACCTGCGTGCGTGCGTGCGTGCGTGCGTTGGCGGGTGGCAGGTGGCGGAACCCACAGTTCCACGGTAGGTGTCATTAGTGCGGCCAGTTGGGGAGCGCAGGGAAAGCCAGGGGGGAAGTCATGCAACCCAGCAACCAACCACACACCAGGGCAGAGGGCACACACGCGCGAAGCAAACGCACATCACACTATCTGCTTAGCCCGGATAAAAACAGCCCGGCCAGCAAACAACAACAAAAAAAACACAAGCTCCTCCTCCTCCCCTTTCCGGACATGGTTATGGGTACGGTCATGGGTACGGCACGCGGTCAATGGTCAACGGTCAACGATGCCGCATGCTTTGTTGCACGCTTTGTTGCGCACCTGTGGGGCCTCCTTCCCCGTCTCCTCCCGCCACCTGCGCAGGTTGCTGTAGGCGAGGGAGGCGGCCAGCGGGGGCAGCAACGTGCGGTTGACAGTCTCCTCTGCAGGGGCGGGGGGGAGCAGGGGCGGGGAGAGCAGGGGCGGGGGGAGCAGGGGCGGGGGGAGCAAGGGCGGGGGGAGCAAGGGCGGGGGGAGCAGGGTTGGGGGCGGGTGTGCACTCCGGAGGCGGGGGTGCCCGTACTATTCTGCCCGCAGCAAACCATCACGCAACGTAAGCCCGAGCGCTACCCAAAAGCGCTGCCCCGCTTAGTCTCAGCGGTCCTTAAGTATTGCGTACCAGCATATCGCTGTGCTCTTCAACCTCCGCTCCTGGCAAACACGCACCGCTGTTCACCGCTTTACCAACCCCTGCCAGCCTTTCCTTCCTTCCGCAAGGAGGTTTAAATCTACCAATCTCCACTTCTAGCCGCAACGGCTAGCACGGCGGCCACCCACCCTTCCACTCCCGCATCATTGTCAGCTCCCGGCCCAGTCGCTCCAAAACCTCCCGTCGCTCGGCAGCCGGCAGGCGACCCACGGGTCCAAGCGCGGCTCCGCCCAGGGCAGCCCTGCGCTCCTGGTCTCGGAGCCAAAACAGGAAGCGGGAGTCCAGCAGCTGCTCGGGACGGCTGTTGGCGGCTTCCCGGATCTGCTGAGGGGAGAGGGCCGATAGCTCCAGAACCAACGCCTGTGAAGGGGAAAGGAAAAAGGAGGTTGGAAAGAGGTGTTGCCCCCAGCTTGGAAAGAGAGAAAGCATGTTCCTGGATGAACTTGTGTACGGAACTTGGTACTAACGCAGTGGCACGGCATTATACCTGGTATGCTGCATCATCGCTTGCGGAGGAGGAGGAGGAGGAGGCGGATGGAGGAGACGCGTCCGAGTCCTGAGTAATCGGGGCCTTGTTATCGGGAATACATGGGCAGCAGGGTGGTTTTCTTGCCGTTGGCTCTGTTTTGTAGCGCTTGCAGGGATGATGAGGTCGGCATGGGAGCGACGGTCGGCCGGCGCTGGCCCCTGCCTGGAGGCGACTGTTTCTGAATGGCTTCGGTAAAGCGTTTATCTGCATAGATTGCGATGTGGCAATGACAGTGCGCAACTTTGTGCGGTCCATTCCTGGTGGCATTCCAGCAAAATATTTGGCTTGCAGTTCTGCGTATAATTCGAGAAACATTACATGATACTAAAAGGTAGAAGATTCCTTGACCGTATCAGAAATTGGCCAGTTTGTTGGTTAGTCGTTGGCTCCTTACCTATAGTATGGAAACACATGTAATCACAGTTTATGTAGCAGACCCGACCGTCTTGCCTAGAGGCCCGTACGCAGGGCGCTCCACAAGTGGCGGCCCTAGCACTTCGCGCGTCTACCCCTACTGCCTCGCCAGGGGCCGCGTCCCCGTTCATTTGTTGATGTCGAAAATCCTCGGGCGCAGAGCTACCCCGTAGCCCATTACTGACCCCTTCATAGGGCAATGTTATCCTGGCTGGGCTGCCGCGCCAAAAACGATGTCGTACACGCCATCGTACGCTTACAGCTTGACGTCTTCGCGGCAGCAAACCGAGGGAGACGGACAGGCGGGCCAAAAGCACGTGGGAGGCGGGGTGTGAGGCAGTGCATGCATGTAATGCAACGCTTTCATGGTGGGTTCTTAAGACTTAAGTGGGGTAGTAAACACAGCGTAGGCAGGTCGATGGGCTTGCTAAACATGGCAAAGGGGTGAACAGGATCAGCTGTGCGGGTGGCGTTGATGCCTGTTGACCGGGGCTTTAATTAACGATACACGCCCTAGTGTAAGTGAAGGACTCATCCCCTTGGCTGCTCCGGCTGTTCCCTTGCAGCGGCATGGTTGGGATTGGAGAGGCATTGCACGCAGCATCACAGCATGCCCGTTCTCCCGTACGCTTCCTGCATGTACTGAGCGCCCATGTCGGATCAATGCGATAGGCGATCGCCCAGAACCTACCTATTAAATAGAGCTTCCCTTTCCCTGTGGTCTTAGAAAGGAAATCAAGATGGGTGACGCCGGCGCAATGGCCAATGGGGCAGTCTTGCTTAACGGGGCACCGCTTACGCACCCCAATTTATATGTGCGTAACCTACCTCCACAAATGGACCAGACTGCAGTAGAAGTCCTGTTTCGGCAGTTCGGGACCATTACGGGCTGCAAGTTCTTCAAGACCACCTCCGTGCCCTACGCCTTTGTCAGGCTTGGGTCTCCAGCTGAGGCGATAGATGCTATCACGAAGCTTAACGGGACGTGCGTTCATGGCAAGCTGATTTTAGTGAAGCCAGCGGAGACAGATGCCACATATGAAGTCCCCAACGGTATGCACGTCGCGACGTAGAAGGCGCTATGAACTGTCAGATGCTATTTTAAGAAGTACCTGCGCGCCACTTGTCGGTTGGCGACGTCGCGCGCCAAGTGCACACCCATGCTTGTCGCTACGCACATGCCCGACAGTCGAAGGACAACAACTCTCGCGCATCGCACCTTCTCAGCTGTGTGCCTTGCACTCGCCAATGTCTCCATGCGCTTTGCCAACGGGTTCCTTGTTTCGTTCCCCATCCCTCACCAAACGTCCAGAAAACCTCTACGTCCGCAACCTGCCTCCCAGCTGGAACGAGGAGACCATCCGGCAGTACTTCGAAAAGTACGGCCCAACCATCAGCGTGCGCATCATGCCGCCGCTGCCCACCACCGTGGGCCAGGTTGCCCTCATCAAATTCCTCCACGTCGAGCACGCGCGCGCTGCACGCGACAGCGCCAACGCCACCGTCCCCCCCGGCGAGGAGCATGCTCTCAACGTCAAGTTCGCAGACACGGCCGATGAGAAGGCGCGCAAGCAGCAGAACAGGGCAGCTGCGGCTGCAGGCGCCACCGCTACTGCCGGCCCTGGTACCGGCGGCCCTAGCGGCCCCGCTGGCCAGCGCTACGCTCCGTACCCTGGGGCCGGCAACCTGCCCGCCGGCAACATGCCACCACCGGGTGGACCGCGGCCGCAGGGCGGACCGCCTGCCATGCTTGTTGCACCCATGCAAGGCCCAGGAATGCTGGGCCCTATGGGAGGGCCGATGGGGGCTCCTATGGGAGGGCCCATGGCCATGGCGCCTCCGCCTCAGGCGGGTGCTGCGCCCTGGGCTAGTCCCCCCGCAGTGCTATTCAGCGGCCCGCCCCCGCAGCAGCTCCCGCTTGCGGTTGCGATGGCACCCATGGTTGTATCCGGCTTGCCTGGGCAGCCGCCTCAGCAGCAGCACCAGCAGCTCCTGCCTGCTGGGCCCATGGGGATGCCCATGGCGATGGCCATGCCGCAACAGCAGCAGCCACAACACATGCCGCCTCAGCAGCAGCACCAGCAGCCCATGCAACAGCCCATGGGCATGCCACCTCCTCAGCAGCAGATGCAGCCACCACCGCAGCAGCAACAACAGCCGCAGTACCCGCCCTATCCCCACCAGCAGCCGCAGCAGCCGCCTCCGCAGCAGGTCCAGTCGTACCCGCCTTTCCCGGTGCAGCAGCAGCAGCAGCCGGGGGGTCAGCCGGCGCCGTCCGGACCGGCGGGAGGCGTGCAGCAGCCTCCCGGGGCCGGCTCTGCGGGGGCGCAACCGCAACCGTACCCCATGCAGGGCCAGCAGCCGCCGTACCCCGGGCAGCCGCAACAGCCGGGTAGGTGGGGATGCGGAGAAATTAGGCCGTGGCTGTTTTCCTCCAAAGGGGCATAGCCGCATAGGACGGGAAGGCAAAAAACCAGCGGTGCGACACTGACCGTGACCGGAATGTGAACATGTAGGGAGTATGATATCGCTGGGCGGGTGCGGAGGGTCTGTTGGGTATGCGGATTGCTCCTTTGCTGGTTTAAAGTGCGCTCGCTGCCATGATTCGAGAAAACACCATGAAGGCACGCACCACAGGTTCCCGTGGGTTAAAACCCTCCTTTCCCCCATGCTTCCCTGCTCCAGGAGCCCCTCCCACGGCACCTGCGACGCAGTACCCCGGCTTCCCCGGTGCGACTCCCCACAACCCACCCGCCCCCCAGCAGCCCTACGCTCAGCCGCCTTACGGCCAGGGCCAGCCGCCCCAGCAGCAGCAGCAGCAGGCCCAGCAGCCTGCCGCAGGCCCACAGCAGACCCATGGGTCAGCCTACGACGCGCACGCCGCCTACGTCCAGCAGTTCACCGCGTACTACGGCTACCCCCCGCCCATGTACGGACCACCCGCCGCAGCAGGCGACCAACCAGGGCAGCAGCAGCCGGGGCAGGCGCAGACGGACTTGCAGCAGCAGCAGGCAGCGTACTACCAGCACTACTACAGCCACTACTACAACAATCAGCAGCAGCAGCAGCCGCAAGCGGGCAACAAGGAAGCGGCCGCCGGCCCGACGGCTGCCACTGCCACTACCGCTGCCGCTGCCACTCCTGTCGACGTCAAGCCGCCGCTTCCCACGGGCGCCCCCTCCTCCTCCGCGACTGCCCCATCTGCCGACAAGGCCGCTGTCTCTCAGCCCGGCCAGCAGCCCGCAACGGCTCCATGGCAGTCCCAGGCGGGCGCTGCTACCGCTGCCGGTGCTGCCAACGGCACGGCTGCAGCAGCAGCAGCAGCAGCAGCGCCGGTTTCCGGCTACAACCCCAGCAGTCGTATCGTGGTGTACGGCCTGCCGGCCAAGGCGGATAAGCTCGACATGTACGAGACCTTTGCCAAGTTCGGCCCCACGCTGGGGGTGCGTGTGGAGCCTGGGTTCGGCGTGGTGCAGTTTGGAGACCGGGAGTCGGCGGTGCGGGCGGTGAGCGGCATGAATGGCGCTACCGTGATGGGCGCGCAGATCCGAGTGGCGCTGTCGGAGCCTTGAGAGCTGGCAGGCAGGGAGGCAGGCAGGCGTGGGGACGGCTGGCTGACGGTCAGTTGGTTGGCCTGACTAACCAACTGACCTGGTTGATGAAAACAGCAAAACACACCAGGCCATGCAGCCATTGGACTGTGCTGCTTCAGCCGCTGGTGGCGAGTCGTGGGGGACTTCCTGGCAACAACTTCCTGGCAGGCAAGCAAGCACTGCCATCCGTTGCGACTCAGAACGGACAGTTTCGTGTGAACACACCTCCACACATCAGCTAGGTGAGGGGAAGGGCCCTTGCTGCTTTGGGCGCGCATGCGTGCCTTTGCACGCTGCGCTGAGCTGCGGATGTGTGCGGCCAACTGGCCTGATGAGTTGCAACATCGCCGCAGTTCCGATTAAAACTGAGGGGCGTTATACTATACCAGGTCAGCGCTACTAAAGCAGCTGTTTGGGGGATGGGCGGATCTGGGTTTTGGGCGTTGCTGCTGTTGTTATTACATGGTACCAGCCCTTCCAGGAGCGTGGGTCCCTGGAACATTCTTATTGGGTTCTTAGCATGCATGCTTAGGTCACGTGCCTGCAGTTGTCGTCGGGTTGCTCGACTTGTGTCCAAGGGCTATACGGGTTGCAGTTACGGGCTTGGGTACGGGCTATTGGGGGTAAAGGGTTTCGGGCGGGTGTCTTACTCGGGCGATAAGTCGTTCAGGAAATTCTCAAAATTTCAATCCAATCGGGCTTGCAATTAAGATGATGTTTCCTTTTCCTGGGTGCTTCGCTGGCCCATTCATGCTTTGTGTCAGGCGGCTGTTATCATTACCTCCCTTTAGGCGCTTTGTTGCGCATTTCATAGTTGCAGGTTGTAACATTGGCTAGGTTAAATCTGCTGTCCCAGAGGATATTGGGGGAATTGCGTCCACGATTCGGGTTGTTCCTAAGCGTATCGTTGATAGGATTGTCAATGGGGGTTTAATTACGTTTGGGGTAGAGCGTGGGGATATGAGGCTTTAATGCCTGGGGTCACGCTCTATGTGTTTCACATGTTGTCTATCTACCTGTTTATGTCAATGCATGGTAGCTGCAACAAGCTATGCTGCTTTTCGTTGCCGTAACCCTACGCCTGCGGAAGGGGTCAAACGTTATGTAAGGCACTTGTCCATGTAAGACACGAACAAGCGAAAGATTAACCGGAAAACATGCACGTTCAACCGGCATGAAGCCAACGTCGGAGGTAAGCTGGGATCATTTTACGGGATTACATGTATGGTATGTCATGCATGGGTCCGAAGACTATAGGTTTGCGACTCCTCGGCTTTCCACTCGGGCAGTGATCGACAACAACAACGCGCAG